ATTTTTAAACGTTTTAATTAAACAAAGCTAAAAAAAATAATACGTCAAAAATAAGAAAACCTTTTTCACCCAGAAGGCCATAGCTGTGAATTCGATTCTGTTTAGCAAGCCTGCCAATACAGATATATGCCTGCTAATACAATGGATCGGTTTCTGAGACCCCCCGATTCAAAGCCTTCAAGTTCAGGGCTTAAACCCAAAAGACGAGGATATGATGATCAGTATTTGAGTTTAGGATTTACGTGGACAGGACCAGCTGATGAACCACGACCTAAATGTGTGGTTTGTCAAGATATTTTGGCTAATGACAGCATGAGACCCGCTAAACTTCAGCGACACCTTGAAACCAAGCATGATGAGGTAGCAGGAAAACCTCCGGAATTTTTTGTGTGTGTGTGTGCGCGTGTGTATGTGTGCATGTTTGGGAGGAGGGGCGCCAATGGATAAGTTGTGTCAAAAGGGAGGCCCACTGTCTTAGGCTTTGAAAAACCCTGCTGTAGTGTAATGAGACCGTTTAAGTGAGTGCAGTATTAACAGTGTACATTATTTGTTTGTGTACCTCTCAGATTTCACATTTTCTAACATTTGTGTCTTTTAGGTAATGCGTAGCTCTGCTGTTTTGTGGTTCAGGGTCAAACTGTAATCATCTGTATTGTCATTGTTGATGTGTCTTTAAACAGCAGGGTGGAAGCAGCAGATAGTGAGACTGCAGGTGAAAGCAGGAGATGATGTGAATGATCAAGCCGTTTCAGCTGCTGTGTTGAATGAGGTGATACATAACAACTTTTTTTAAACTCTTCTAACAACATGCAAAGCATGAAGGCAAGGCAAGTTTATTTCTATAGCACATTTCATACACTGTGGTAAAGTGCTTTACATAAACAGGAATAAAAGAGACAAGCATAAATAAAATAGAAACAATAATATAGAAACAGATGAAAACAGGAGACAGTTTTTCCATATTCCAAAACATTCATTCATTCATTCATTCATTCATTATCTTGTCTGCTTAGTCCCTTTATTAATCCCGGGTCGCCACAGCGGAATGAACCGCCAACTTATCCAGCAAGTTTTTACGCAGCGGATGCCCTTCTAGCCACAACCCATCTCTGGGAAACATCCACACACACACACTCATACACTACGGACAATTTAGCCTACCCAATTCACCTGTACCGCATGTGTTTGGACTGTGGGGGAAACCGGAGCACCCAGAGGAAACCCACGCGGACGCAGGGAGAACATGCAAACTCCACACAGCAACACCAACTGAGCCGAAGTTCGAAGCAGCGACCTTCTTGCTGTGAGGCGACAGCACTACCTACTGCACCACTGCCTTGTTATTCCAAAACACGGGTGTATCATATTTACTCATTTTACTCTGGGACTTCCCCATTCTGCTGATCAATGGTGCTCTTTTGGTGAAGTGAATTTGATGCGAGTAAACTCAAAATGTCTATCTATGCGCAAATAGCGAAATTTACTCGCACATGCCATGTTTGATGTGAACGCAGCATAACCGTACGTTCACACCGAAAGCGGCGAGAGCGTCAAAGTAGCCGGAAGTCATTCATTTTCAATGAGAGCCGACGGCGATAGGCGACGATAAGCGGCGAGGAGCAGCGCGGCGCGTCTTTGCCAGCGTGAGCGTCGAGGAGAGTTGAAATGAAGTCAACTTTATGGTAATGAGCTATGATGCTGTTCGGTGGCAAGCAATCAGAATAAAGACGTCCACCGCTTGATAATAGTTCAGGGAACACAGACCTGTGAACTTTGGTTCCGACCACAGTTGTTCCCAAGGGTTTGATTATTGCGGTCGCCGGATTTCCAATTATTTACAATGTTTTCTTACAGGAACATACATTAAATAAGTTACTGGCGAGTTACTGATGTTCATTAATGATATATAAATTTATCTTTAAAAAGCGGGAATCTCACGCGATGTGACAGTACAAAACAGTACTGCTGCTTCAGGATATTTCAGACATATGGACACATAGTGGATAAATAGAGCAAAGCCACACCACACGCAACTTGATCTTCCATTGTTATATGAATTTGATAAGAAGTGCGCAACATTTTCACGTTAAAAACATGTCTTATGCAGGAATGTAACTGATAATGCTGCAACGGCTCCTTTCAGTACGAGATCAATGTAGCGAGTTTTGACGCTCTCGCCGCCGGAGCTGAAGGCAGACAGAGTTGTCGCCAGGGCGGCCAGAGCGACCTTGGACGCTCTCGCCGCTTTCGGTGTGAACGTACGGTAAGTGGATAAGACGAATCTGTTCTGCAGGTGCAGCAGAAGCTGAAGCAGCAGGGAATAACAGCGGATGTGAAGTTATCATGGCGGGAACAGTCTGATGGAGGGGTGCTTCAGAAGATGAAGAACAGATCAACAGGGATGAATGAAGAAGTATAGCAACAGAAGATGATTACTGTCATTATTAGACTTGTATATAGCTCTTCTAGCTTCTATGGTACAAAATGTAAGGTTTTCAAAGCAGATTATTTACGTCAACATTTGTAGTGAAAACTTAATGTCATAACACATTTGATGTGTTTATATGAGGGCGATCTGCTTAAGAAATGTACAGTACACTCTCAAAACCTTAAGGTTCATTATTGGTGTCTGCGGTTCAATAACCCTGAAGTCAAAGCGTATTCATAGTGGACTTAACTTTAAATAAACCTTTCTTTGCATGTTGTTTATGTGGTCTGGGTTGTAGTTTTCTTCTGATTTAGTGTTTGTTTTGTTTATAAATTGTGAAACGTGTTGCTCCGGGAATGTTTTGTAGGACAAAAACACTAAAGGGCGCTGCCTACATTATTGTACATCTAAAATACGCCACTTGGTGTACGTTTCAGATGACAAATCCATTAGAGGGCGCTGTCTACACTTTTAAGAATTTAAAATACATTGCTTAGGATGCGTTTTGTTGTACGTTTCAGATATTAAATCCACTAGAGGGCTGCTTTCTACATTTTAGCAAATCCAAAATAAGTGATTAGTGTGTGTTTTGTTGTACGTTTTCAGTCTCATTCTTCTTCTACACTACATATAATGGTGGGGCTTGTCATACAGATCAGCTAGCGAATCACTGAGCTAAACCCTTCCCTAAACCAACAAGTGTTTTCAAAAGAAAAACACAAGGGAAAAGTGCACTGTGAACATGTAGATTTACCTTGATTTTACCTCTTTTGTGGAAGCATGCTTGACTGGGACTCGAACTTGAGTGCTCTGCAGCACAAACACAACATTGTGCAAAGTGCGAGATGTGCAAGCAGTAACATATTATGTGGTGTTTCTTTTGTGTTATATTAATTTTATTATATTAATATATTATATTAAATTATATTATATTAAATTATATTAATCCCTAATTCATCAGTAATATGTACCTGTAAACATCATGAGTGTGAAAAGGAACAAAAGCTGCGGTCCTCACACTGCCCCCTAGTGTTCATTTAACGCACAAACTGCAGTCAAATGCACACTGCAGTGTGTTTTTACACAGTTGTCGCCTGCAGCGTGTATTTCCATTGAGTCTGCACTGCGTGTCTTGCTCTGCTCGTCCTCAGAGACACATTTCCATGCTCATCTAATGGGTTTTGAATAAGAAGCAAAGTCGGGATGAAAATCAGTCAGACGTGGAGAAGAGTCAAAGACCAGAACGATTATAAAACCCCCCTTCAGCAGATCCGGCATCTAGTTCAGCAGAACAGGTGAGTGAGGCTCTTTTCTGAACTCCACATGTATTGATTACCTGTCAGAGGTTTTCCAGTATGTTTATCTTAATCTGCATGACATTCGATGCATTTATCAAAGAGAGGAAGCTAGTGTTTGTTTTAGATGCACTGCAAAACCATTTTAAACCCTAATTTTTTAAGTTAATTAATAAAGTTAATTGTTTCTTTAGAGATCAATGTTCTTCCACAGTATTTTTGTGTTGTTTTCTTGTACATTTTTACTAATTAAATCAACATTCTAAATTACACAATATACATTTTTTGAGAAACTGGTCAACATTAGTTTTTGCCTAAAAAAAGAGCACATGTCTGCCAAAGGGATCAGAAAAATCATTTTAATTTAGTAGAAAAATTATGATTATTCTGGACCTATAGGCAGATATATGCTTCTGGCTTATTAACTAATGTCTATTTTTTAAAAGATATTAAACACATTACAAAATAATATTTTAAAGGAATTATAATGCATGTATATAATGCAATCATTTGAGGGTTTTTTCATATAATTAGATGAAAGCTTTATAGGTTTATGTTAATAAATCAGCTAGATGTTAAGAAAATACTTTTTATTTTAATTTAAAGCAAAGTAAAGCAAATTATATTCATTTTTTAAACAAAAATTTAAAATTACAATTAAATTTTGCTCTGTGTTTAAGAAAAGCTTACTAATTACAAATAAAGTGCATTATTATTATTATTTTCATTGTTTTATTATTATTATTATCATTGTTTTATTATTATTTTTTTATATATTGTTGTTACTGGTATTATTATTATTATTATTATTATTATTATTATTATTATTATTATTATTATAAAAATACTAATTTATTATTATCATCTAAAATCATGGAACTAAATTATATTTTACTATAAATAAAGATTTATGGAAATAATAAATTACATCCTAATGTTTTGGAAAATCAGTGGGATCAGAAATAAATTTACAATCATTTAAAGGGAGAACAGGAATTATATTTCTTACAGATAAACATACCATAACCATTATTTTTTTTTAATATCACCAAATCCCCCAAAATAAACCCATATAGATGTAGATTAATATTAGAACAAATGAAAATAGTAACCGAACAATAAACACAAAAAAAATTAAATTAAATTACAATTTTAAAATTTTAATTTAAACGAATAACATAAACTACAATATTAAACTAAAATAACTCAGTCTTTTATCTGCCCAATCATGAAACTGATGTTGATTTAAGATTGTTTTTATATTTGACCTGGAAAACAAGTCAGATGGGCAGTTTCAGTCTTTACTGTGTATTAATCTGGGATTTGACATGTTTTTCTGATTTTACAGACGGAGCAATGGAGCAGATGCTGTTTCTCATCTTCATCAGCTGGGGATTATTCTGGGTTAAAGGTGAGTTATTCAATTAATAAAACTAACATAAATGTCAAACTAGAGGGTTAATAAATATATACAAATAAAAACTTAGTTATAGAGGTTTTTAAAAAAAGTATGTATCTGGGTGGCACGGTGGCTCAGTGGTTAGCACTGTGGCCGCACAGCAAGAGGGTCGCTGGTTCAAGTGCCGGAGCAGTTGGTGTGAGTTTCCTCCGAGTGCTCCAGTTTCCCCCATAGTCCAAACACATGCGCTATAGGGGAATTGGATAAGCTAAACTGTCCTCTTTGCAGGACCTCTCAAGCTCTATCAGGTTAAATGGGAAGTGACGGTGTGCAGCCATTTTCAGATCTCTCCAGAGATGCTCAATAGGATTTAGGTCTGGGCTCTGGCTGGGCCACTCAAGGACATTCACTGAGTTGTTGTGAAGCGGCTCCATTGATATTTTGGCGGTGTGCTTTGGGTCATTTACCTGCTGGAAGATGAAGCGTCGCCCCAGTCTGAGGTCTGTGAAGGTCTTCATTCAGGATGTCTCTGTACATCGCTGCATTCATCTTTCCCTCTATCCTGACTAGTCTTCCAGTTCCTGCTGCTGAAACACATCCCCACAGCATGATGCCAACACCACCATGCTTCACTGTAGCGATGCTGTTAGCCTGCTGATGAGCGCTGCCTGCTGTTCTCTAAGCGTAACGCCTGGCGTTCACTCCAAACAGTTCAGTTTGAGTCTCATCAGAGCAGAGAGTTTAGTTTCTGATGCTCTGAGAGTCCTTCAGATGCCTTGTGGCAAACTCCAGGCGGGGAGTTTCTTCAGTCTGGCCACCCTACCATACAGATGCCTGATTGGTGGATTGCTGCACAGATGGTTGTCCTTCTGTAAGGTTCTCCTCTCTCCACAGAAGAGCGCTGTAGCTCAGACAGAGTGACCTTCAGGTTATTGATCACCTCCCTGACTAAGGGCCTTCTCCCCCGATCACTCAGCTTAGATGTCCGGCCAGCTCTAGGAAGAGTGCTGGTGGTTAAACATCTTCCACTTACGGATGATGGAGGCCGCTGTGCTCATTGGAGCTTTCAGAGCAGCAGAAATGTTTCTGTAAGCTTCCCCAGCCTTGTGCTTCCAGACAATCCTGTGTCGGAGCTCTACAGACAGTTCCTTTGTCTTCATGCTTGGTTTGTGCTTTGACATGCACTGTCAACCCTGGGCCCTTATAAAGCCAATGTAGAGGCTGTGAATACTGATGTACATGTGATTTAGCAGCTTTTTATTTTAAATAAATTTACAACAATTTCAAAAACCCTTTTTTTCACATTGTCATTATGGGGGATTGTGTGTAGAATGTTGAAGAAATAAATGAATGTGATTAATTTTGGAATAAAGCTGTAACATAAACAAATGTGGGAAAACTGAAGCGCTGTCAATACTTTCCGGATGCTCTGTAGGCCTTTAAATGTCTCTTTAAGCTGTATAGAAGTGTCTTGAAGAATATCTAGTCTAATATTATGTACTGTCATGATGGCAAAGATAAAATAAATCAGTTATTAAAATCTATTACGTTTAGAGATGTGTTGAAAAACAGAAAATATAGAGGAGGAAGAATAATTCAGACTTCATCTACATCTCACTACACTAAATGCCACTCTACGTAATTCACACTGGTTTTGCAGGTTTGTCCTCCGCTGTTGTTTTGTTCGTGAATCAGTCGAAGACGTTTGACGAGGCTCTGCGAATCTGCAGAGATGAATACATTGACCTGGTGAGTCTGTGGGATCAGTCAGACATGGATGCTCTTTTCACTCTGAAAGACTTCACCTTCACTGAAACCGCCTGGATCGGCCTGAGGAAGAGCCGTCGTGAGCAGTGGCTCTGGTCTCTGTCTGATCCACGCCTTTATAAAGCAGGAGAAACTGAGTACACTAACTGGGGTCCGCGAGAGCCCACGAACACCGCTGGAGAATTCTGCTCTGTGATGGATAGCCTGGGGAATATTCGAGACACGCCCTGCCTGACCCCCAGGAGCTTCATCTGCTATAACGGTGAGCATACACTGATATACACTGTAATGAATGCTGGCTTCCACACGGTTCCTTCATGCTGTCTCAACGCAAATCAATCAAGTTAACTTACAAATTTGAGTGGATTGAACATAAAACAATTAAGCTCCTCAAAACCCTCAGGAATTGTGCTGATGCATTCATTTATTCATGTTCTTTTTGGCTTAGTCTCTTTATTTATAAGCCATCACCACAGTGGAATGAACCGCCAACTATCCCAGCATGTTTTGCACAGCGGATGCCCTTCCAGCTGCAATCCAGTACTGGGAAACACCCACACACACTCATCCACACTCATACACTACGGCCAATTTAGTTGATTCTCCTATAGCGCATGTGTTTGGACCAACCCAAGCTCATTCTGGAAACATAGCCCCGCGGACGTTTCTGGAGACCGCGATTTACATGGCCGGAGGTATGTAAGGCCGCGTTTAGTTTTTTTCGAGCGAACGCTGCGGGGCGGTGTGGCGATGATCCGCCCCTCATCTTCGCGATCGCCGGCCGACGGCTCGCCTCCGAGTGGAGGGCTTTCCCGATGCAACCAGTTTGTCCGCTTAGCTCACAGCGTTGCGACGGCGGAGCGGAGGCCCCAGAGGAGGAGGAGCCAGCCGGGGACGACGACCGGGATCGAGTCCGGGGAACAGCGGCTCCGGAAATCAGGTAAGTTGAAAAACAGAATCCGAAAAATAAGGGCGAGAATGCGGCGGGATCCGAAAACGCGGTCGAAATCAAAGACGAGGGCTTTTGCTTTTTTTTTTTTTCTGGACGGCTTTTGCAAACCGTCGCTCGGGTTTAGGGAAGGAGGAGGAGGAAGAGGAGGGCGGCCGAGTCGGCCGATCCGGCAGCTTTTCGTGCGAGAACGGCAGCGGCCTCTCGCGGGTCCGCGAAAACAAAAACCGCTCGAATACGTACCTCCCGGGACGTAAATCACGGTCCGCAGAAACGACCGCGGGGCTACGTTTCCACAATGAGCTCGGGTTGGTTTGGACTGTGGGGGAAACCGGAGCACCCGGAGGAAACCCACGCCAACACGGGGAGAACATGCAAACTCCACACAGAAACACCAACTGACCCAGCTGGGACAATTACTTCATGCTGTCCCAACACAAACTGATTAAGTGAACTGGATAGTTTTTACAAATGTAAGTGGTTTGATCAAGCAGCAGGAACTCTTGTGTGTTTGTTGTGGTCTCCTGCAGATCAGGGGAGTAGCTCAGACAAATACGTCTTCGTCAGTTCTCCTAAAGCCTGGAGAGACGCTCAGAGTCACTGTAGAAGCTTTTACACTGATCTGGTGAGCGTCAGGAACCTGCAGGAGAACCAGCAGATCCAGTCGCTGGTGCCGGCGGGGGGCGTCTCGTACATCGGCTACTTTAAAGATGACTTCGCCTGGTCCGACAGCAGCACGTCTTCATACAGAAACTGGGACCACGGTCAGCCCGACGGCTCTGGAATCTGTGCGGTGCTGCAGTTTCATAATCACATGTGGAATGATCTGACCTGCACTGACCCCAGAGGATTCTTCTGCTCGGCCGGTGAGTGAAAGTGAAGGTTACCTCTGAAAGTAATGCATTACAATATTGAGTTGGGGAGTTCTCACCAAGTGTGCCGCAAGCCTACGTTTGAGTGAAGGTTTCGGCCGTTAGATCGCCCCCTGGGGGCTGGCTGCAGTACAAGTCATAAAGCCCGCCTCCCCGTGTTAATGAAGGAGACTTGAGCCCAAATAAAAAAAAATATTACACTTGCAATAAAATGTCCCGAAAGATAGTTCTGGTCGATTAAGGCACTGGTTATTGTGCTGAAATAGGTGCAGATCTTCATTTTTGTAAACAGTTTGTTTTTAGCAGTAATTTAATGCTGGGCGTGTCATCGTGATTTACAGCTGTGATTGACAGTTTCTCAAAGCAGCGCATCTGAGCTTCGGCAGGAGACTGAAGTAGACTGAAATGTTATTATTCGATTTCTGTGTTATTTTACCATGACAAAATGAGTTCAGCAGTAAACTATAGTTTCTGACATACATGATCCTGGTGGAACACTGTTTATTCGCTAAGTTCAGGGCTTTTTTCGGGCTTTATTAGTTTGCTGATACACGCCTAGCCACCCAGATAGCAAAACACAGTTCCGGCTAGATTCTCGCCTGCCGGAGACTTATCTCTTAGAGCTCAGACTGACTAATGTTACCTCTGCTGGACCTACTCCGGATGCCTGGACTCACTGCCCGATTCCAGTCCGAGTCAATCGAGCCAGATGCGGCGGCCGAGCGAGCCGGTGCTGCCGCATGCGAGCCGGAATCAGCCCGCGACGCCGCGAGTAAAGTTATGCGCTGCGGCCTGGAGCTGGCGCGATTAAATATATAAAACCCTCATATTTGTTAACGTTATTACATCCATTTGTGTTGATATGACAGCAAACGCATGCTGAGAAGTTCGGGGGGCGTAGTTGATTTTACATAAAGCGTTTGATTGGAAGCTCGACTCTGCTCATTTTCGCGGCTCCTCCTCTGGCTCCATCAGACAATCCTTCTGCGCATGTCAAGGCTCCAATTTCAGCAGTCTTTTGCGACAGTTTGTGCCCGTCAAGCAGGCGTTTTGCCCTCAAGGCGTTCAATGGGAAAAAGGGCTGTCGCGTCGTCCATATTTTTTACAGTCATTGGTTCTCACACTATGCTATCCGAACCGTGCCCAGGCCCGTTTCCTGGATAGTTTGAGAAGTGCGAGTGCTCTGAATTGGGCTTAGGCTGGTACAGTTGGCCGGCCCTGGCCCGGTTGGAAGAGGTGTGCCAGAGCACAGTTCACTTGGGCTTTGGCGTGGTACGCTTGTAGTGTGAGTGCAAAGCGCCTGAGCCCGAAACTGAAAGCGAGACGTGACTTTTGAGGGACTGTTTGATCTGGATTAAGTAATCATTCTTACTGTTCAATGAACACAAACTGCCGTAGTTTATTAAAGATGCAAACCCCTCACTGCACGACAGCTGCACTTTCAGCACACCTCCTAATTCCTGCAGCTCGAGGACTTTATGATTGTTTATGAGCGCCAAAAGTGGCGGATCTGCTCAGCGAAATATTTGACTGTGTGTCACTGCATATCAAACCACTACAACAGTATAACTAAAGGCTCGAATGCAATGTGAGAGCGGGCCATCGGGGGAGACGAGAGGGGGGACAAGCGTGCTTCAGCCCGGTTCAAGGCAGTGTGAGTACGCCCTAATGGCCTGTTTCCACTGAGTGGTACAGTACGGTTCGGTTTGGTACGCTTTTATGGCCGTTTCCACTGTCAAAAGGTGTACCGAACCAAACCGTACCGTGCCACTTTTTCGGGACCCTTTCAAAAGGGTCCCAAACACAAAAAAAAGGGTAACAAAAGGCGAAGCTAGACGTGCAGCTGAACGCTATTGGTTTACAGAAGAGATACGTCATTCACTTACAACAAGCCAGAATGTAAACAAAGCACCCGCCATGTATGAAATACACAGCGAGAGATTACAGCGGAATTATATATTCATATATCATCATCCTGATGAGCAGCCACTCAGCCATGGAGTAGAGCAGAATCTACCCTGTGCCTCGCAGTTGTTTACGAGCCAGTCTGACGCGCGAGCGGTTTCGCTTTCTTCCTTGTGCTCAACGCGTGTCTATATCTGAAATAACAAACTTCTTGAGCTGATAATAATAATGTGCGCTTGATTATTGACAAGCTTTGGAAACCGATCCCGTGAGAAGCTGACAAACGCCAGATTGACACATTTAGAAAGGACAAACGCGAGAGTTGAGCGCAGGAAAAAAAGGAGCATGTTATTTCTTCAGCAAACGTGAACAAACTGCCTTGTTTTTATTATTATCATCACCTTTTGGACTAATATGAACTGGGTATGATGGAGTGACTCTCTAACAGAGGCTACATGACATGTGCTGCTGAAGATTACAGACACAGATGAGAGGTTTACTCTGACTGTGGGCTATACTTTGTGTTGTTTTGAACCTAATTAAGGACTAAATGTCTGCTGTGTGTAGTTTTTCTGTAGTTGGTAACATATTGGAGACTGTAAGGGGCTGTATGTGTGCATATATGTTAATTTATTTATTTATTTTATATAATTACAGACGTTACAGTAGGCTATTTCGCACCGTCATTGATCTGCAGTTATAATCAACTCCTGTTTATAGAAAAGTTAGTAATCAACATTTATACAGAAGTATTTATGTGTGTGAAGTGTCTGTTTTGTGAGAAGTGCTTTTAATATGATATGTGAGCGACCCGTACAGCCTTACTGTAGACATTTCCTCCAGCGAGAATGATGTGACTGACACTTTCTGTCTTACACCACGCCCACCAAAACGGTACCCTTTATAGTGGAAACGCAAGCCTGATAAAGGTGAACTGTACCGACCCGAACCATACCATACTGTACCAGTCAGTGGAAATGAGCCATTACTCTCCAGAAAGGTACTAGTTGAGTTACTTACTCTATATGGTCAGTAATACGGTACTTTTGAGTGACTTCTTCTGACCTTAGCTGGGGCTGGTTTTTTCTTCTTTGTTAATAGAGGAGCTTTCAATGAACAACACACTGTAGAACCTTCATTCCCCTTTAAACAAACACATCGGTAAATAATACTGTAGGATAATGTGATCTGAGAAGCTCAGAGCTCTGCATGCTGTATATACAGAGTAATGACTGTTTAAAGCGGTGTGTTTGCTGCTTTCGTACTTCTAGTCTTATTTGTGATGTAAAGCCAGTGTGCATTGAGACTACGGGTGCTTTCACATCTGTAGTTCGCCTTATTTGCTCTGGAACAAGGGCAATAAATGATACATTGTTGCATTTTCTGCCGTGTTTGGGTTGTTTTTACACCACACTGATCGCTTTGGTCTGAACCAGTTGAAAAGAACCAAAAAGCAGTCATGTGACAAAACCCTCATCACTCATTGGCCAGATGTTGTTGAACATAGTTCCTAAACTGCTTATCGATTGGTCAGAATTCACATGTGGGAAAATGCCAAAGAACTCCTGCTAGTAAACGAACCGGCAGACACGAAATGTGGCTTTTGACTGCAGCTATGACTGCGCTGCTGAGTGTATCCTGGCTCATAGTGTACTATATAGTTTATATACATCACTTAGACAAACTCTACATATGGAGAATGAAGTGCGGCTCTGTGTGTGTGTGTGTGTGTGTGTGTGTGTGTGTGTGTGTGTGTGTGTGTGTGTGTGTGTGTGTGTGTGTGCGTGTGTGCGTGTGTGTGTGTGTGTGCTCTCAGATGCAGTGTTGACTCAGACAGTGCGTCTGCAGCTGAAGGCTCTGCGTGTGGAGGATCTGCAGCTGTCACTCCTGCAGCAGGTCAGTCATCAGCATCAGGAAACAGTTTATACTTCTGTTTATGAACATATCTGGGATATATATATATATATATATATGTTCATACACAGTCATATAGGAATACATATGTATGGACTTAAAGATAATATATTAGATCATACGGTGCATCTGGAAAGTACTGGCAGCGCTTCACTTTTTTCCACTATTTGTTTATGTTACAGCTTTATTCCAAAATGGATTAAATTGATTGATTTCCTCAACATTCTACACACATAAACAAATGTGGGAAAAGTGAAGCGCTGTCAACACTTTCTGCATGCGCTGTATGTGTATATATTTGTATCGTTGGATATAAAATGTAAGCAGAGATTTTAGGACTATTTTTGACTCATAAGTTCCATATTTGAATGAACTGATTGGATCAATAATCGAAATTATTTCTGGTCAACTAAACAATTAAATATATATATATAAAGCTGTATTTGTAGTTAGTTGATTTTCCTCCATGTCTCACTCTTCAGGCTGCGTTCACACTCATTAAGCGTGTGTTTGCTGTTCTCAGATCAGGCAGACGCTGGTGTCTGGAGGCCTGTCAGAGTATGCAGATGTGCAGTGGAGGAAGCAGCAGGACGGAAACATCTTCCAGAGGACAGAAGACCTGAAGACAGACGCTCAGAATACAGGAAAACAGTCAAATACAGTCTGTGGGGATGGAGGACAGCACTGATGGAGGAGCGGAGAACACTGAGTCTGTTCACCTAGACCAGGGGTGCCCAATCTCAGTCCTGGAGGGCCGGTGTCCTGCACGGTTTAGCTCCAGCTTGCTTTGACACACCTGCCTGGAAGTTTCTAGTATACATATGAAGAATTTGATCAGCTGGTTTAGGGGCTGTTTCATTAAAGTCGTTTAGAAAACGGGGATTAAAGTCAAAAACCTGACATCGATGAGCTTATATTTGTAATATGAGATTAATTCCTCTAGAATATTGCAAGTCTTCTTCGCTTTTTTATTAACGATCATCTCCAAACTTGTGCAGTTCTGCTTAGTCTCCTGAAACAAGTGAACAAAGTTTGACGTTGATCCAGTCCATTTGTTATGCATATGAAACTTTGCCATAATAATATTGACGTAATAAATGCAAACATCAGAACTTTGTAAGTTGAATATAATATTTGTTTTCCTTCTAAGAAACTTTTCCACATCCATCCGGAAAATCTGTGTGAATACCACAATCTCAAAACATATGGACAATAGATTCCTTTTCCATGCAACAAAAATCACAGGAATAATCAAAATCCAAATGAAACCTCTCTGAAACCTCTTTAGCTGGACATATGCAGTGTCAGATTTAAATGTAAAGGGCTGAAGGCACATAGACAGATCTTGATATCTCTTCTGCTTTGGACTGTAAAAGCCTACTGTTCAGGGAGCGAGTGATCATCCTCTCATTTATCTGACTTCTTTTGCTCGCGTTATTTTTGTCAGTCAGGTTGCTTCTCGATTCTAAGATCGCAATTGCACGAATATTAGGCCGTCAGCGGGTCAGCGGGTGTTAATGTCAAGCCCTGGGGACAGCTAAAGTAATATAAACATTCATTCATTCATTTTCCCCTTCATTAATGTTAGGTCGCCACAGTGGAATGAACCACCAACTTATCCAGCACATTTTAAGGCAGCAGATGCCCTTCCAGGCGCAACCCATCTCTGGGAAACATGCACATAAACACATTCACACAAACACTCATACACTACAGACAATTTTGCTCACCCAATTCACCTGTACCGCATGTCTTTGGACTGTGCCGGAAACCGGAGCACCCGGAGGAAACCCATGCGAACGCAGGGAGAACATGCAAACTCCACACAGAAACACCAACTGACCCAGCCGAGGTTTGAACCAGCGACCTTTTTTGCTGTGAGGCAACAGCACTACCTGCTGCGCAACAATCGGCAACTCATCCAGTATATGTTTTACACAGTGGATGCCCATCCAGCTGCAACCCAACACTGGAAAACATCCATACACACTCATTTACACACACACACACACACACACTATGGACAATTTAGTTGATCAGTTCCTCTATAGCGCATGTGTTTGGACTGTGGGGGAAACCGGAGCACCCGGAGGAAACCCACACCAACACGGGGAGAACATGCAAACTCCACACAGAAACACCAACTGACCCAGCCGAGACTCGAACCAGCGACCTTCCTGCTGTGATGCGACAGCACCTACTGCACCACCGCATCGTTGTAATATAAACAAATGACCCAATATGTATTATACTACAGTTTACTATAGTAAAACCTGAAGTAAACTACAGAAATACTACACTATGCTGGAGCATTCACTAACAAAGAGTCCACATATTATACTTTACAATAGTATGGTTCAAAAACACGTACTATAAACCGCTACAGTGTGTTTTGTTCATGTCACACTGACCTCTGCTGGACAGCAGTATGAACAGCAGCTCAAAACACCAAACGCAAAGCAGTGAATGAACGCGGAGTGCTTTAAAATGAACACATCAGTGCGGGAATCTGCTAATCTGATCATGATCATCATGTAAAGCAGTGTGTTCATTAGTCTTCCTACAGTCTTTACTAAAACAAACAAACACTCTCTGCATTTGCATTTTCAGATCAGTCTTCATAGCCGAGCACCACTCTAATGGCTTTATGCAAATACTGATCAGAGGACAAGTTTGCATGGAAACACAGAGCCATTAGTGAACATTCTAACTTGCCTAATTACCCTAACTTTACCCTGATTACCCTAGTGAAGCCTTTAAATGTCACTTTAAGCTGTATAGAAGTGTCTTGAAGAATATCTAGTCTAATATTATTTACTGTCATCATGACAAAGAGAAAATAAATCAGTTATTAGAGATGAGTTATTAACACTATTATGATTAGAAATGTGTTGGAGAAATCTGCTCTCTGTTACACAGAAATTGGGGAAAAAAATAAACGGGGGCGAATAATTCTGACTTCAGCTGTTTATATATACACACATATCACCATTTTTATTCCTTAATGTTCATTAATGCAAAGCTTTTTTTAATAGACACAACAAAAAATAAGACTGCATTTTACTTGTCTGGCATGGTTTATTTTACAGAAACTAGAAATTGTTCATACATTGGGAAGTAGTCCAGAACCCAAATATATCCTTTCAACCTAATGTATAATATTAAAATTTCAATATTATTAGCGCCCTTAAGAAATTATGAATATATTTTTTATGTATTTGTTGCTGTCATTAGGGCAAAGACTAATTAAATTAGTTATTAAATATAATCTTATTAGTGATCTTCAAATATCTGTTAAACAGCACTTGAAAAATGTTTTAAAATAATTAAATTATAATTAAATATTTACAGGAGAGCGAATAATATACAGAGACTTATTATATATAGAAAATAATAAAATACTCACAACCAGATTTCTAATATTTTCAACGTCTGTTTCCATTATCTGTGAAAAGTTATTTACTATTATATTTTTCTTTTAGAAAAAAAAAACTTATTTAAATATTAGTTCTGCTTTAATAAATAAAGCAATAAATAAATAAAGATATATAAATACATATATTATATATAATTTCTTTATTATTTTTTCCCAGCAGAACTAAAATCAATATAAGATTATATATATATATATATATATATATATATATATATATATATATATATATATATATATATATATAATTTATTTTTTATTTATTTTACTGCTAAGATCATTATTATTATTAACCCTCCCCCAAAGAAACATTATTTTACATATATTTATTACTGTCATCATGACAAAGACAAAATAAATGGGTTATTAAAACTATTATGATTTTAAAAATATGTTGAAAAAACTCTCAATATTATTTATAAATAATTTCAATTTCTGATTATATATATGAACTTTAGCAAACTAAAATAATAACAGCCAGATTTCTAATAATCTCCGCATGTTAATGCATTTTTTATGGAAAGTTATCAGCGATGCTGTACAGATCAAAGACTTTTTTTGAGTATTTCCTATTGCATTTCTTTATATTATAACTGGATTAGCTCCTTTAAGAAATGAGTCTTTTACCATTAACCGTTCATCTGACATCTTCATCCTTCACTGCTGAAAGTAGCCTGATCGGTCACATTGCAGATGTGTATCTCGAGTCCGTCTGAACTCCGATTTTTTGCATATTCTAACTCTTAAGACTTACTATATTCTTTATCTTGCTTTATTTAATAGTTTTACAAAAAAATTAAAAAATGCGACTCCGGTGGGACTCGAACCCACAACCTTTGAATCCCCTCGAGAGGCTTTCCTAGAAGTCCAATGCGCTATCCATTGCGCCACGGAGCCACCTGTTGATCGTGCAGTATATTACGCTTATTGTACCACACACACGACCCTGCGGCGTGCTGATGTGTGTGTTTATAACTTCATATGTTTATTATTTTGGTACATTCCAACGATCATCGTTATTAGCTGCTCCAGCTGTGCAGGGTCACGCTATTGACCAGAGCGGGGGTTCTGCCGTCTTTCATTTCTCTTATGACTTTTAAGACACGTCCGTATGATGCTGTGGTTGGCTGAGAGTCAGACACGTGACCCGGAAGCGAAAGGAACTCTAAACGGGATTTTTTAACGCTTCACGTAAACAAACAAACAAAAGTTTATGATGTGCTCATTTCATCTCGATAAGGAGGATCAGTGTGTTGTCATACTGTCAGAGTCGCGAGTTGATTGTGTTAGATCAGCAGACGGTCGCAGGATTCTCAAGGTAAGCAGTTGTTTTTAACTCTGAACTCGTTTTTAGCTGTTCTTTGTTTACTTGTTTACTGTTTCCTTGCTAATTTGTAATGTAAAGTAGCGGAAACTGGTTAAAAGTTTAAATTAGCTTAACAATAAGAGGTTTGAAGATGAAACAATTATTCGTCGTGTTTTATTTAATTTATCTTGTGTTCATTATGGATCTTTTCTCGATGGTTTCCATTAAGATCTACATTTATTTATGAAAATATATATTTTTTTCTCTTTTTAAATGTATGTATAGGTATGGTAAAATAATTGAAATTCTTTAATAAAAAATTTAAATGTTTTTTTACTATTAGTCAATTGCTTTATTATTATTAATTGTTTTGATTGTCACTTTTATAGTAATTATAGTTTATTTTATTCTGCTCCTAGATTAACTGTAGTTTTGAATAGTTGGGAAGGTTTGACATCTTTAAACACATCTTTAATTTGTCTTACTTAATCACACAAATACGGTGTTTTTAATAGGGTATTTACAGTAAATTATGTTTTTTTTCACTATTTTAATTTGTGTTTTATTAATTAGTTAATTAATTTTGATACTGAATTTATTTGCATGTCTTTAAAAATATATAAATATATTATATATAGCTACGTAAAAGTTTATATAAATTAACATATACACACACAGAGAGAGAAAGAGAGAGAGAGAATAATTTAGGAGTGCACAGAGTTTCATCATATAGGAATGTACAGAACACACTCACGTTTCTGCTGATCTCACACACAGAAGAAGACAAGCATCTACAAATCAATGAATCTACAGAAGGGAACTCTGAGTCCCCCTGAATAATTAGCCCCTGTTAATTTTTTTCCCCAATTTCTGTTTAACAGAGCAATTTTTTTTCCCAACACATTTCTAATCATATTGGTTTTAATAACTCATCTCTAATAACTGATTTATTTTCTCTTTGTCATGATGACAGTAAATAATATTAGACTAGATATTCTTCAAGACACTTCTATACAGCTTAAAGTGACATGTAAAGGCTTCACTAGGGTAATTAGGGTAACTAGGCAGGTTAGGGTAATTAGCCAAGTTATTCTATAATGATGGTTTGTTCTGTAGACTATCGAAAATTATAGCTTAAAGGGGCTAATAATATTGACCTTAAAATGGTGTTTAAAAAAAATATTATCAGACATAGTGTGAAAATTTCCTGAATCTGTTCAACATCATTCGGGAAATATTTAAAAAAGAAAAGAAAATTGATAGGGGGCTAATAATTCTGACTTCAACTGTATATATATATATATATATATATATATATATATATATATATATATATATATATATATATATATATATATATATATATATATATCCATGTATATATATATATATGAGTTCCCTTCTGTAGATTCATTGATTTGTAGATGCTTGTCTTCTTCTGTGTGTGAGATCAGCAGAAACGTGAGTGTGTTCTGTACATTCCTATATGATGAAACTCTGTGCACTCCTGAATTATTCTCTCTCTCTCTTTCTCTCTCTCTGTGCGTGTATATGTGCGTGTATATGTGCGTGCATATGTATATGTATATGTGCGTGTTCCAGCATGAGTATTGAGCAGGTATCGCTGCTGCTGCAGGAGTGTGTGCGGTGTGCACAGAGTGATAAAACTGAACCCACGGAGCTGCTGCTGCTCCACCGTGGTGAGAAAACACACACACACACACACAAACACACATGCACAACAACTACAATGCTATTATAAACATTTTCCCTATATTCATGTTTTTTTAAACCCTTCTGTACCCTTAAAGACTTTATTTATGTATTGTAATGTGACCCTGTTGGCTGTGTTAATGCAGACATCAGGGTGTGAAAATGTTTTAAAAACCTATTTTGCAAAATATATTCACTGAAACCTGTTCAAACAGCAGAGAGTCCTGTACACTCCACAAATGCTGGGCTGTTTTAACACAATGCTTATTTAAGTTTAATTGAACAAATTAACCCAATTAATATGTCTTTCCAAATTTGAGTGAACCTTCAGAAAATAGCATTTTAATAACTTGTAATATGTTGTTAATAAAATCTGTAGGGATGGTTTACAGTTTAACCCAAAGGATGAGCAGTCTGGTAGATGAAGAAGAGCCGGAGTCAGAGATTTAAATAAATAAATCAAGTTTACTGAAGATAGTTTGCAGTTTCATCCGCAGAAGCGAGCTTCAACACTCGCAATGAGTTCCTAGGCCGCTCTGCTTACAATCACCAATCAATAACAATCATACTCTCACATAACGTCATTAACTGCGTCACACATATAACCTGATTGGTTAAAACACAGATAGACTAGGAAAATTTCCACTTGGGGTGGTTTCTGAAAATAGTTATAAAGGGACAGGCAAATGCCCTGAACATTCTTATATTAAGCAATGTGTAACTTATTCATTGATTAAAATCAATTCAAAGTTAAATACTCATGCAAATAATCAAATAATTTTATTTAATAAAAATTATGAGAAACAAGATGATGGAAAAGGATAAACGTTGATTCATACTGAGATGGATTGAAAGGTATAAATCCAATTCGTTCACGTCTAAAATGTTGTACAATTGTTAAAAGTCAGAATTATTAGCTGTCCTGGATATTTTATTTCCAAGTCCTGTTTAAAAGAGAGATTTCCTCAGCACATTTCTAATCATAATAGTTTAATAACTCATCTCTAATAACTGATTTATTTTCTCTTTGTCATGATGACAGTAAATAATATTAGACTAGATATTCTTCAAGACACTTCTATACAGCTTAAAGTGACATGTAAAGGCTTCACTAGGGTAATTAGGGTAAAGTTAGGGTAATTAGGCAAGTCATTGTATAACAGTGGTTTGTTCTGGAGACAATCCAACACTAATATTGCTGAAGGGGCGAATAATATTGAGCTTAAACAATATTGATATAATAATATAATTAATATAATTAATATATAATTAATATTGAGCTTAAAATTGAGCTAAAACAATTAAAACTGCTTTTATTCTAGCCGAAATAAAACAAATAAGACTTTCTCCAGAAGAAAAAATATTAGAGGAAATACTGTGAACATTTCCTGAATCTGCTCAACGTCATTTTGGGAAAACGTATTGGAAGAAGAAAATCACAGACGGGTGAATAATTCTGACTTCAGCTGTAAATGTCAACAAAACATCTCCAATGTTAAGGGTGCACACAACGCTGGCTGTCCACTGTATGGTGTTTTTGTGTGAATATCCTCTCAGGGCAGTTTCCGGATGATCTGAACGCACTCCTGCAGGACGCGGCTGACAGAAAGTGGCCGTTTGTGGAGGAGAAATGGCAGTACAAGCAGTCGGTGTCGTCTGAAGACAAGATCAACTCATCAGAGCTCATCAGGGCTCATCTGCAGGACTTACTGGTAACGGCTTTACTCATTACAGCGTATATTGACTCTTAAAGCACACCTATTATGCAGAAATCACTCTTCTAAGGGGTGTAAACTCAGCTGTGTGTCAGCAGTGTGTGAATATCTCCAGCCTGTAATGGTGAACATGAATTAATTGTGTTTGTTCTAATCGCACTCGATTAAAAACAGTCTGCAGAAACACTTCTCCCTTTATACGTGTCATCAGAGGGGGACAGCCCCGCCCACTAGTGCCTCATTAGCATAACAGCAGCTCTGAGTGAGAAGCAGCCGTCTGTGCATTAGAGCAGGGGTCTCAATCTCAATCTGGCCAGGGGCCTATTCGGAGACTGACAAATGATAGGAGCGCCGTCTTAACAGTAGTTTAACGCTGTTAAGTAGGCTAAAGACTCTAGCGTCTGTCGTTAGAGCACCTTTAGAGGTCAGAGGAGTGAGGTTTACCTGCACAGCACACACTAGCTGGCCTCCGTAACACTGAGAAAACAAAAAAAGTGAGGGGGGGGAGCTCCGCCCTCTCCTGAAAAGAGCACAATCTCATTTGCATTTAAAGCGACAGTCACCAAAACCCCACTACTAGGATCAAAGCCTAACAGGGTCCGTTTCAGAGAGCTGGAGAACATTATCTGTGTGCTGTTTTGTGTTTTTAAGAAGAGAGATATATTAACTCATGCTTAATGTATATAATTTATTTAAATATATTTGTTTACATGAGAGACACAAATGCCTTACCCAACGAACACGGACCTATTAATAACCCATTAAGCACTTTTTGTTTGCTTTTAGTTACCATTCACAAGAATAACCGTGGCTGGTTCATATAGGGTCTTATCTGAGATTACATTATATGACTGTCAGGCTCTGATTGGCTAATCGGGAGGACCGGGAGAATTCCCAGTGGGCCGGTCCATTTTTTGGCTGCAAGGGCCGGTGTCCCTGCACTCTCAGCAGTCACACTTTATTATTTATTTATTTGACCATAGCCTCTTTATTATTCATTATTTTGCTGCAGCTCCGCTCTTTTTATTTATTTTCTTGCAGCCCAGTGAGCAAAATGCAGCCTGCAGGTTATTGATGATGTAACTATCATTCGACCCCAAACAGCAGCACCTCAGTGAATATAGAAACATGGATTCTCCTACCACTGCTATGCTGATGATACCCAGCTATACCTCTCTTTTTATCCTGATGATCCCTCGGTTCCGGCTCGCATCTCAGCCTGCCTGTTGGATATTTCACACTGGATGAAAGATCATCATCTTCAGCTGAACCTCGCAAAAAAAGAAATGCTTGAAGTTTCTGCCAACCCGACTCTACACCATAACTTTTCAATCCAGATGGATGCGGCAACCATTACTGCATCCAAAATGGTGAAAAGCCTTGGAGTAACGATTGATGACCAACTAAACTTCTCTGAGCACATTTCTAGAACTGCTCGATCGTGCAGATTCACACTCTATAACATCAGAAAGATCCGACCCTTCCTATCTGAACATGCAGCTCAACTCCTTGTTCAAGCTCTTGTTCTCTCCAAACTGGACTATCGCAACTCTCTACTAGCCGGGCTTCCAGCTAACTCTATCAAGCCTCTTCAGCTGCTCCAGAATGCAGCAGCACGAGTGGTCTTTAATGAACCTAAAAGAGCACATGTCACTCCGCTGCTCATCCGTTTGCACTGGCTGCCAGTTGCTGCTCGCATCAAATTCAAAGCTCTGATGTTTGCCTACAAAGCGACTTCTGGCCTTGCTCCTTCTTATCTGCTCTCACTTCTGCAGATCTATGTGCCCTCCAGAAACTTGCGTTCTGTGAATGAACGTCGCCTCGTGGTTCCATCCCAAAGAGGGAAGAAATCACTTTCCCGAACTCTCGCATTCAATCTGCCCAGTTGGTGGAATGAACTCCCGAACTGCATCAGAACAGCAGAGTCACTCGCTGTCTTCAAGAAACCACTAAAAACTCAACTATTTAGTCTCCACTACACTTCCTAATCTGCAGTTGCCTCTCTGAATATCACACTCACTGTACCCAAAAAAAAATTACTAATACTTTCTTTCTTAGACTTTACAGACCTGAAGCTTGCCTACAGCACTTCTTCATTGTTGCTCTTATAGTTGTGTAAATTGCTTCCTTGTCCTCATTTGTAAGTCGCTTTGGATAAAAGCGTCGGCTAAATGACTAAATGTAAATGTAAATATAGATCCAAGATGGCCGCCGGGAGTGGTGGTGGTTTGTTGGGCTCCACAGCTGCTCTTTGGCACCAGATATTTTTTACAAATCCTGGTTGGAATTATAAACATTTTTTAACAGTTTTATTCATATAGAATTGAAAATAACTTTCATCCATGGACAAAGTCAGGAATAACAAGCCAAGAAATGAGAAAAGTAGGACATGTCTGCTAGAGCTGTGAACCTACACTGGTCTCACGGTTCGGTTCGGTTACGATTATTATGCTATCGATTTGGTTCAATTCGATATTTCGGTGCATCTAGGTGCATTGACGGTGCTTTTCATACACAGTTTTATATTTTCTTCACAGCAGCAGTTCTTGTATTAAAATGTATGAATATATTTATATATTATTTGTAATACAATTTTGTCATTTAATACAAACACTCAGCTATATAAACTGTACCTTTAAACAAAACGAGCATTTAGCAAATAATATAAACAAATATAAATATCCAGCTCAATTTCTGATCCTTGTCTAGTTCTCTTACACCTCTTTGATTGGTCACACCCTCAACAGAAACGGTTGCGATTGGCTCTTGCGCGCTGCGTTCTCAACAGATGAGTGACACTGAGCGGCAGGCGGCAGCGGCGATCACAGATGATCCATGATAGACACGGTGGAGAAAACTCTGCAGACGCTCATTTCTTTATCCAGAAGTAACGCTGTAAAACAGCCGAGAGGAGAAGAAAAGCCACGCCAGCAGGTCAAATGGGCCACTGTGTGTGTGTGTGTGTGTGTGTGTGCGTGTGTGTGTGTGTGAGAGACAGAGAGAGAGAGAGAGAGAAATGGAGTAGGCTACTTTCATTCTCTCGATCTCAGTGAAATAGGGGCTATTGTTGTATATGTCAGTGAAAGACTGATCCAGCAAACACACACAGTGAAATTGTGCACAGTTTATTAGTTTTAAGTAGTTAAAGCGCTGTAAATACTCGCGATCGCCTCCCTCGCGACAGAGCGCATATGAGGTAAATGACGTCAGTAATAACCGGTTATGATTATTACTGAACCGATACTAAATTGTCCGCGTCTGCATCGCAGTGCACCGAAGAAACAATTAATTTTGACACCCCTAATGTCTGCACATGGCTGATTTGTTTGCTGAACTTGCATTTGCTCTCTTGCTTTACCCTTGATTCCAGCTTTGCTTTCCATCTATGTAATATTATTGAATATTACACCTGCTTAATGAAAATCAGATGATTCACTACATTAATAAATCTGAGAAAACTTGATCAGAAATCTAAAAATGGGAGAAAAAGATTAAGCCATCAATAGAAACAATACTATGGTCAACTGTGGTCCAGTGGTCAGCACGTTGCATTACGACGCTGCTGACCTGGGTTCGAACCTTACCTGAGTAATTATTTATTTTTATTTTTTTTTTGTAAAGACATCTAATACTGTTAGGGTTGTGGAACATTTGAAGTACTAAAGCAGCTGCGTCCTTAAAAAAGATGTGGTAGTGTCATTAGTAACTGAATTGGAAATGACCTTATTTTAATATTGTCAGTCGTGAACTGAGGTGGGCCGGTCTAATGCTTGAAACTCCAGGGCTGAAAAGGAGTCCCACTCCGGCCCTGATGACTGAACATGCATAAAATTACAGATATAATATATCGATTGTCCTCATAACTTTATCAGTTAAGGTCTTCTCACACTGAAGTCCACAAACCTTGCATACCGAAGTGTGTTAATTAATCTGTTGCGAAATTATTCACAGAATAGAGTAGTGAAGATGATTTCGTTGTCTTCTCCCTGCTTCACAAAAGAAAAAGGAAATATTGGGTTCATCCCATATGAAAAATGGAAAACATTGAACCCGATTCAGATTTGTTTCGGAGGCAGTGCATTAATGTAATAATTAATGAGGTAACATAACCAACATTTCTGATTCAGTGTGCAATAACCTATTTGTAGATCTACATGAATTTTCGAGAGTTACGATGGGTTTGGGAAACACAGCCCAGACTATAATGGCCTGCAGGGCTCGAAATTGCAACCATTTTGGTCATATATGCACCCAAAATTTAAGCTATGCGACCTCATAATATATATTGGGAGCATTCGTGCGACTGCATATAATGGTTGCAGTGCGACGTGTTTTTTTTTTTTTTTCTAAAAACGTGGTAAAATCGCTCTTCCCTGCCGCTATATTGGTTCATATTAGCTGTCAATCACTCAAGACTTTCAGCTTTTGTGACCGCGGGGAATGCAAACGGCTGAAGACTGAAAAGTACACTGAATCTCGATGCGCTGCATGCACTGCGTGTTCAGCCAACACAATCTCACAGCAATTCGTAACATTTTCATACGTTTCCTCGTGAGATCAGGCTGCAACAGCGCAAATGTCCGCTAAAACACCATCGCCAAAGAAGCTCGCCTTTACTGAGTTTAAACTGATGCGGGTTATACCAAAGTACAGTATTGCGCCGGTGGTCATCGGGAGAATCCTGCTCTGCCCCCCTCATATTGGGCCGGCTGACTCGCATGCTTTTCCGCAAACACAGAAAAATGTAATTCAGCACGTAACGAGGCTGAGCATTAAAACAACACGAAGCGAAACCAAAACTTTTATAAGTGAGACTTTTCCTCCTTTCTTTTGTCTGTTCATTCTTGAGGTGTATATTATTTTTCTATTTAATTACTGATGACTGCTTTGCAGCTTTCAGCATTGAACTGAATGATTTATTATATTATTTTGTTTGTTTTGTAGCAGAACTATTATTTATTAAATTGACATGCATATAAAAACATTAGTACAAAATAAATATTACTGCAATGCTTCATTTTTATTTGATGCACACCATACATACATACATACAGATAACTCACATTAAAGCACATTTAAGGCATCATGATGATGAGAAATGTAATTCATTGTTAGTATTATTGACATCATCGTCATCATTAATATTTTATAATTATTGGACATTCGTTTAGGAATTATTGCACAAATATTAAGTCATCACAGCATTAGTTAGATAGTTGTTTCTGTTTTTTGTTAGTCCTAATTAATGTTGTTTTTTTAAATACAACAAATCCCTTCAAATACAGTTTGCAGCGGTGCTCATTCATTTTTAGTGGGTGCTCCTACATTTTTTTTCTGGTGCTCCTAAATATTTAAAGTTGGGAGCACCGGTGCCACCAAGTAAAAAAGTTAATTTGGAGCCCCGGCCTGTATCTGATGTTTTTCCTGATGTGTTTTCAGCTCTTCCTCAGAGACTGTATCGCGGCCGATGATCCCGGTTTGGCCGCCGCTGTGCTGTTTCTGCTGGACCGTCTGCTGTACTGGATGGATGGCTCAGAGGGCCTGCTTAAGGTTGCTAAAGCGTTGCACAAACGTTATCCAGACGTTCCCATTGCTCCTCAGGTCATCATCCGGCAGGCTCGGGTTTACCTGAACACCGGTGAGCTCAGATGCGTTAACACTGCGAGGATCTGTCACAGAAATCTGCAGAAGTATGAAGAGTGACTTTGCAGAGTAGAGCAACTATATGCTGATATACAGTTGAAGTCAGAATTATTCGCCCCCTTGTTTATTTTTTCCTTAATTTCTGTTCAACAGAGAGCAGATTTCTCCAACACATTTCTAATCATAATAGTGTTCATAACTCATCTCTAATCACTGATTTATTTCCTCTCTGTCATGATGACAGTAAATAATATTAGGCTAGATATTCTTCAAGACACTTCTATACAGCTTAAAGTGACATTTAAAGGCTTCACTAGGGTAATTAGGGTAACTAGGCAGGTTAGGGTAAATAGGCAAGTTATTGTATAATGATGGTTTGTTCTGTAGACTATAAAATAGATATCTTAAAGGGGCTAAAAATATTGAGCTTAAAATGATGTTTAAAAAATTAAAAACTGCTTTAATTCTAGCTGAAATAAAACAAATCAGACTTTCTCCAGAAGAACAAATATTATCAGACATACTGTGAACATTTCCTCAATCGGTTCAACATCATTTGGGAAATATTTTAAAAAAGAAACAAAAAATTCTAAGGAGGGCGAATAATTCTGACTTTAACTGTATGTGTGTGCTTTTACACACATTCAACAAATTCCCATCTGTATCAAATGTGATCAAAATAATCATCTGCTTTCATTGTGATCTGGTCCGTCCTGCTTTTAAAGTCTGCATAAACTGGAAGCTGTGACCGATGATTTGATTTGTTTTGTTTCGTATTGTTTAACTAAAGAAAGAAACTCATAAAGCTCATGAAGAATGAGTAAAGGGAGAGTAAATGATGACAGAATTTTCATTTTTGGGTGAACTATCCTTTTAACCGAAATATAATCTATATTAAAAAGTATTTTAATGTTTCATTTATTCACATTTCTTTAATGTTTGCTAAATTATTATTAAATTTTTTTATTTGTTTATTAAACTTTTACAGATATAACAAAGTATTTTTACAGATAAGTTTACAAATTATATTCCCACCCGGGCGACGCAGTGGCGCAGTAGGTAGTGCTGTCGCCTCACAGCAAGAAGGTCGCTGGTTCGAGCCTCGGCTGGCTCAGTTAGCGTTTCTGTGTGGAGTTTGCATGTTCTCCCTGTGTTTGCATGGTTTTTCAGGTGAACTGGGTAGGCTAAATTGTACGTAGTGTATGAGTGTGTGTGGATGTTTCTTAGAAATGGGTTGCAGCTGGAAGGGCATCCGCTGCGTAAAAACGTGCTATACAAGTTGGCGGTTCATTCCGCTGTGGTAACCCCAGATTAATAAAGGGACTAAGCAGAAAGGAAAATGAATGAATGAATATTCCCACCCCTACCCTCTACACAAAGCTAAATTATTTTAATAGTAAGTTAAGACGCAGGTTTTCCATTAAAATCCACAATAGGAAGTGGAAGAATGGCTATAAATAAATCTTACGCTGATATATGTATGTGTTTACACACACTCAACAAATTTCCATCTGTAATCAGTTGTGACCAAACTAATCTCTCTTTATTTATTTATTTGAGTGTGATTGTCTGTTCTCATTGTGATGCAGGTAAACTGAGGAAGGCAGAGTTCATTCTCAGCAGTCTGATCAAAAATAATGCGTCCACAGGTACTGTTCCCTTTCATTGCTTTACATGCGAATATAGCTCAATGCCGTGTCTGTGCTGTGACTGTAATGCTGTTCTGCAGGCTGCTGGTCGTATCAGAAGGCCAGTGATCAGACTCTGGTGCAGGCCGTCTGCCTGCAGGTGCGTGGACAGGTGCTGCAGACGCTGGGTGAGGAACAGAAGAGCGCAAACGCATGACAAGAGTGTCATCAACCCTGAACTGTCTAAACTAGCATTCTCTTCGGCTTAGTCCCTTTATTTATCAGGGGTCGCCACAGCGGAATGAACTGACAACTATTCCAGCATATGTTTTATACAGTGGATGCCCTTCCAGCTTCAATCCAGTACTGGGAAACATTTATACACACTCATTCACACACACACACACACTCATAGACTACGGCCAGTTTAGCTTATTCAATTCCCCTATAGACAAACTCTACTCAGAAATGCCAACTGAACCAGCCGGGACTTGAACCAGAGGCTTTCTTGCTCTGAGGCAACAGTGCTAACCACTGAGCCACCATGCCACCCCCACACCAAGCTCAATAACAATTAAATGATGATAAATACGTCGTTTTTAAAATGGTTCTGAATGTAAAACATTAGCCGAGTTCAGCCCACAGCTACAACCATAAACATGTAGAGAAACAATAACGTTGGGATCACGTTTAGAATAATAACAGATAATACACCATTTAAACATTACACACTGTGTTTTAAAAAATGTAAAACGTTTAGCACACTTAACGTTTTCTTTAGGTGAAAAATGGGCTTTATGCACATCAAGTTTGTGCTCTAGTTTACACGAGCTGGATTCACTGGTCAGATGCACTAATAGCACACTGAGGACATCTACTGGTTACAGGAGAATAATGCAAGAAGAAAAAAGATTGATGATATGTTTTGTTGTCTTGGTAATGTCAAGTTGTCATGACAAAGACAAAAACCGGTTGGGATGTATTTGTTTATGTCAGGTTGTCATAACAATGTCATATTTGCATTTAAAATGACACAACTGACTGAATGACAGTTGTCATGAGCGTGCATAAAATCTCAGTCACAACATGATTATAAAGTTTTCCCGACAGTCTTATGAACACCCCTTAAACTAAAGTGTTGAATAATGTAATATAAAATGTGCGTCTGTAGGTTTGTGGCTGGAATCTGCAGAGCTCTTATGGGCGTCTGTCATCGGCTTTTACACTCTTCCACAGCCTGATAAAAAGGTCAGAGTAACACACATTTGCATTATATAACATATTATAATCACATCAGACTGTGTTTTTGCTGGTGTGTTGTCTAGAACTCTTGAATATCAGCATTTGTTGTTGTTTTCAGGGCATTGGAACGTCTCTCGGGCTTCTGGCTAACATACTGACCTCCATGAATGAGCGAGACTTCACGGCGCTCCAGAATAAACCACATATTAAACTGGTAATTAGGTCTGAATGTTGGCTGGGTAGTAGTGGATTACATCCAAGGATTCCATATTCAGATTAGATTAAACTACTTTTTAAATTACTTGTAATCAGATTACAGTTACTTTTTAATGGATTGCATATTATTTCCGGAATGGCAGTAAGTTTTTCACAATAAATCGATTCTTTAATAAGTAATCTAAATGGAATACGAAAGGAGTTTGATTTCATTTTCACAAAAGTAATCTAAATGTAATCCAAAAGCAGTAGGATTACATTACTACAAAAATAAAATAAATGTAATCCAAAAGTAGTCATATTACATCACAACAAAAGTAATCTAAATGTAATCCAAAAGCAGTCCGATTACATTTTCACAAAAGTAATCTAAATGTAATCCAAAAGGAGTCCGATTACATTTTCACAAAAGTAATCTAAATGTAATCCGAAAGGAGTCTGATTACATTTTCACAAAAGTAATCTAAATGTAATCCAAAAGCAGTACGATTACATTACTACAAAAATAATATAAATGTAATCCAAAAGTAGTCATATTACATCACAACAAAAGTAATCTAAATGTAATCCAAAAGGAGTCTGATTATATTTTCACAAAAGTAATTTAAATGTAATCCAAAAGGAGTCTGATTGCATTACCATAATTAAAATCTAATTTAGTCCAAAAGTGGTGAGATTACATTATCACAGAAGTAATCTAAATGTAGGCAGATAACGTCAAAGCAAAATTAATCTAAATGTAGTCCAATGATATCACAACAAAAGTAATCCAGGGTAATCCAAAAGCAGTCCGATTTTGTTACCCTAAATATAATCTAATTGTAATCCCAAAGTAGTCAGATTACATTATCATAAAAGAAATCTAAATGTAATTCAAAAGTAGTATGGTTGCAAAACCATAACAAAAATCTAATTGTAATGCAAAAGTAGGCAGATTACATTATCACAAAAGTAATCCAAATGAAATCTAAATGTTGTCAGATTATATCATAACAAAAGTAATCCAAAATTTGTCCGATTAGATTACCACAAAAATAATCTAAATGTTACCAAAAGTATTTAGATTACATCCCAACAAAAGTAATCTAATGTTATCAAAAAGTAGTTTGATTGCATTATCATAACTGTAATCTAATTATAATCCAAAAGTTGTCAGATTACATTACTACAAAAGTAATCTAAATGTAATCCAAAAGCATTAAGATTACATTACTACAAAAGTAATTTAAATGTAATCCAAAAGTAGTAAGATTACATTACTACAAAAAGAATATAAATGTAATTCAAAAGTAGTCAAATTACATCTCAACAAAAGTAATCTAAATGTAATTCAAAAGTAATCAGACTACATCTTAACAAAAGTAATCTAAATGTAATTCAAAAGTAATCAGATTACATCTTAACAAAAGTAATCTAAATGTAATTCAAAAGTAATCAGACTACATCTTAACAAAAGTAATCTAAATGTAATTCAAAAGTAATCAGATTACATCTTAACAAAAGTAATCTAAATGTAATTCAAAAGTAATCAGATTACATCTCAACAAAAGTAATCTAAATTTAATTCAAATGTTGTCGGCGTAGGAGTAGAAGTGTGATACCTAACGTAATCTAGTTATAATCCAAAAGATGTCAGACTACATTATCGCCAAAGTAATCTGATTTAAATGATTTATATATTACCCAAAAAGTAATCGGATTACTTTACCACACTATTAATCTAAGTGTAATCCATAGTAGAGATGCGCGGATGGCGGTTACAGCCGCGGAATCCGCGGATAAACCGCGGATCGGGCGGATGATGTGACAAAAAATAAAATTTTAATTAAATTCGGGCGGGTGGTGGGCGGTTGTACTGTTTTTGTACACATAGCTGGCGCACCAACGAAAAAGAGAGCTGAGCTCCATTGACTTGCACGTTTGAATTAACTGCATGTCATTAAATTCATTCCCTATTTTCTAATAATCAATAAAGAAACATTCATTTAATAATAAAAAGGAATAAGCCATTCAAATTAAGAGCTCAGTCAGCATATGGCGGGCGGGTGCGGTTTTAAATTTTGGTCGAAAATGTTAGTGCGGATGGATGGCGGACGGATGAGGAGTTTTGTAATGCGGTTGCAGATGAAACAATAGCCCATCCGCGCATCTCTAATCCATAGGTAGTCAGATTACATCACAACAAAAGTAAAAAAGTAAAAGTAATAATAGGTAATCTAAATGTAATCCAAAAATAGTTTGATTGCATTACCCTAATTGTAATCTTATTGTTATTCAAATGTTGTCAGATTGCTCTACCATAATGTAATGCAATTATAATCCAAAAGTTGACAGATAACATTATCACAAAAGTAATCTAACTGTAATCCAAAAATAGTCAGGTTACATTACAACAAAAGTAGCTAAACGTAATCCAAAAGTAGTAAGATAACATCATAATAAAAGTAATCTAAATGTAATCCAAATGTAGTCAGATTACATCATAAATGTGTAATCTAAGAAAATATATCACTGACTACTCATTTTGTGAGTAATTTGTAATCGGTAACAGATTAATAACTAATCCGCCCAGCTCTTCTCTGTTTTTCTCTGGTCAGAGTTTTCTCGGAGAGACTCGCCATCGTCTGCTTTCTGCGGCACAGGCGGCCAAAATGGCGGTTGTCTTAAGTCAATATGGATCTCTGTATGTTCTGACCAATGTGGTGAGTGTACTGTTTCTGAATGAACAGAATCATAATTCCGTAAACACACTTTAATTGGAGCTGCATTGAAGCATCACTTTTTCAGTAAATAGAATTTATAATGTATAGCATAAAAATAAGCTTTACAAAAAACTCAAAAGATCAAAATTAGAATTTATAAGATGATGTTTTAAATTATAACATGCTAGTAAATCATTAATATACGATTAAAAAGTCAAAATTCTGGGAAAAAATCTTAATTGTCACAAATGATCAATGTATTCTGTAATTTGAATGTTTTTTTAGTAAGATCTGTGTTGATTTCTGATAACGCAGTGTATATTTAAATTGTATATTCACTTTATTTTAATATATGAAAGGTATGTAATGTGAAGAGATGCATCTACCAGTTTAACCAGTTATGCTTGCTACAAGAGATGATAAGAATTCCAAAACTTTATATCAGGTTTATGTAGATGCATTTATCTCTTTATTTCTTTCTTCTAATGCTCTGTTGTAGGTGGCACGGGGGATTTGTTTACTGTCTTACAGTTTCTCTAGAAAATGTCCAACTAGCGATCAGCATAAGTATATGGCTTTGGCTAAAGAGGCCTTTGAGATCGGTTTGTTGACCAAGACTGCAGCAGACGCGGTCACCAGTAAACTGGAGCTGCACACGTTCCTCAAAGCTGCATACAGTTTAACTGCAACTCACCGATGGATGAGCGGACCATCAGACAACGTCATCACTGCAACGGGCGTCTGTAGACAGGCTTTGACTTTATTTGTCCACTACTGCAATACAAGCGATTCCTCTTTGTGTGCTGTGATAATGGAGAAAATACAACAGATTAAGACGTTGTTGAACGTGAACCCTTTTCATAATTCAGATCCACACTCCTTTATTCCAGACAGCTACCGTTCCATGCAGATCAAGCCTGTTTTGTTTACACCAGATGATTTTGAGAAGACGTTGGACGTTTTTGAAAAGCACCACAAGACTGTTTGCGAGGCATTAACAAATGATACTCGAGTTACATCCTCGACTCATGCACAGTGTATAACTGCATTTCAGACAAACACAGAGGTTCTGACTACAGAGGTTTCCACATGCCGTCATTCTCATGCAGATTCCATCAAGCAGACTCGATCTAATAGCAAAAAGGTTGGTCAAAACTCTCACAACACATGCAGTTCTGGCTCTTATGAGCCTCTTGATGACTGTAGTGATGGAGGTCGAGCAGCAAACATTGTCGATCCAAGGAATCAAAGTAATACTTCCAATGCCTTTAGATACAACAAAGGTAACCAAAGTCAGCCCCAACCCATGCACTCGGAAGCCGGAACATCAGAAAGCCGAAGAAGAAACTATTGGAAGTATCAGGGAGCAAGAACATCTTCAAGTTCTTACAGCAATTCCTCTTCATGGGAAATTGTATCAGGACGATCTCAAAGCAGCATAGAAACTGAGGAGGATGCAGGTGATCCTTTACATAACATCAATAGGGATACACAATTTGATGAACCCAACAGTGTTAGACCCAACAAGGGGATCCAAAATCAATCCCAACCAATGCAAGAGCCAGCCACAGCTGAAGACATTGAAGATGAGACCCAGAATACGTCAAGAACCCAACGAATAGATGTTCCAAAGAAACTGGAAGTAAGAACACTTTCCAGTTCCTTTGGGAGCCGCACTTCATGGGAGCATCTATCAGGACAATCTCAAAGCAGCATAGAAACAGAGGACGACATTGTAGATCCCTCACTAAATGCCAACAAAGTTGATGCCGATGCAGAGAGTGGTGTTTCTAACATCCTTAGACACAACAAAGGGATTCAAAGTCAATTCCAGCCAATTAATGAACCTGCCACAACTGAAGATGTTGAAGACGAGACACCAAATACATCTTCTACTCAACCGAGAGGTGGCTACATTAGACACAACAAACGGATCCAAAGACAGTCCCAAACAATGAAAGAGCCCATCCTAACAGAAGAAGTAGAAGATGAACCATCGAATACATCATCCACCCATCAGAATGATACCAAGAACCTGGGAGCAAGAGTGTCTTTAAGTTCTTGCAGCAGTAGCTCTTCATGGAATTGTGTATTGGGACAATCTCAAAGTAGCATAGAAACTGAGGAGGACGCAATAGATCCATCACAGAACATCAACAAAATCAATCCCAGTGCAGAGGGTGGTGGCTCCAACAGCCTTAGACACAACAAAGGCATCCAAAGTCAATCTCAACCAATGAAAGGGCCAATATTAACTGAAGATGAACAACCACATACATCAGATAATGCGGATTCTTCACAAAATGTCAGCAAAATCAATGCTAAATCGATTGGTGACTCCAATGCCATTAGACTCAACAAAGGGATCCAAAGTCTGCCTATAGCTGATGATATGTCAAGAACCCAATGTATAGATGTTCGCAAGAAACGGGAACCAAGATCATTTTCCAGTTCTGTCGGGAGCCGCTCGTCATGGGAGCATCTTTCAGGACAATCCCAAAGCAGCATAGAAACAGAGGACGACATCGCAGATCCCTCAGAAAATGTCAACATAACCAACCCCAGTGCAAAAACTGGTGACTCCAACACTGTTAGACACAACAAAGCAGCCCAAAGTCCATCCCAGCCAATGAATGAACCCATCTTTACTGAGGATATTGAGGATGAACTACCAAATACATCAGACCCTACATTAAACATCAACAAAATCAATCCCAGTGGAAAGATTGGTGATTCCAACACGATTAGACACAACAAAAGGATCCGAATTCAATCCCAACCAATGAAAGAGCACATTTTAACAGAGGATGTTGAAGATGAGACACCAAATACATCAACTGCACAACAGAAAGACATTAGGAATAACCTGGGACCAAGAACATCTTCAAGTTCCTTCAGCAGTCACTTTTCTTGGGAATGTGTAAAGGGACAGTCTCAAAGTAGCATAGAAACTGAGGACGATGCTATAGGAATCAATCCTAACCACAGTGAGATGAATAATGATGCAAATCTTGGTAGAAGCCCTTCGTTTTCCCTGTGCAACAGCTCTGAATTGCAAGCATCTTTTCAAAAACTGCCCAAAAGCCCCATTGCTGATGCTGAATGTCTAGAGTTGATGCGTAAAAAGGAAAGAAGGGAGGAGAGTGATAAAGCATTTCCACTTAAGGTCTCGGACAATATTCGTAAATCTCAGAATACCACAAGTGACTCATTTGAGGAGCTGGGATTTGAAGATCTGTCTTTACTCAACAACCATCAGAAAACGAGGAGCTCCATCAAACCTTCCTCTACCGGAGGGGATGCACCGCCATGCACCAGCTGTTTTGAGAACTGCATCATGGGAAGTGAAGTTCTGACCGAGCTGGACTACAGATCTCTGTTGGCTGGAGTTTGCCACCGATGCCTTGTAGAGCGGCTGCCAAATAAACCGCTGAAGCCCCTGGAGAAAGGACAGCAGCAGAAGGCCTACGGTAAGACATGCTGGAGGATGAGCCTAACAGATGTTAGACCTTGTTCAAACCTCTTAAGATGCATTTTCAGCAATTCTGATCACAGGAAGAGGTGTAAATGTTACTTATTGTAAATGACACGCTTCCAATGTGTAATTTACCAACTCGCATTGTTATTCTTAAAGGGCCATGAAAGCCTAAATTACAACTTTTGAGATGTTGTCAGATATAAATGTGTGGCACTTTGATAAAAACACTATTAAGACACATACTGTATATTTCACTATAGAGTGAAAAGTGGTTATTTTTGTGAAGTTTCACAAACTAATTTCGAGAGGAGCACGTGATATGATTGACTGCAGCTGGTCTCTAATCTACCATCATTAGTTAGCCAATCAGATTAATCCAAACTCACTATAAGTAACCTAGCCAAAAACTATGTTTTCCGAAGAAACCCCCCATCCACCCCTTCTCCACCTCTCGAGAGCTCTCGAGAACCAGCTGATCTCGTACTCCCTTTACATGCTCTATTGACCAGGCGGGAGCCCTGGGCTCAATTATCTCAGAGTTCAGGGTTCTCTCCAGGGTTCTCTAAACATTGTTTAGAGCAAATTCGCTCTGGTCCTACGTGCACTCAAATGCTGTCATGCGGCACGTCACTTTCATTTCCATTTCCAAACTGCTCACTGATGGGACATTTAATCGCAGGGAGCCTTGTTTTAATACATGTACATACATTAAACATATGCAAAGTAAGTTCAGAGAGTAAATAAAGGTATTTGGGAAATGTAAAACACAATTTTTAAATTTAAATGCAAATCCATGCTTTCTATATGTGCATTGAACCGTGGAGGTTGTACCGAAAGGTTCAATATTATATTAAGTATTGCGGCATCCCTAGTTCACACCTTTAAAGCAATCTGGCCAATGTGTTCAACCTTTAGAAGCGGTCAAAAGTGGCCAAAAAAAGTGGCTCAAAAGGTTTCACAACATTCTTGGCGTTGTTTACTTGTGATGGTGTCAATGAAAATGCATCTGAATAGCGTTTCCACTGCCAAAAGGGTACCAGGGGTATGACAGAAAGTTGCAATCAAGGTCATTCTTGCTGAAGGAAATGTCAAAGTAAAGCTGTACGGGTCGTTCACATATCATATTATACACATAAATACTGTATAAATGTTCATTAAGCTTTCTATGAACATGATTTGATTATAACTGCAGATCAATTATCTGAAATAGCCTACTGTAAATAAATATAAATGCAATAAATAAATAAATGAATTTATATATGAACACACACAGACCCTTACAGACTCAGATATGAGACCAATTACAGTAAAACTACACACAGCAGACATTTAGTCCTTGGCTTCAAAAACAACACGAAATATAGCTCACAGTCAGAGCAAACCTCTCATCTGTGTCTGTAATCTTCAGCAGCACATGTAGCCTCTGTAAGAGAATAATCCCGTCAGTCATAACAGTCCAGAAGCTGATGATAATAGTTAAACACTGCAGTGTGTTCATCTTTATGAGTTGCTGAATAAATCATTTTCTCCTTTGTTTCGTTGCGCTTCACTCTCACGTTTGTCTATTTCTGAAAGGATCAGATGTCAGATGCACTTCAATAATTACGCACACGTTATCATCATCAGCTCAAGAAGTTCCAAATTTTAAATATAGGCGCGCAACGAGCTCCCTGGAGAAAGTGAAACCGCTCGCGATTTAGAAGGCCTCGTAAACAACAACAGGACACGGCACATTCTGCTCTTCTTTGTTTTGTGCCTGTTAATCATAACGAGACGACAAGCTGACCATGGCTCATTATTATATGTATATATTACTACAGTGTAATGTCTTGGCTTTGTATTTAAAAATGGCGCTTTCTTTGTTTTTGTTCTCTTAGCTTGTGTCCGCGCGAGTGACGCAAGTCTGTAAACAATAGCATTCAGCGCCCTATTTTGGTACCCTTTTGTCATGCTAGGTACCCTTAAGAAAAGGTACCCAAAAAGTGGTACGGTTTGCTTTTTGGTACCATTTGACAGTGAAATGGCCATACAAGTGTACCGTACCTTACCACTCTGTGGAAATAGGCCAAAAGAGCAGTTCTTGATCTGATCTGGCAGACGCTGTTGTCCTGAAGTACTCGAAGGCCTCAGACGAGTGGATGGGCTGCGAGACCAGTGTTTATATTGGGGAGCCGATGGGAGCCCAGGGCCAGCAGAGGAGAGCCATACAACTGCAATACCTGCACCAGGAGCAGCTGCTCAGCAGGTAAAACATCTGCATCGGCATGATTCATCAGTACAGTTAGGCAGAATCTACATCTAATCTACATCAATGTTGTGATTGACCAATCAGAATCAAGTATTCCAGAGGGTCATGAAATGACAATCAGTATTGTAATGCTCTACTAATAATGTATGACATTTACACGTGTATAATCATCAGCTATGTAGGGAAGGAGTATCTGAAGGAGAAAGGGCTCCATGCTCATCTTGATGACGTGGAGAGACAGATGACGGCTCAATACTATGTAAATGAGTTCAATAAATGCCTGTATGATAATAACGTCACCACCCAGATCTTCTTCATCCCCTCCGAAGTGCTGCTGGTAGGACTAATTCAATAATGATTATCATGATGACGATAATGTTGATTATTATTATTATGCACAGGATAATAGTATTAATAATAATTCATATTAATACCATTAATAGTAATATTATATATATATATATATATATATATATATATATATATAGTGCATATAGCATATGATGCTTTATGAGAAAGCTATTTCCTACATAAAACGAGTGTGAAGAACTGAGTGGAGTTGTTGTTTCAGGTTATGGAGAATAAACGTATCGTGACGTGTTTATCCGCGGAGCCGTACATGTCTGGGACATTTGTCAAGCTCACCAACAACACTAATAAAACACAAATGAAGTATGATGCAACGAAGTATGGCATTGCGTTTGGTCACTTCACCTATGAGTTCTCCAATCATCAGGAGGTGGTGGTGGATCTACAAGGTGAGATTTCTGAGATTTAAAGTTGTATTTTACTTGAAGAGCAGCTCCTGTGGTGTTAAAAAGTCCTAATATTGTGTACAGTCTCCTTTGATGTCTTATAAAGTGTCTTAATATTGAGTTGAGTGTCTTAATATTGTCAGCCTCATTCTCCTATATTCCTTTATAAAGTGGCTTAATATTGTGTCGAGTCTCATACGATGCGTTTTAAAGTGTCCTAATATTGTGTCGAGCCTTCTACGATGTGTTATAAAGGGTTTTAATATTGTGTCGAGTCTCATACGATGCGTTATAAAGTGTCCTAATATTGTGTCGAGTCTCCTACGATGCGTTATAAAGTGTCCTAATATTGTGTCGAGTCTCCTATGATGCGTTATAAAGTGTCTTAATATTATGTCGAGCCTCCTACGATGTGTTATAAAGTGTCCTAATATTGTGTCGAGTCTCCTATGATGCGTTATAAAGGGTTTTAATATTGTGTCGAGTCTCATACGATGCGTTATAAAGTGTCCTAATATTGTGTCGAGTCTCCTACGATGCGTTATAAAGTGTCCTAATATTGTGTCGAGTCTCCTACGATGCGTTATAAAGTGTCCTAATATTGTGTCGAGCCTCCTACGATGTGTTATAAAGGGTTTTAATATTGTGTCGAGTCTCATACGATGCGTTATAAAGTGTCCTAATATTGTGTCGAGTCTCCTACGATGCGTTATAAAGTGTCCTAATATTGTGTCGAGTCTCCTATGATACGTTATAAAGTGTCCCAATATTGTGTCGAGCCTCCTACGATGTGTTATAAAGTGTTTTAATATTGTGTCGAGTCTCCTACGATGTGTTATAAAGTGTTTTAATATTGTGTCGAGTCTCATACGATGCGTTTTAAAGTGTCCTAATATTGTGTCGAGCCTTCTACGATGTGTTATAAAGTGTCCCAATATTGTGTCGAGTCTCATACGATGCGTTATAAAGACTTTTATATTGTGTCAAGTCTTCTAAGATCCGTTATAAAGTGTCTAAATATTGTGTTGAGTCTCTTACGATGCGTTATAAAGTTTTTTAAATATTATGTCGAGTCTCCTATGATGTGTGATAAAGTGTTTTAATATTGTGTCGAGTCTCCTGCGATGCGTTATAAAGTGTTTTAATATTGTGTCGAGTCTCTTACGATGCGTTATAAAGTTTTTTTAATATTATGTCGAGTCTCCTATGATGTGTGATAAAGTGTTTTAATATTGTGTCGAGTCTCCTAAGTTGCGTTAAAAAGTGTTTTAATATTGTCGAGTCTCCTAAGATGCATTATAAAGTGTTTTAATATTGTGTCGATTCTCCTACGATGCGTTATAAAGTGTTTTAATATTATTTCAAGTCTCCTAAGATGCATTATAAAGTGTTTTAGGATTATGTTGAGTTTCCTATGATGCATTATAAAGTGACTTAATATTGTGTTGAATCTCTTACGATGCATTATAAATGACTTAATATTATGTTGAGTCTCTTACAATGCGTTATAAAGTGTTTTAATATTATGTCGAGTCTCCTAAGATGCGTTATAAAGTGTTTTAATATTATGTCGAGTCTCCTAAGATGCGTTATAAAGTGTTTTAATATTATGTCGAGTCTCCTAAGATGCGGTATAAAGTGTTTTAATATTATTTCAAGTCTCCTATGATGCATTATAAAGTGTCTTAATATTGTGTTGAATCTCCTATGATGCGTTATATTATTTTAGTATTTTGTCCAGTCTCCTACAATGTGTTATAAAGTATCTTAATCTTGTGTCGAGTCTCCTCTGATGCGTTAAAAGTGTCTTAATTTTGTGTAGCTCCCCTTTAATGTTGTTTCTGTACTCAGGGTGGATCACGGCCAACGGCAAGGGCTTGACGTACCTGACGGACCCACAGATTCACTCGCTGATCCGCCTGAAGTCCAGCCGCTCTCAGCAGACGGGCATCAATAACTTCATCAGACACCAGCATGGAGAACAGTGTAATGAAATCTGCAGAGCTGCTGGGCTCACACACATTACAGCTGCAGGACAGAATTCAGCATTGTAGCTGTAAAGCTGTAGCAGTGTTTCCATCCACCTATTACTATGCACATTTTGATTTTTGCATTAAATAATGCTCAATGGAAATGCAGAGATGTGCATCAGTTTTGAAAATGCACATATAAGAATGTATGCACATGACTGAGTAGGATAAACTACTTTAATCGCTGTGGTTTCTGCTGGTCAGATGATTTGACGGATATAAATGTGTGTGTATGAGGGTGTTTGCATCATTAATGTTGGTCTGCAGCTCTCCATGTTTGCAGCTCTCCAATGTTGCAGATGTGAATTGTTGTTGTGCTGACTGTAAAAGGCCTCAGTCTTCCATCAGTCCGTCATCACAGTGCTTCAGTATTATTCTTCTTTAATTATTATTCACTCCAGAACTGTCTTGAGCATCAGTCTGCGCTCCCGTCTCACACTTCCAGAAGCCACCGCATGCACCGCGTTCATTGCGTTCAGTCTTGCGCCCCATTCACACGGGGCGTCAGCGTCAGCGCTTCCCATTTATTTTGAATAGGTGACGTCAGGCGTTGCCGATATGCATTGTGGATCCGTCGGAGCCGCTTCAGAGGCGTTGCTCGCTGCAAAAGTTGGGACCAGCTCAACTTTTCAAACGCCGATGGAAGTGTCAGCAAATCAGATCACTGTATGCAAATGCACCAGCTAGACAGTGGCCTTTTGCTGACTGAATTTCATTGGCTGACGCTGCTATGACGATCGCTTCAGCCCTAACTTCAGACACGCCTTCAGTCAAGCCTTGACACTGAACACTATAAATCTAATTCACATATTAAAATGGAAACACAGCTAGTGTCTAAACAGACCCTGATTATTACAGTGCTCAGCATAAATGAGCACACGCGCTTTTAATAAATGAATATTTTTATCCGTCTCTCAGTGAAGATAGAGGATGTATTTTGGTATTCAAACAAATCAGTTTTATTAAGCAGTTATATCCATTAAAATAAGAGTTTGCTCTTAAGATAAAACAAATATAAAGAGATTACATTTTAACTCAAACTGGTTTTTGACAGGTTATTTTTTTAATTACATTTTTTATTTTTATTTGTTTAGATATTTTTTTAATATTATTTTTATTAATATTTTTATTGAAACTGTATTTAATATTTTACCCAACATATTAATTTGTGTGTAGTAATGTTTGTTCTGTGATCTTCAGTGTTTTGTCTTTGGTTCTGACTAATCTAATGTATCTGCACACACACATTACTGTAAAGCATCCTGAAGAAGATATTGCTGTAAAAGAGAGATCTGTGAGGGGTAACTCATGATCAACGCTCTATAATAATAATACTGTACAATGACAAAGTGCAATTATGGAAGCGGATCAGTAGTTTAGAGATTGTATATGCAAGATGTCAGTGCAACATGTCAAATGGCAGTGTATAATTTCTTGACATAAAGTTGAACTCTTAATGATTCACCTCCCTTTGATATTTTTATTCTTTTACAAATATTTCCCATGTGAAGTTAAACAGAGTGGAGGACATTTTCACAGTATTGTCTATCCTGTTTTATTTTTCTGGAGAAAGACTTATTTATTTTATTTTAGCTGAAATAAATGCAGTTTTATGTCATAATTATTAGCCCCTTTAAGACATATCTTCATGATTGTCTGCTGAGCAAACCACTGTTGTCATTGTTTGTTGTAACTAATTTAAATTTCATTCATAGATTCATTCTCATTTCATTTTCTTGTCGGCTTAGTCCCTTTATTAATCCGGGGTCGCCACAGCGGAATGAACCGCCAACTTATCCAGCAAGTTTTTACGCAGCGGATGCCCTTCCAGCCGCAACCCATCTCTGGGAAACATCCACACACACATTCACACACACACTCATACACTACGGACAATTTAGCCAACCCAATTCACCTGTACCACATGTGTTTGGACTGTGGGGGAAACCGGAGCACCCGGAGGAAACCCAAGCGAAGGCAGGGAGAACATGCAAACTCCAACTGAGCCGAGGTTGGACCCAGCGACCTTCTTGCTGTAAGGCGACAGCACTACCTACTGCACCACTGCCTCGCCTCATTCATTCTTTTGTCGGCTTAGTCCCTTTATTAATCAGAGGTCGCCACAGCAGAATGAACCGCCAACTTATCCAGCATATGTTTTATGCAGCGGATGCCCTTCCAGCTGGGAAACATCCACACACTCTTGCATTCACACACACTCATACACTACGGCCAATTTAGCTCATCAGTTCCCCTATAGCGCATGTGCTTGGACTGTAGGGGAAACGGGAGCACCCAGCTGGAAACCCACGCCAACATGGGGAGAACATGCAAACTCCTCACAGAAATGCTAACTGACCCAGCCGAGGCTCGAACCAGTGACCTTGCAGTGAGGTGACAGTGCTACCCACTGCGCCACCGTGTTGTCTGCCAATTTAAATTTACATTATATAACTAAAAAACAGTACAAAAGTTACAGATAAACAGATTAAAGTGACTTCTTTGTCCTTGTTTGTGCAACAATCACATAATACAAATCATCATAATATAAAATGGTATAAAAAAGCAGCAAGCATACGAGCACTAACTAATGTGACTGTTTAAGCTAATGTCCGCCACTTCTTTTAATAATTAGATGTATTTTTGGCTATTTTTGAAACAACTATAAACATCGCAGTTATTGAGTACGCCTACTTTTTCAACATTCTGTACTGATTTGAAACTTTATTATGAGTCTATCTGCCATTTGTCCCTTCTCTTTGGTCTAATGGTGAAGTTTGCTCCTCCACTGTCTCCCCTGGCTTGCTTGGTTTGGGATCTGTGGAGCTGTGCATGGATGGATTTGCTCTTGAGTGTTTGGACTCTCAGTAGTGATTATTAAACCACACTGAACTAAACTGAACTTCAGCTCTGAGAACTGGACTGACCGTTTCAGTTTACTATAATCTTCTATGTGAAGCTGCTTTGAGCAGTGTTAAAGCGCTGCAGAAATAAAGATTAATTTAATTGAACTGCTTATTGTTAAGAAAAGAAAGTTGCTAAAACAACTGTGCTGCTGAAAATAATGATGTCATGGTCATGAGCATTACTTTTAATTGATCAGATCCCTTTTGTAGAGACAAATCATTTTAGTAATTCACATAAGTTTCAGATATTTATGTTTTATTCATTCATTCATTAATTTTCAACTGTTTTTCCAAAAGAACCGCAGACTTCCCTATTCAGACACTTCCTCCAGCTCCTCCGGGGGATCCCAAGGTGTTCCCAGGCCAGCCGAGAGACATGGTCCCTCCAGCGTGTCCTGGGTCTTCCCCCAGGCCCTCTCCTGGCGGGACATGCCTGGAACACCTCCCTATGTAGGCGTCCAGGAGGCATCCGAAACAGATGCCAGAGCCACCTCAGCTGACTTCTCTCAGTGTGGAGGAGCAGCGGCTCCACTCCGAGCTCCTCCGGGTGACAGAGCTCCTATTTTTTAATCTGAATGTGTCTGTTACTATTTCATGTGTTGATTTTTTTATATCTTGCTACATGTGTGTATCAGAAACAAAGCTGTACCATGTGTACATGTGTTCATTTGTGCTCAGCACTTAATATTAGTGGAAACTACATGTGTCTTGTTACAAATGTTCATTCATTTTCTTTTCCGCTCAGTCCCTTTATTAATCTGGGGTCGCCACAGAGGAATGAACCTCCAACTTATCCAGCACGTTAATTTACGCAGTGGATGCGCTTCCAGCTGCAACCCATCACTGGGAAACACTCATTCACATACACTACGGACAATTTAGCTCACGCAATTCTCGTTACTAATGTTAATAAAAATAAATAAACTCTTTTTAGTTGCATTTAGTTGCATTGTACTCGTCGTACATGTGTAATGGCAATACAGTTTAATCTAATCTAACGGCAAACTTCTACATGTCACGTGGCCGCAGAGCGGAGTTATCAGACCAATCAGATGCGTCGCTGAGCGGCACGTGATGTAATCCGGAAGTGCTGCACCTCCCTGAGCGACTAGTGTCCGGTTAACGGTGTAGTGCTGTTTTTCTTTGTTATTGACCGGTTGTACCGACTGCAGACTCGCACGCACCGGGGCTTGTCGGAGTTCAGCGGTGATCTTGTATTCAGGTGAGCGCGGGGCTTTAACCGCTTCATTCCCTCAGAAACACAAACACAAACCTCGCGACTTTATCCATAATAAAGCTAGAAAACGCCAGTATATGATTACATTCGCACACTACTGAGGGCTCTTAAGAGGTTACAGTCCAAGTTATCCACTCGTTTGACCACTTGAGCGGTTAAATTTGATGTTTTTAGTGACACCTCAGCGGTTAGCATCACAGCTAAAGCTAACACCGCCGCACTGACAGCTGGGAGTCTCTGCTTGTGTGTTTACTGCTCGCTCTGCGTAATAATGTGATTATTTAAAGGCTTATAATCAGCAAGTGTGCTGATTATGTGAGATAATAATGCTTCATAACTGTCTAAACATGCTTTCCTTCATATTTGTTGTCATGAATAGTTGTTAATATGTGGGTCAAATGAGGAAAAGGGTCATTTTGTGCATTAAAAGTGATTTAATTTACACACAAAACATATTAAATGCTTTCCTTTCAAGTAGCTTTAGTGAAAATATTGTCAAAATATTGGTGAAATAATGTTCTTTGTCATTCAGAGTGCATATGAGTAATATGTATTTTCTAAAAATCATTGTTTTTAATCATTGATGATTATAGTATATATTAAATCTGCATCACAGTGAGGTGCATAACTTATTTTATGCACCAAGCATTTGTGTGCTGCCCTAATTGACTTCAACCAATCAAATTGGGTTGTACTATCTTCAGCCTCGCCCTACAGTATTTGCTGTCGTGCTATTGGCTGGAGCGACCCAAAGGTGAGGCCAGAACTGAAAATAAACACTAATGGGTGGAGTCGAGATGAGAGGAAAATGACAGCCAATAAGAGTCAGATTATCTGCTAAGGTTTCAACTCGTTAGTAGTATTTTAAAGGCTGAAGATTGTCATCTTAATATAGTGTTTTTGCCTCATTTAGGTGTAATTAATATATATTTTGTTTAGTTTTTTGTTTATTTATGTTCATTGCTAATAAAAACAGAATTTCCCAGGGTATATGTTATATTGTAAGGGATATGAGAGAAATGGATGATAGGTTTTGTTGTTGATAAACAATTTGGACATATTTCAATGTACAGGGAAAATGTAAAGCTGTATTAATTATGCTTTTATTGTTTTAATGCTTTTTATCTTTGACAAATTCAATGTGATTTAATTTATTTTGTTTTTTAAGGAGTTTCATCTGCTTACCAATATTTAAGAAAAAATAGAGACATGATATTACAGTTTAAAGTAACGATTACACTGTAGAGTTTTCCACATTAATTTGATACTGATTAATTTGAAATATTATGAATCTTTACTATAATTGTAGGTCAGTTCAATTCTTTGTTAAAGGGACAGTTCACTTAAAAAATGAGAATTCTGCCTTCATTTATTTTTCCTCAGGCTTTAAATGCTGTATAAATGTATTTATCTCAACTCAAAGGAAGATATTTGGAATAATGTCATTAACCAAACAATCTCCAAACAAAGTGATTACAGCTCGAATCGCAATGTTAGCTTTTTCTAATTTCGTGCAAGCCTACTGCCATATCACTAATTATCATACTGATATCTACCAAACATCTGCCAGACATCATACTAACATCTACTACATGTCTTTTTAACTTTTACCAAACATCCTTCAATAATCTTTTAATACATCTACTGAACATCTTTCTAACATCTTCCAAACATTTTTCTAACATCTACTAAACATCTGCCAAATATCTTTCTAACATTCACCACGCGTCTTTTTAACTTTTACCAAACATCTTTCTAACATCTACCAAACATCATTCTAAGATCTACCAAACATCATTCTAAGATCTACCAAACATCATTCTAACATCTACCAAACATCTTTCTAACATCTACCAAACATCATTCTAACATCTACCAAACATCATTCTAAGATCTACCAAACATCTTTCTAACATCTACCAAACATCATTCTAACATCTACCAAACATCATTCTAACATCTACCAAACATCATTCTAAGATCTACCAAACATCATTCTAACATCTACCAAACATCATTCTAACATCTACCAAACATCATTCTAACATCTACCAAACATCATTCTAAGATCTACCAAACATCATTCTAACATCTACCAAACATCATTCTAAGATCTACCAAACATCATTCTAAGATCTACCAAACATCATTCTAACATCTACCAAACATCATTCTAAGATCTACCAAACATCATTCTAACATCTACCAAACATCATTATAAGATCTACCAAACATCATTCTAAGATCTACCAAACATCTTTCTAACATCTACCAAACATCTTTCTAACATCTACCAAACATCATTCTAACATCTACCAAACATCATTCTAAGATCTACCAAACATCTTTCTAACATCTACCAAACATCTTTCTAACATCTACCAAACATCTTTCTAACATCTACCAAACATCTTTCTAACATCTACCAAACATCTTTCTAACATCTACCAAACATCTTTCTAACATCTACCAAACATCTTTCTAACATCTACCAAACATCATTCTAAGATCTACCAAACATCTTTCTAACATCTACCAAACATCTTTCTAAGATCTACCAAACATCTTTCTAACATCTACCAAACATCTTTCTAACATCTACCAAACATCTTTCTAACATCTACCACATCATTCTAAGATCTACCAAACATCTTCCTAACATCTACCACACATTATTCTAAGATCTACCACACATTATTCTAAGATCTACCAAACATCTTTCTAACATCTACCAAACATCTTTCTAACATCTACCACACATTATTCTAAGATCTACCAAACATCTTTCTTACATCTGCCAAACATATTCTAAACATCTTTCTAACATCTGCCAAACATCTCAACATTTTTCTAGCATCTACCAAGCATCTTTTTAACATTATCAAACGTCTTCTAAACATCTTTCTAACATTTTTCTAACATCTATCAAACGTCTTCTAAACATTTTTCTAATTTACCACACATCATTCTAAGATCTACCAACTTCTTTCTAACATCTGCCAAACATCTTTCTAACATTTTTCCAACATATCAAACATCTTTCTAACTTCTACCAAACATCTTTCTAACGTCTTTCTAAAGTCTTTCTAACATTTTCTAAGCATCTTTCTAACGTCTTTCTAAAGTCTTTCTAACATTTTCTAAGCATCTTTCTAACATCTATCAAACATCTTCTATACATCTTTCTAACATCTATTAAACATCTTCTAAACATCCTTCTAACATCTAACAAGCGTCTTTCTAACATCTACCAACCATCATTTTAAGATCTACCAACTTCTTTCTAACATCTGCCAAACATCTTTCTAACATTTTTCCGACATATCAAACATCTTTCTAACTTCTACCAATCGTCATTCTAAGATCTACCAAACATCTTTTTTTCTAAGGTCTTTCTAACATCTTCCAAACAACATTTCTGTATTTATACAGAATTAGTTTTATACAGGGTTGGAACAACCTGAGCAAAAGTAAATGAACGTTTTGAGTGAACTATCTCCTTACTAAATCTTTCAACACTTTCAGTGCATTAATTAACAATATTATGAGCCCATTAGACAACATTAGACCCCAGTGAGTGCATCATCAGTTTTAGAGCAGTTCAGATGTGCTTCAGTATGGTGAGGATGTTTGTGCCGCTGGCGCTGGTGAAATCATATGACTGTATATCTGGAGCACTCAGTAGTGCACACTATAACACTCACAGCTCAGAAGGCAAAACATTCACTTAAACATACAGCGATCTCTAAACAAACATGTCGATGGCAAGGAGGAACTCATGCACTCCTCGGGTGAGTGAAGAAGCTTATGGAAATCTGTTTCACAAATTAGAGATTAAACTTGACAACTTGATGACATGTATGATTATTGGATTAACATATCAACAATGTTTTTCAAGGTTACAGTAACTGCATTTTTGATGAATATTAATGCTGTTATATGATTAATAGCATCTAAAATGAGCGTTTGTATTCACTTAATACGTTTTTTGTGTTTATGAATGTGAGTATCTTTGTATATATACATAGTAAATATACACATCTATCTATCTATCTATCTATCTATCTATCTATCTATCTATCTATCTATCTATCTATCTATCTATCTATCTATCTATCTATCTATCTATCTATCTATCTATCTATCTATCTATCTATCTATTCTGTAAATATAACCATTTTTGGATCTGATTAATTGTGATAACAATAATTGAATAAAAAATAATTGCATTTATTTCAGTTAAAGGTTTAATAGCACTTATTAAAATGTAGTAAGTGCAACAATAATGTTTTAAAAATGATTAAATAAATAATATTGACCTCTCTGGAGTGGATGTTGATTGTTGTGGTTTCTTCGTCAGTTCAGGGTCTTGAAGACAGCAGCTTTTCTCTTGAGTTTGTCTGTTGCAGCTCAGGTTTAGAGATGTGAAGTGACGGGTTGATTCTGCTGATGATCGGGTGCTTTTTTTTTTCTTCTATGTGGTTTTTCTCAACAGAGATCTGTTTGTTAGGAGAAGCACATGACTGTTCCTGCAGCCTTGTCTTTCACATGTTATTGTACAAACATACACAATAACCTATGATTGTTTAGCAGACGTCTGAACCACAACTATAGATGTCGAAAGGCGTTTAATTAGAAAAATCGAAACTCAAATCTAGTAATAAAATACTTATGAAATGACACTATTTAGCACTTTAAAATAAGGTTCTGTTAGTTTAACTTAATTTACTAACATGAACAGTGAACAATACATTTATTACAATATTTATTAATCTTTTTTTGACATTAGTTAATCCAAATAAAGTCATTCATTGTTAGTTTATGTTTGGTCACAGTGCATTAACTAATGTCAACAAGCACAACTTTGGTTGCCCTGCTTGCTGGAATCACTCTCAGAGGGATTTTTCCCAGCTGATGAGCCATAAAACACAGCCAATCAGAATCCAGTGAAAATTAAAGCACAATTTAAAGCTACAGATGACACTGTTGAGAAGCACACTGAAGATGTTCAGCCCTCTTTTAACAGATTAGTACTATCTTGGAAACTATTGCTTATATTAGTGGTTCTCAATTCCCTCGCCCTGCACATTTTGCATGTCTTTTATTTGACACACAAGGATCAGTTCATGGAGCTCTTTGTTAACAAGTTGATGATCTGAATCAGATGTGTTAAGTAGGGAGATAGACAAAATGTGCAAGACTGAGGGCGTAAGGCTTATACCATGGGAAATAATGAAAGTGCTGGCGTATTGAAGTGTAAAAGTATGTCAGGAATCCAGTGCTAGTTTGAGTGTGTTTGTGTGTAAAATGCTGGAGAACTGATTGCTAAACGGCCTGTTTGATTACATTGATTTCAATCAGCAGATCAACCGTGTGTTCAGATGCACTGCAGCACTCTGATACTGACACCTGCTGGTCACTTCAGTTAATACACAACCACAGGACAATCCAAATAAAAACAGACAGATCATTGATGTTCGTCTGTATGGACTAGGGCTGGGACGTTAACTGGTTTTAAGGTTTACAGTGGTATGGAAAAGTCAAGGTTTCAGAAATGCTAAAATTGTCTCTTATGTTGATCCTGTGGTGTATGAATTTTTTTTATGACAATTTAATTCAGTTCTTTAGGCCATCAGTTTCTCCAGCAGAAAGTGACCCTCTACACCAGGGGTGTCAAACTCAATTCCTGGAGGGCCGAAGCCCTGCACAGTTTAGTTCCAACCCTGCTCCAACACACTTACCTGTAGGTTTCAAACAAGCCAGAAGGACTCAATTAGTTTGATCAGGTGTGTTTAATTAGAGTTGGAACTAAACTGTGCAGAGCTGCGGCCCTTTTGGAACTGAGTTTGACACCTGTGCTCTACATTAAAAGCTACTGGTCAGCCCACGATTCAGCAAACATCTGAAACGCAAATCTCTTACACACCAACATCCAGCCTGCAGTGCTCAACAGTGCAGTGGCTTTACTTTATATCACAGAACAGAAAGATCTCCAGAGATGCCTTCACAAGCTGTAGAGAAATCAGTGTTTTAGACACTAATGAAGACAGCTGAAGTCAATCATTTATTATTGTTAATTCACCTGACATGTTTACTGCTCCAAATTACTTTGCATGCTTCCTAAAATAAAATATATTGTGTTCAATGTGGAGAACAGTTGTTGTTTTTGTTACCCAGACATGTATGATAAAGAGCATATGTTAGAGCAGTAAATCACAAAATTGTGAAACCATGATATTGTTATGCTATTAAGGTTATCGCACTATTAGAATCTTATACCGGCCTATGCCTAGTCTGGACACAATATAATTAGGCTTATAATTATCAAGCTTGGGTATAAATGGGCCTTTATTTGATTATCAGTGATATGGCATAGACCTGCACGATTTTATACAAATTTAACGAAACGTTTAGGACTGAGCGATTTGGCAAAAATGCAATCTTGACAATTATTTTCCATATTGAACAATAACTATATCGATTTCCATATAAGCTGTTAATGCTTCTAGCGTTAAAGTAGTATCCCAATAATGACCGAAGCTACAAAAATTACAGGGTTTATTAAATAACATTTAAAAAAGATTGTTTATTAACAAAAACAGATTACACGTTGCTCAGATTTCTGCTGTGTGATTTGCTCTTAGATCATTACTGAGTAAAATGTCCAGGCTTATCCACTTCAAATTCATTGCGATTCAATATGATAATTGCGATTATGTATGCATGTTTGTCCGCGGGGTCTTACAAAGTATTAAAAGTTGATAAGTCTATGTGGAGAAATTTAAGGCCCTTAAAGTATTAAAAAGTCTTAAATGCTGTTTTGCAAGGTAGTAAATTTTTTCACCTTTTTGATGGTGATTGTATGCTAAAGTTTGCCTGAATTAAATCAGGATGCTGTGCAGTTTATGAAATCAATAGATTTGACATCATGCTGCTTTGTTTACTGCCTTAACCAAGGCAACACCTTCATTTTTGCAGCTCTATAGGTGCCATCCTGCTGAAGTAGCTAGATTAAATAGATTTTTATTCAGTATATGAATAATGCTTTAGTTTAGGATTAATTTCTCATGTTAACATTTAGAAAATATGCTTAAAGGTTCTGGTTAAGTGTTTTTAAGGTCTTAAAATGTATGAACAGAGTCTTAAAAAGGTCTTTAAAAGTATTGAATTTCACTCTCTGATTATTGTATATACTGTGATATGAATGCAATTTCACCAGATGACTTAAGTATCTCTATTTGGGAAGAATGAACAATTTTAGACTGATTGTGATGATTCAATAGAGAAACGCATCTGATTAAAATACAGTAAACCATCTACAAGCATGGATCAATGCAATAAAAAGACTATACCATTGAAGCAACCTGTGTTTTATCCTTACACATTAAAATACACATGCAGAATTCAGGTTCAGTGATTGAAAAATAAAAATAATTCAATAAATTTAGCTCTTATTAAAGTTACAAATTTTATGCCTGAATTCTTTTAACATCATTATACAATCACAGGCCTGAAAACGCATCGAAATGATCAATTATAGTCCAGATCATCATTGCAGATCTTGTGATGTTTATTGCGGATGATCACTCTGCCATTTCCATGCTGAAACTATATAGTGTGCAGATCCAATATGGCATATTGTTGTGTTATGAAATACAGCATAAAGATTGATATGTGTGCTAATATTTGTGTGTGTGTGTTTGTGTCAGCTGTGGAGTGGCACGCTCGGTAAGATGAGTTCAGACGGCGGTGGGCGTCCGGTGAAGGTGGGCTCAGTGGTGGAGGTGATCGGGAAGGGTCAGCGGGGGACCGTGGCCTACATCGGCGCCACACTCTTCGCCTCTGGGAAATGGGTCGGGGTCATTCTGGACGAAGCCAAAGGCAAGAACGACGGCACAGTGCAGGGAAAACGCTACTTCACCTGCGAGGAGAATCATGGGATATTCGTCAGACAGTCTCAGGTAACACACACACCTGTTTCAGTGTCTTCATGCATCTGTTAAGTTGTGTGAGGTGTGTGTAATGCAGTGTGCATGCAGGCAGGACAGTAAAGGAGTTTTCCTCCTATTATTTCAGCTAATAAGATTGTAGAATAATGATGGGTTCTTCTCTCCCATTTACCCAAATGTGAAAAGGCTCCACACCCAAGGGTTAAATCTATACAAGGTGGAGTAAAGCAGCTTTAGTATGTGTTTTTGGTCTGTTTTCTTGCCTAAATGTGTTTGTGTGCGTGTTCAGATCCAGCTGATGGATGATGGGGGCAGTTCAGCCACATCTCCAGAGACCCCAGACTCAGGTGTGGCTAAGCTGCTGAAGAAAGGTGAGGCCAGATCAGACTTTAAACAGTATTTATTGTGAAATGCACTATAAAAATAAACCTGAATTGAGTTGAATAGTTACTCATGCTGATTATTCCTCTATAAACAAACTAATTTCCTTTGCTTTTCTGACCAATATTGCAGAGATCCAGGAGACACCGAAGACTGCCAAGCAGGTATGAATCTGGGTTAATTTAGCATGACTTATATACTAATATAGTTGTTGTTTATTTTATATTTACAGTTTATAATTAGTTAATTAACAAAATTAAATGTCTATTATAATTAACATTTATTTTAAAAAAATTAAGATTTATGCATTTAAATAAATGATAAAAAAAATATACACACACACACACACACACACATTTAATTATTAAATATTTTAATTTAAAGTAATTGTTAAATTAATTTTTATATTATAATTAAGATTAATTTGAACATTGAAATTACATTTATTAAAATTATTTAAATTTAATTTAACAATTGTATTATAATTATTTTATTTATATAAATTTGTAAATATTAAAATTAAGTGTATATTGTATTTTACATTTTAGAGTATGTAAAATACAAATCAATCAATCAATCAATCAATCAATCAATAAATAAATACATAGAAAGCAACAATTACAAACTATAGAAATAATTTTAAACCAATTTCAATAATTTAAATAAAAAGAACATTTAATTATTCTAACTAATTACATTTACATTTACATTTATTTTAAATTTAAATTACATTTATTTACATTTATTTTAAATTTAAATTAATTATTAAAAATAAATGTTAATTATATATTTCATTAAAATGAATTAGAAATTGCATTTTTTTATTTATATTAATTATTAAAATACATTTCAATAATTCAATTAATTGTATTATAGTTTTTTAATCATTTAAAAATGTATTATTGTAATTAAAAAGTATTTTATGATTACATTTATTTTGTTTTACATTTAAATTAAATTATATATATATATATATATAAAATTAGTTAGAATAATTAAATGTTCTTTTTATTTAAATTATTGAAATTGGTTTAAAATTATTTCTATAGTTTGTAATTGTTGCTTTCTATGTATTTATTTATTGATTGATTGATTGATTGATTGATTGATTGATTGATTGATTGATTGATTGATTTGTATTATTTATTCAATTTTAACCACAATTTTAATATATTTTTTTCTTTTGTCAGTAATTTTTTTAAATATTATTATTTATTTTTATTCATTTGTGTTTAGTCACTTGATTTCCCCCATCTATCACAGTTTTAGTAACTTAAATCAAATACATTTATCTTTCTATCTAGTTTTTTATTATTATTATTTTAATGTTTTATATTACTTCTGATTTATTTCAGTTAAAACCAACAACATATTTTAATAGTTTTAGTACAGCTAAAGACAAAATTATTCGCCCTCCTATCAAAGATTTCTTTCTTTTTTTCCAAATATTTCCCCAGTGCTGTTTAATGGAGAGCAGATTTTTTTCAACACATTTCTAATCATAATAGTTTTAATAACTCATGTCTAATAACTGATTTATTGTATCTTTGCCATGATGACAGCACATAATATTAGACTAGATATTCTTCAAGACACTAGTGTTCAGCTTAAAGTGACATGTAAAGGCTTCACTAGGGTAATTAGGGTAAAGTTAGGGTAATTAGGCAAGTCATTGTATAACAGAGGTTTGTTCTGGAGACAATCCAACACTAATAATATTTACCACAGCAGTTTATTTATTTATGTATTTTATTTATTTATTTATTTAAAAAATACAATTAAAACTTTAACAGAGCTCAAATGTGTCTCAAACTTAAATAAATAAATTAATGAATTGTGCAATGCTTTATATTCATCTGGGTTTGAATTAATTTGTATATTTCCTATACAAGATGAAATTATGGTGTTTTTATGCTGTTTTTGACTGTTTTTGCTAACATGATGCAAAGACTCCAGCAGTAAAGAAGGTACAGCGGTGTTGTGGGTCCAGTTCATCACATTGTTCACCAGCACTCATTATTATTCTAGAGACGTTTCTTTATTTGTTTATTCCATGTCCACTTGGTTTCTGTTTTGGTGGTTTTGGTTCAGCTTAAATGATTGTCAGTCTTCAACACTTTGGTGCACAGATTTAAGTTTGATCTCATTTAAACAAGACAGATGTCAGATTGTAGCTGAAGTGATGCAAATTACATTAAACAAAAGTTATGTGTCTTTGTTTATCAAATATAATAAAACTAATATTTTAATAGATGACATAAAATATGTAACTTACAAAACCTAAAACTCAAAGAAAAATATCTGAACAAATTATATTCCACGTTTGAAGTTGATATTCTCAAAAAATGAGCTTTGAGTGAGATTCTAGTTTGGCCGCAGTACCAGACATGACCAGCAGGGGATCATACAGTTTACATTGGTGAGGGCGTCTCCTGTTTCTGTGTATGTTTTGAGGAATATAAACTGTATTTATTTATACTTTCGACAATATTTGTAAAGCAGACGTATACAATTATAAACTAGTATGACAAGCTTTGTGGTATTTGATTTGAATTTAGCCTCTAAACAAGATCAAAAAATGGTCTACATGTGGATTGCTGTAGCAAAGTAATTCTTTACTACTCTGAGTATCTTTGCCACAAATTGATAAGTAACTGTTGCTCAGTAATATCTATTAGAGGCCTGCATTAGAGCCGCGGGACCCGACCAGATGTCTGCGGCGCGGGAATAAATTTCCAAATAAAGTGCGGCAGCGGTCGGTAATGGGTTTAATTTGGGACGGTGTGTGTGTGCGTGCGTGTGTGTGTGTGTGTGCGCGTGTGCGCGTGCGCGCGAATGAGAGAGAGAGCTTTGTCTGTCTCTGTGTGTGCTCTGTGTGTGTGTGTGTGTGTGTGTGTGTGTGTGTGTGTGTGTGTGTGTGTGTGTGTGTGTGTGTGTGTGTGTGTGTTTATACAGGTAGCTTGTTATAGGCTCTCTGGACTCTGTATAGCTGGGTGTTCCCCCCCCCCCCCCTCTTTAGCGGGATCAGGCGCGGCGGGTAAAAAACAGGGCGGGTCGAGCAGCGGAACAACAAATGCTGAATGTAAGCGGGAGCGGTCGGGTTTGGGCTAAAACCTGGCGGGTGCAGGTGGGAGCGGGATTCAAAATTTAGTCCCGCGCAAATCTCTAATATCTATCAAAAATCAGTCACCAGATATGGAAACTAGACATATGAAGCTTTCAAATGATATTTAGTTTGTCATGGTTGCTTTGTTTAGACTATAATATAAGCAATATAACCCCAAACATTCCCACAGGTTGTATGGTGACAGTAAATAGGTTTTAATCTGGTACTCTTCTTACAAAAATAAATAAATAAATACGTATTCAGGAGTCTTAGACCAATAATGTATCATTTGTCATGAATAGATTAAGATTTAATTACAAAAGAGTGATGTAAACTCAGGTTAATTAATACATGATTATTTTGAAGTGTGTTTCAGTTTATTTTAATACGCAATTCACACTAATAATAAACCATTAACTAAGACTTTTAGCTCAAAAATCTCCTAATTAGTTCCTTATTAATATTTAGTAAGCTAGTATTTTTTTAATGGATGTAGAATGAATAAGATCATACTTTTATTAGTGCTAATAAATGCTCCATATCTTAATTATGGGCAGGTAGTAAGACTGGTAAAGGCTGTTAGTTGTTAGTTAATTTAAGGTGTTCCTTCATATTGTGCATGCTCATTATCACCAATTATTGATTATCGGCACATGTCCACACTGATTGGTCCACACGTCTGCATGATGTCACTGCTCGTCTCCATGGCAACACTGCACTGTTCATTTGTAGATGGTTGATGTGTTTATTCCTCAGTGTCTGTTCCTCAATCTGCTCCTGCTCGTGTTCAATATCTGCCCTCTTCTTCCCTCTCTTTATTTCCCTGTGTGTGTGTGTGTGGTTTGTGTGTGGTTTGTGTGTGTGTGTGTGTGTGCGCGTGTGTCTATATTTGTGTGCATATGCGTGTTGTTTATCTGTGTGTGTGTGTGTCTTTGTTTTTGTGTGTTTTGTTTGTTTCTGTGCATGCCTGTGTTTTTGTGTGTGTGTGTGTGTGTGTGTGTGTGTGCATGTGCGTGTGTGTTTTTGTTTTTGTGTGTATTTATGTGTTTTTGTTTGCTTGTCTATGTGTGTTTGTTTTTTGTTTGTTTGTTTGTCTGCATGTTTTGTATGTGTGTATGTGTATCTGTGTGTGCACACGTGTGTGTTTTTTGTGTGTATTTTGTTCTTGTCTGTGTGTGTTTTTGTTTGTCTTTGTGTGTGTGTGTGTGTACGTTTGTGTGTGCGTGTGTGTGCTTGAATGTGTTTGTTTGTTTGTTTGTTTATGTTTGTGTATTTGTTCGTTCGCATATGTTTGTCTTTGTGTGTGTGTGTCTATACTTGTGTGCGTATGTGTGTGTGCATATGTGTGTCTTTGTTTTCGTGTGTGTGCGTGTTTGTGTTTTGCGCTCCTCCTTCAGCCTCCTGTGCGCCGTAGTACCAAGGTGAGCCTGAACTTTGCAGCAAAGCATTCTGGGAAATGTTTGGTATAGGGCTGTATGTTTCTGATATTGGGCTTTGTTTGTAATGCACTACTACACACAGCTCTTACTGTTTGACTGAAGATGCGTCCCAATGCAGTGGCATCATCTACCGTAATTAAACTTTGATTTGTTTAGATCAGCTATTTCACTATTATCATATTACCAGTGCTAAGTCTACAGGATACGAACTCCAGTTGATTTGAGCTTAATCATTTCATTATTTGTGTATTTTATATATGATTTAATTTCATAGTTGATGAACTTTGCAACACTTACAGAACTGAATTGAATAAACAGTGAACTGAATTTAGCTTTACTTGCCGAACTGAACAATTCAATCAGCACTAAATTGAATGTGTTTCTGATGAGTTTAGTGACAAATAATTGAAATAAAATTAATCAATTCAAATATTGCAACGCTTTCTTTCTTAATTGATTAAACACAGAATTTAATTCTTACTGAATTCAATGCTTACTGAACTATGCTCGAATTCATCTCATAATTGACTGATTTTTGTAACAGTCGCTGAACTGAATTGAATCAACACAAATTTAATTTATCTCATGATTGACAATTTTTGCAATAACTGCTGAACCTAACTGAATTAAATCAACACACTTGATTTCTTTTAACAATTGTTTGAATTTCAACACTTGTTGAACTGAACGGAGTCAACACAGTATTGAATTCTCCTTATTGTTGAGTTGTCTAATACTTGCTCAGTTGAATCAACACAAATTTATTCTCATATTTGATGATTTCCGCTGTGCTTGCTGAACTGAATCAACGCTGTAACGCTGAATTCAATTAATCTCATAATTGATGAATATTGCCACACTTTCAGAACTGAGCTGAATTTAATCAATACAGAATTTAATTATTTTAATATATTACAAATTTTGCAACAATTGCTGAAAGTTCTGAAAGAAATTCTGAAAGAATTGAATTCTTTTCATAGTTGATGAATTTGGTGACACTTGTTAAACTGAACTGAATTGAACCAACATAATTGAATTCTGTTCATGATGTATTTTGTGACGCTTGTTGAACTGAATTGAGTCAACACAGCATTGAATTCTCTTTATAATTCATGAGTTGTGCAACATTTAATGAACTGAATTGAATTAACGCTGATTTAAATCTCATAATTGATTAATATTGCCAAACTTTCACAACTGAACTGAGAATAATCAATACAGAATTTAATTATTTTAATAATTGACAAATTTCACAAAATTTGCTGAACTAAATTGAATCAACACATTTGATTTCTTTTAATGATTGATTAATTTTGCGACACTCGCTGAACTGAACTGTCAACACAGTATTGACATCTTTATAGTTGATGAGTAAGACTTACTGAATTAAATTAAAACTTAAATGTATTCAATCTGAATCACTGCTGAATTGAACTTATCTAATAATTGATGAATATTGTAAGTTTAATAAATACAGAATTTAATTATTTTAATAATTGACAAAGTTTAAAAACTGCTGAACTGAATCAACACAGAATTGAATTCTTTTCATAGTTAAATTTTGCGACACTTGTCGAACTGAAATAATTATCACAGCATTGATTTATTTTATTAATTGACAAATTTTGCTACAATTGCTGAACTGAGTTGAACTGAATCAACACAGAATTGAATTATTTTCATAGTTGATGGATTTTGCAACAATTGATGAACTGAACTGAATCAAACCAACGCTGAATTGAACTCTTCATAGTTGATCAATTTTGCGACACTTGATGAACTGAGTCGACACATGATTGAATTATTTCGATGATGAATTTTGTGACACTTTGTTTAACTGAATTGAATCTATACAGAAATGTATTATTTCCATAATCGTCCAACATTTTGAATGAATGAATTATTCATTTACGACACTTAAACTGCACTGAACTGAATCGAATCAGCATCATTGAATTCTGTTCATAATTGATGAATTTTGCGACACTGTCTGCAGTTGTGTGTGTTGACTGCTGAGCTGGTGTTGGGTGGTGTGGTTCACCAGGTGTGTGGTGTGTGTTAAACTCCATCAGTGTGTGTTACTGATGGTGTTGTTCAGTTTTCTCCGTGTGCAGCTTCATGTGTTGTTTATTGTACGTGACAGTGGAGTACACCGGGCCGTCTGTCCACCTCCAGCTCCCTCCCCTCTCTCATTATGGTATGTCCCGGATCTCCCATCATCTTCTCTGGGGTCTGTCGGTGCACAGGCTGCTTTCCAGTCCAGTTTTTTACTCTATAACTTCTCATTTGCAATTTGCACTCACTGAGGTGTCCAGCTCTGATTAGCTAATTGATTAAATATGAGTACACTGCACAAAATGCTTTTCTTACTCAGAGTTTTTGACATGTTTCCTGTCCAAATATCTAAAAATCCTTAAATCAAGAAGAATTTTCAAGACAAGTAATAATTGTCTTGTTTACACAAAATGTTCTGAGTTTTTCCTTAAATCAAGCTAAATAGTCTGTTTAGTCTAATTTTTTTTACTTATCCCACTAGCAGATCATTTTTCTTGTTTTGAGAATGTAAGAATTTTCTAGATATTTGGACTAGAAACAAGATGACAAACTCTCAGTAATGCCAAGTTCAGACTGCATGATTTTAGCCCTGATTTTGACCTGCCGACAAGTTTTGAGAAATCACAGACAAATCGGTGATTTGGTGAAACAAAAACTTTGCGTACGCCAGGTTTCACGCTCAGAATCGCTCACGTTGGGAACGATGAACTGCACGTGGGAATGTGCGCAGCTCCACGGCAGCTTCATGGCTGGCGTACGCACATTTTTTGTGCGTGTCTGTTTTATTTGCATTGGCGACTCCTCCTAGAGGCAGTTGTGTTAAATTCCTCTCTACAAAGTGTCTTTAAGCTTTGCAATGGCAGCTGAATGAGACGGGTTCATCTAGCAGGAATATAAGGTTTCCATACCATACAGTTGACCAGCTAAACATTAAAGCACAATTTGCAGCGGTCGCCTGTTTTCCCAATGTAATCTGAGCTATCTACTGCACGCACATTGCTATACAGACACTATCTGAAGATGAATTTGCATGCGTGAATCAGAAACATTTCCATTCAATAAATGTGCAAATAAAATATGATGCACAGACTTATTAATGATTCCTACTTGTCTTTCTCGTGATAAATAGTAGGCAAAATCTGATATGTAGCGGGGGAAAAAAGAAGAAAGAGTTCATCAGACGCTGGATTCGAGCCGAGTTCATGCTCAAACGTGTCAAAATATGTTAACATGCGACTTACGAGCTGCACCACTGAGACTGTTAAGAGTTCTGCAACATTTTACACCTATAGATTGCACTATTTCTCTTTTAACTCCACAGTGCGATGTTCAGATTTAACTGTGTTAACCGCATCAGCTAAACTCTCCCACTCTATTTTTTTCTTTTGTTGTTAATTCCGGAGGACAAACTTGCAAATAACACCACTTTTCTCCTGTCTACCTCCGAAAGCAGCACCTCCAATTCACATTCTGTTCAAAGTTTCTCTTTTTGCTTGCTTTTGCCGTTGCTTTTTCGTTGGGTTTTGCCAAAGTAGCGTCATTTGCATATTCATACGGGGGAGGAGTCAGGGAGGGGTTTTGTGCTCGTGCATGTTGCGCTCAGTTTCACGTTCATTGGGTTGTACAAAAGAATATGCGTGAGATTCGGCGTACGCAGTGTTTCATACATCTGAATTTTTTTCTGATTGACTGATTTCTGAATGTCTTAGTATGATTTCCACGCAAGTCTTAGCACATGAGGCCCCTGGAGTTGTAAGCGATTTAAATCATGCCATGTGACGTGTTCTGACTAAAAATAACATCAGCGATCACCTACAGCCAATGAGAGAGCAGCATTCACTTGTACAGGTACCTGCAGACCAGCAGGAGGCTGGGGGGGGATCCTAAAAGCACTCATTTTCAGTTTATTTGGACCCAAGAAATGGAGGGAAAACTAGTGGTAATTTGGCAAGAGCACCCGTGTACCATAACCAGATGGAAAAAAAATAAATACCCGATAAGAAGAAACAAATTTTAAGAGAAATTGCTAATTTCCTTCATACCCAGGTGAGCAGAATAACGGTTCGTGCACAATGAAATGTTTTTTTGCTCACGTTTTCTGTCGACGCTTAACGCCTCGTGACTAAATAACAGGCGTCAATGTGATCGTGCACACCAACGCGCAAAACAGCAGGCGCAAAAGCGTCATTTAAAAAAAAAAAACGCCTCATGCTTGTTTTTTTGTTTTGACGCGCCACATCAAAACCTTCTCCACCAATCAGATCGCCACTTTTGTTCATGTGCACGGAGCTGCTGTAGTTACAGTAAACAGCACTTGGAGGCGCTAAAGTGCAAAACCATCAATGTGAGCGCACATTGAAGAAGATGCCCAGAGGCGATATGAACGTTTAGCTGTGTATTGCTCTGAACAATAATCCTTTCTTCATCGCTAAAGCTTGAGCTGCTGCTTAACCATCCATGCTTGTTCGAGTCACCAGTAACTTTAACAACAAGCGTGTGAACTTCCTCTCCTCTTCTTCTGTGTTATAAGCGGGTGTCAGAAGCTTAAAGTTGTGTAGCGCCATCTAACGTCAAGGAGTGATTTTGCATGCTCTTTTGCTTAACGAAAGTGAAAATTGCTTGGGTTTGAATACGGAAAAACGTCTCGTAAAACGCTGACGATAAACGCAAACGAAAAGCGTCAAGGTTTCTAGGATCCCTAAGTCCATGTTCTTGCCCACTAAAGGCTTCTTTTTCATTATGTAGTAAATAATAAATATATACTACGTGAGATGTAGTTTGTGGACTGCACAAACTAAGCAATTCTCCTAAAAAAGTCATGCAGTGCGAAAACATCCGTGACACCAATACTTTAAAAATCCTGCAGTCTGAACTGGACATAAGAGAAGCATTTGTGCTGTGTATTGATATGATGGAAGATAGTTTTGATCAGGGGTCACCAATCTCAGTCCTGGAGGGCCGGTGTCTCTGCAGGGTTTAGCTCCAACTTGCCTCAACACACCTGCCTGGGTGTTTCAAGTATACCTTGTAAGACCTTGATTAGCTTGCTCAGGTGTGTTTGATTAGGGTTGGAGCTAAAATCTGCAGGACACCGGCCCTCCAGGAACAAGTTTGCTGACCCCTGGCTTAGATGGTTATTCACTCATTTGGGAAGATCAGCCTTTACTAAAACTTTGCTTTCTATATATACCTGGATTTCTGTGAGTTTTCCAGTGATCACTTGTGGTATACGGTGTGTGAAATGATTGATTAATTGACGCGGGAGCTGGGATTAGGGAGTCTGTCACTCATTTAGCAAAAACAAAGAGTGTCTGCAGTTCAAAAGCATTGCCTGTGATGATGATGACACTAAATCTGCAGGATAAGACCTTCAGATTGACAAAAATAAAAATACTCTCAGAGTTTCTGTCTTACTCTCTCTCCCATTATTGCTGATGAGCTCTTTGTATTGTTGTAATTTTGTTTAATAGTAAACTAATATTTATGATATGTACATTTTGTTCTAGGTTTCATAAAGCAGCCAGATAAGCTGATAAGGCAAACTCTTCACCATCTCTTCACCACACACCAGCTATAGTTGAAGGGCAGAGTCAGTGATGGAGCCGATTCAGTGGATGTGGATGATTGGGAAGCCATGATGGTTAGCAGAGAGGGAATTTAGGCAGGACATCGCGGTTACACCCCTATTGTAGACTTATTAATGAGCACAGAGAGTCAGGACCTCGGTTTAACAGCTCATCTGAAAGACGTTTACATCTCATCTTCAGTGTTGAACAGAATAAAGACATGTTGAGGGTTTTGTGCTGGTGAATGTGGGAGGTTTGCCAGTGTTAGAGATGTTTTGTGTTCTCCTCCACAGACCGGCCGTCCCTCAGTCGGCGGGTCGGCTCTGTCTGAATCGGTGTTAGCAGAGAGCGAGTCCTCCTCGTCCACTCAGATGAGTCTGGCGGCACCTGTGGTCCCGCAGCCCAGCACTGCATCTACTCCTGCTCCAGCCACACCCAGCAAGGTCAGAAACACACACACACACACACACACACACACACACTGCATTTCAAGGCTTTCTGTTTTCCTGTGAATGTACTTGTGCGTGTAAGTGTAAAGTGTATGTGTGTGAGTGTGCAGGAGGAGGAGAGTCTGCGCGCTCAGCTGAAGGATCTGGAGGAGAAGCTGGAGACTCTGCGTATGAAGCGCTCGGAGGATAAAGCCAAGCTGAAGGAGATGGAGAAATACAAGATCCAGCTGGAGCAGCTGCAGGAGTGGAGGAGCAAGATGCAGGAGCAGCAGAACGACCTGCAGAAGCAGCTCAAGGAGGCCAAGAAGGTCACACACACACACACACACACACACAGCCCAGCCATACCTGCCTATAAGCTGTAGTTGGTTGGTTCAGGTGGGCCGGGTGGGTTATTTGGTGGATGGGTGGGTTGACGGAGTATGTTGGGCAGATTGGTTGGTTGGTCGGGTGGATTGGTTGGGTGAGTTGGTTTGTAGTGTTGTGCTAATAGACGATAGTATTATGTGTCGACGATAGGCAAAGATATTGCAGAGACCTGAGAACCATGACTATTTTAAAGACAATATTTAGCTGGTTTTGCATTAATGTAGACATTTAACATGTTTAAATGACATTATTGAATAAAAAAAAAGTATTATCATTTTTATTCATCATCATTAAAAATAAATAAACCACAAATAATTTGACATCTTCAGCTGTTCACATTTGCATCACAGCTTCAGCCGTTTACATCAGCATCACTTGTCCAACATTTTCAGACGGCACCACGCAACTTTAGCAGGAATTTAAAATTAGACTAGCCTACTCAAAGAAAATAATACAAAATGTTTTTAAATTGCAAGGCAATTGTAGACATGTTTTCCAAAAATGAATTCTTTCCGTTGCTCTCTCGCTCTCTCTTACTCACTCACTCACTCTCAGCAGCAGCTGATGCGCGCACTGCACATGAGAGCACTACACAGCTACATCTTATAGCAAATTAATTTGCAACTTTGTTGCATAAAAAATAATAATCTAAAATACAAAACAGGATTTAATTAACAAACAAGTCAAACAAAACAATTTGTTAAGAAAACAACAGAAAAAGGAAATGAAAGATCTAAGAACTGAAACCAGCTAATGTTCCCGAATAAAAGGTGTTACGTAATAGACAAGACTCCTTTATAACAGCACTCCTGCAAGATTACCTCAAAAGTTACTTATCTTTCATTTATATCCCGTTATTAAAGGGCTATTTAAGTTTTAAGGTGGCTTATAGCCTATTTTTTTAGTGCATGCATTAACTGCTTCTTCAAATACACAGAATATCCATGTCTTATTTGTTTAATTCAATGGAATGATAAACACAGACATGCACACTTTTCAGAAAATAGCCTATTTATTTTATTTAAATTCTATATTTATTTGTATAGGCTATTAATATATATATATATATATATATATATATATATATATATATATATATATATATATATATATATATATATATATATTTATTTAGTCATTTAAATGAGCCTATGTTAATTTAAATGACAACCTATACTATACCATTCATTTTGTCTTTAACGAATTATTGAACAGATTACTAATAACTTATCAAAGAACATTTTACTGAGCTCCATGAAACGTTTTGTGTGTAGGCCCACAGTCAAATAAAATAACATTAGAGCCATGACTGTGTCTACAATCAAACTATTTCTCTTGTCAGAAAACAATAGCTGCATGTCCCATACGCAACATTGTGTGAGTTTTCTGCAAATACAAATGTAACCTTGTTGATTATTACTATTGCGATGATAAAGTCCCGCTGCACTCTACTGAACAAAACGAAAACGTCTTCACCACATAGAAACAGTCAATCGCGGCCGAGTCCTGTCGGGTGGGTTTCATTGGGTGGTGGGTTTGTTGGGGGGTTGATGGGTGGTTTTGTTTGATGATTGGTTGGTTGGTTGGTGTGTTGGTTGGTTGGGTTTATGGGTGGGTTTGTTGTGTGGATTGCTTGGTTGGTCGGGTGGGTAGGTGGGTTGCTTGGTCTAATGGGTTGGTCTAGTTGGTTGAGTTGATGGGTGGTTTCGTTGGGTAGTGGGTTGATTGGTTGGGTTGGTTGGGGTGGGCTGGTTGGTGAATTGGTTGGGTGAGTTGCTTGTGTGGTGGGTTGGGTTGGTGAGTGGTTGGTTGGTGGAAGTGTTGTGTGGTGGGTTGCTTGGTTTAATGGGTCGGAGTACTTGGTTGGGTTGATGGGTGGTTTTGTTGGGTGTTGGGTTGGTTGGGGTGGGTTGGTCAGGTGGGCTAGTGGCCTGGTTAGTGAGTTTGTTGGGTGAGTTGGTTGTGTGGTGGGTTGGGTAGGTGGATTGGTTGTGTGGTGGGTTGTGTTAGTGGGTGGGTTTTTTGGGTGGAGTGGTAGGTCGGGTGGGTGGGTGGGTTTGCTTTGTCTAATGGGTCGGTCTAGTTGGTTTAGTTGATGGGTGGTTTTGTTAAGTGGTGGGTTGGGTTGGGTTGGTGAGTGGTTGGTTGGTTGGTGGAAGTGTTGTGTGGTGGGTTGCTTGGTCTAATGGGTCGGTCTACTTGGTTGGGTTAATGGGTGGTTTTGTTGGGGGTTGGTTGGTTGGTTAGTTGGTTGGGGTAAGTTGGTCAGGTGGGTTAGTGGGCTGGTTAGTAGCCTGGTTGGGTAAGTTGGTTGTGTGGTGGGTGGGTGGTGGATTGGTTGTGTGGTGGGTTGTGTTAGTGGGTGGGTTTGTTGGGTGGAGTGGTTGGTCGGGTGGGTGGGTAGATGGGTTGCTTGTTCTAATGGGTTGGTCTAGTTGGTTGAGTTGATGGGTGGTTTCGTTGGGTGGTGGGTTGATTGGTTGGGTTGGTTGGGGTGGGCTGGTTGGTGAAGTTGCTTGTGTGGTGGGTTGGGTTGGTGAGTGGTTGCTTGGTTGGTGGAAGTGTTGTGTGGTGGGTTGCTTGGTCTAATGGGTCGGTCTACTTGGTTGGGTTAATGGGTGGTTTTGTTGGCGGTTGGTTGGTTGGTTGGTTAGTTGGTTGGGGTAAGTTGGTCAGGTGGGTTAGTGGGCTGGTTAGTAGCCTGGTTGGGTAAGTTGGTTGTGTGGTGGGTTGGGTTGGTGGGTGGTTGGTGGATTGGTTGTGTTAGTGGGTGGGTTTGTTGGGTAGAGTGGTTGGTCGGATGGGTGGGTAGTTGGGTTGCTTGGTCTAATGGGTTGGTCTAGTTGGTTAGGTTGATGGGTGGTTTTGTTGGGTGGTGGGTTGATTGAATGAGTTGGTTGTTTGGGTAGTTGGTTGGGTTGGGTGGATTTGTAAGGGGGTCAGCTGGATTGGTGGGTGGGTGGGTTGGTTGAAGTCAAAGTTATTTGCCCTCTCATGAATTGCCCTCTTGTTAATTTTCCAATCTTTCTCAAGTGCTGTTTAACAGAGCAAGCACACTGTTACACAGCTTCCTATAATATTATTTCTTCTGGAGAAAGTTCTGCTTCTTTTAGTTTGGCTGGAGTTCAAATTACGTTCAAAAAGGTGTTGAATAAACCATGTGTGTGTGTTTGCAGGAGGCTCGCGAGGCTCTGGAGGCTAAAGACCGCTACATGGAGGAGATGGCGGACACTGCAGACGCTATAGAGATGGCCACACTGGACAAGGAGATGGCGGAGGAGCGAGCGGAGTCCCTGCAACAGGAGACCGAAAGCCTGAAGGAGAAGCTGGAGGAGCTGACCATGGACATGGAGATACTCAAACATGAGATCGAGGAGAAGGGTGAGAACATGCACACAAACATACACAGACTTATCACAACTGACCCCAGCTGCTGGAGTTTCAGATGTCTGACCTCTATGTGTGTTTGTTCATTTGTGTGTGTGTGTGTATTCTCAGGCTCAGATGGAGCAGCGTCCAGCTATCATGTCAAACAGCTGGAGGAGCAGAACGCACGTCTGAAAGAAGCTCTTGTCAGGTGAAACACACACACACACACAGACATTTACAGCTAATTCACTCACTGACTATGCAGAGGACTTTTCTTCTTCAGTAGAACATTAAAGAGGATTTGTGTGTGTTCAGGATGAGGGATCTGTCCTCCTCAGAGAAGCAGGAGCATGTGAAGCTGCAGAAACAGATGGAGAAGAAGAACTCTGAGCTGGAGACGCTGCGCTCACAGAAGGAGAAGCTGCAGGAGGAGATGAAGCTGGCGGAGGACACCATCGATGAGCTGAAGGAGCAGGTGGACGCAGCTCTGGGTGCAGAGGAGATGGTGGAGACGCTGACGGAGAGAAATCTGGACCTGGAGGAGAAAGTGCGGGAGCTGCGGGAGACCGTCAGTGACCTGGTGAGGAAAACTGCTCGCTACTGTAGCACCTCTTCATATGTGCACTACGGCTTCATTGTCATTTTAGTGAACGCCTCAGCGATGTATGTCAGCACTAGGCCAGACCACTAGGATAAGTGCATCATCTGAATATTTAAAGTGCACTAATTCTTGAGCAGTCAGTGTGAATGCTCGACCTACACTATTTATACTGCAGGATTGTACATAGGTGTGTGATTTGGGAAGCACCTCACATTAGTCTACGACCTGCCGTAATTGCCTCTTGTCCCTCAGGAATCCATCAACGAGATGAACGATGAGCTGCAGGAGAACGCACGGGAGACGGAGCTGGAGCTGCGGGAACAGCTGGATCTGGCCGGAGCACGGGTTCGAGAGGCGCAGAAGAGGGTGGAGGCGGCACAGGAGACACTGGCGGATTACCAGCAGACCATCAACAAATACAGAGAGCTCACCACGCACCTACAGGTCACACACACTAAAACAAACAAACATTCACTTTCATTTAAAAGCAATGTTCTCAGTGCTGAGCCTTGTGGCCAACACTATTTAATCTTCAGTTAAGTACAAGCAGAAGGACAACTCAGGAAACACACATCACATTCATGCAAATTAACTAATCAAAATAGCATCAGTAATAATAATCAATGGCAAAAAGTAACACATAAGGAGTTATATTTAATATATATATATATATATATATATATATATATATATATATATATATATACACACACATTTTTTTTTTTTAAACCCATTTTCTATGTCGCGTTGTGTTGTGTGTGAACAGGAAGTGAACCGCGAGCTGACCAATCAGCAGAGCAGCTCCGCTGAGCAGCTCCAGCAGCCGGCAGCGGAACTCTTCGACTTCAAGATCAAGTTTGCGGAGACTAAAGCCTACGCTAAGGTACAGTGAGACTTCATCTTCACCTTAACATGCTGAACGCACTTTGGTGGATGTTCACACAAATGTGTCTCCAGGAAGATATTTATTCAAAATATAATACTTTAGGGTGGATTTTTTATTTGTTTTGTATTGTGAAAGCAAAATTCTCTTGAGTAAGTCATTTATGCTGCCTCATGAGGGTAGTTTGGTATTTATTTCCCTAATTGGCAACCGTTAAATGTCGTAGGAAACAAAAACATCTAGTACAATAAAATGCTTCTATTTGGGACGACACTAAACTCCACACTACATTGAGCATAGTGCATAGTGTATAAGTGTATGTGTGTATAGTGTGTAAGTGCAAACCTGTATAGTGCATAGTGTGCAAAAGTATATAATTAAATAGTGCATAAGTGCATACTTCAAAGGCCAGTGTATAGTGCATAAATGCATAGTCTATATAGTGTCTATTGTATAGTGTATAAGTGGGTAGCGCCTAAGTGTGTATTGCATAATGTATTGTGCATAGTGTATAAGCTGTTGTGCAAACGTGTATAGTGAATCAGTGCATAAGTGTATAGTGCATAGTGTATAAATGCATTTTGTATAGGCTACAGGTGCAAAAGTATATAGTGTATCAGTGCATAAGTGTAAAGTGTGCAGTGTTTCCTCTAGGATGTTTTCCAGCTTTGGCGGCAGGCCTTTTTTTTACACAGATCTACCAAATACCTGTGGTGTTATATCAATGACAGATGTCGTGAGCGCAGTATTAGAAGTCGAGATGGCGTTTATGTCATAGCCTATGAGCATGCGGATCTCTTTGCTTGTGTGCCGATTTCCTCTGCTCGTGCACAGAACTTCTTGCACGCCCCTCAAATATAAGCTGCTTCAAGAGTGTGCAGATCTTCTTGTGCGCTCTCAAATAAACGCTGCTGAAGTGCGATTTAGTGCATCTGTCTACAACATTTATTGGATTTGCTAGGAATATTTATGAATGTCTCCAATAGACTTACAAAGCAATCTTAATGTGTCCTGGTTGAAGGAAAGTGAAACGGCTGTACGTCGTGTTTGCTAGCCTCACTCATCACGCACCTGTCAGTCAGTCAGTCAGCACGTAACCTTAAAGGGTTAAACAAATGACGCACATCACTACTGCGGTTACAGAAAAGTTTGTGCTGTTATACTTCACTTACCTTTTACTACGTTTTGGTGCGATTTATAACCTGCTATTAAAAAAATAAGATGTTTAAAATGAGACGCTGTAATGTAGCCGTGGCGGGATGAATTTTGGCAGGCGCCCTGCCATGGAAGAATGAATGTAGCGTAAACCCTGCTGTATAAGTGCATAGTGCATGAGTGTGTAATGCATAGTGTATAGGCCATTGTACAGAACTGTATAGTGTCTAAATGTGTATTGCGTAAGTAAAAGTGTATAGTGCATAGTGTGTAGTCTGTGAGTGTATAGTGCATGAGTGCATAGTGCACAAGTGTGTATAGATGCATAAAATATGTATAAGTGCATAAGGGTATAGTGCACAAGTGTATAGTGCATACTGCATGAGTGTATAGTCCATGAGTGCATAGTGCATAAGTGTATAATGCATACGTACATACTGCATAAGTGTATACTGCATAACTATATTGTGTATAAGGGTATAGTGCATATGTACAAAGTGCAAAAGTGTATACTGCATAAGTATATAGTGTATGAGTATATAGTGCATATGTTTGTAGTGTATATAGTGCATAGGTCATAAGAACATAGTGTGGATGTGTATAAGTGTATAGTGTATAAGTATGTATAGCGCATAGTGTATAAATAAATACATAGTGTGTAAGTGCATAAGTATGTATAGCGCATAGTGTATAAATAAATACGTAGTGTGTAAGTGCATAAGTATGTATAGCGCATAGTGTATAAATAAATACGTAGTGTGTAAGTGCATAAGTATGTATAGCGCATAGTGTATAAATAAATACGTAGTGTGTAAGCGTATAAGTATGTATAGCGCATAGGGTATAATTAAATACATAGTGTGTAAGTGCATAAGTATGTATAGCGCATAGTGTATAATTAAATACATAGTGTGTAAGTGCATAAGTATGTATAGCGCATAATGTATAAATAAATACATAGTGTGTAAGTGCATAAGTATGTATAGCGCATAGGGTATAATTAAATACATAGTGTGTAAGTGCATAAGTATGTATAGCGCATAGTGTATAATTAAATACATAGTGTGTAAGTGCATAAGTATGTATAGCGCATAGTGTATAAATAAATACATAGTGTGTTAGTGCATAAGTATGTATAGCGCATAGTGTATAATTAAATACATAGTGTGTAAGTGCATAAGTATGTATAGCGCATAGTGTATAATTAAATACATAGTGTGTAAGTGCATAAGTATGTATAGCGCATAGTGTATAAATACATAGTGTGTAAGTGCATAAGTATGTATAGCGCATAGTGTATAATTAAATACATAGTGTGTAAGTGCATAAGTATGTATAGCGCATAGTGTATAATTAAATACATAGTGTGTAAGTGCATAAGTATGTATAGCGCATAGTGTATAAATAAATACATAGTGTGTTAGTGCATAAGTATGTATAGCGCATAGTGTATAATTAAATACATAGTGTGTTAGTGCATAAGTATGTATAGTGCATAGTGTATAAATAAATACGTAGTGTGTAAGTGCATAAGTATGTATAGCGCATAGTGTATAAATAAATACGTAGTGTGTAAGTGCATAAGTATGTATAGCGCATAGTGTATAAATAAATACGTAGTGTGTAAGTGCATAAGTATGTATAGCGCATAGTGTATAAATAAATACGTAGTGTGTAAGCGTATAAGTATGTATAGCGCATAGGGTATAATTAAATACATAGTGTGTAAGTGCATAAGTATGTATAGCGCATAGTGTATAATTAAATACATAGTGTGTAAGTGCATAAGTATGTATAGCGCATAATGTATAAATAAATACATAGTGTGTAAGTGCATAAGTATGTATAGCGCATAGGGTATAATTAAATACATAGTGTGTAAGTGCATAAGTATGTATAGCGCATAGTGTATAATTAAATACATAGTGTGTAAGTGCATAAGTATGTATAGCGCATAGTGTATAAATAAATACATAGTGTGTAAGTGCATAAGTATGTATAGCGCATAGTGTATAATTAAATACATAGTGTGTAAGTGCATAAGTATGTATAGCGCATAGTGTATAATTAAATACATAGTGTGTAAGTGCATAAGTATGTATAGCGCATAGTGTATAATTAAATACATAGTGTAAGTGCATAAGTATGTATAGCGCTTAGTGTATAAATATGTAGTGCTTAGCATATAATGTATAAGTGCATAAGTTTAAAGTGTAGGATTTTGGACTCAACTTTTGTGCAAACGTGTGTGTGTGTGTGTGTGTGCACGCAGGCCATAGAAATGGAGCTGCGTAAGATGGAGGTGAGCCAGGCGAACCGTCAGGTGTCTCTGCTGACCTCCTTCATGCCTGAGTCTTTCCTGCGGCACGGCGGAGATCACGACTGCATCCTGGTGCTGCTGCTCATCCCCAGACTCATCTGCAAGGTCTCGCTTTATTCTCTAACACGCTACAAGAGTCGCAAGCACTCAATCTGACCACATTTACTGTTCACAGAGACCGGGGCTGAATTTATCTGATCGTAACAGAACTATGGCTTTAAAACAGTTGTAACAATACTTAAAAGTCTGGTTAGTTGATGTTAGTTAAAGCAATAACTTGATCGTAACAGAACTATATTTATGAATAGAATTGTAACGCTTGATTACGAGCTCTTGTTAGTTGAATGGTGACAGGAGGTGGGTAATGGATGACTCATTTGTCTGTTGTGCTGATGTTGTGGCAGGCGGAGCTGATCAGTAAACAGGCGCAGGAGAAGTTTGATCTGACTGGCGGGTCGCTGGAGAGAGCTGGACTGCGAGGAGCTGCTGGAGAACAGCTGAGCTTCGCTTCAGGACTGGTTTATTCTCTGACGCTCCTGCAGGCCACGCTGCATAAATATGAGCTGTACGTGTCTATCAGCATTATACCTGAGATGTGTTCACTGTGTGTTTTCTGCACAGTGTGTGTGTTGTGTATTGACAGTATGTTTTGTGCGCAGGGCTCTGAGTGTGTGTGGTGTAGACGTGTATAAGCGCATGGGCATGCTCTACTCTGAGATGTGTGTTCACGAGCGCTCGCTGGACTTCCTGATCGACCTGCTGCATAAAGACCAGCTGGACGAGACGGTGCAGGTGGAGCCGCTCACTAAAGCCATCAAATACTACCAGGTACACACACACACACATACACACACACACACACACACACACACACACACACACACACACACACTGTATGTATGTATGTATGTATATATGTATATGTATTATATATGTATATATACACTCATTTACATACACATATATACACTCATACACACACACATTGTACATATATACACACACACAAACACACACACACACATACACTAAAAATACAAACACATATATATACTCATACACACACACACACACACACACACACTGTACATATACACTCAAATACACACATACGCTTTACATATACACTCTCATATGCTCACATTATACACACACTACACATACACACATGCTCACATACAAACACACTGTACACATACACTTACATACAAACACACATGTTGTACAAACACTCATTTGCACACACTTATTCAGTTTGCACACACACAAAGTACATACAAACATACTGTACATATACACTCATATACAAACACATATATACACTCATACACACACACTCACATTGTACATATACACTCATATACAAACACATATATACATTTATCTACACACATACACACACACTCACACATTGTACATATACACTCATACACACACACACACACATTGTACACATACACTCATATACACATACACACACACACACATTGTACATATACAATCATATACAAACACGTATACACACACACACACACACACACACACACAAACACACTGTACATATACACTCATATACACATACACACACACACTCACATTGTACATATACACTCGTATACAAACAAACACATGCAAATGTAACCCCCCCAAACACACACACACACACACACTTACTCTCTCATACATCTCAAATTCTCATACACACATAAACATTTGAACACACACACATACATATATATATATATATATATATATATAGATAGATAGATAGATAGATAGATAGATAGATAGATAGATAGATAGATAGATAGATAAAGTTATATATATATATATAGATAGATAGATAGATACAGTTATATATATACAGTAAGTACATGCACACATATAATATGCAGTAACATGGTCTGGTGTGTGTGTGTTTCAGCATCTGTACAGTGTTCATCTGTGTGATCAGCCTGAGGACTGCACTGTCCAGCTGGCCGACCACATCAAGGTACAGCATTACATATCGTCAAATAAATATATGTGTGTATGTATATATTGAATGAAATGATATTCTATGGCTATTACAGTGAACTAAACACCATTGTATGTTCAGTCCAGTATGGAGATGTTTTGTCTCTTGATGATTCAGTTGAATCAGTGAATCATCTGTCAGACATCAGTGTTGAGTTCAGCTCTCTGTGGCTTGTAGTTTACCCAGAGTGCTCTGGACTGTATGGGGTCGGAGGTGGGCCGTCTGCGGGCGTTTCTGCAGGCGGGACAGGAAGGGGCGGAGCTCTGTGTGCTGCTAAAGGACCTGGACACTTCCTGTGGAGACATCCGTCAGTTCTGCAAGAAGATCCGCAGGAGGATGCCAGGAACTGATGCTCCGGGAATACCTGCAGCACTGCGCTTCTCTGAGCAGGTATAAACACACACACACACACACACACACACACACACACTCCCTCATTCACTAGCTACGTTTCCATCCACCTATTGGATGGAAACGTAGGATAAACTTTTTATTCGATAAGAAAAGAAGCGCTTAAAGTGAAATGGAAACACTTTTACCGAACAAATTCCACTATGAGCCAAGGTTATTATAGTTAACGAAAACTAATGAAAAAACGAAAACTAAAATGTAAAATAATTGTCGTTAACTGAAATAAAAATAAAAACAAGTTTTTTCAAAAACTAGAACTAAGTGAAACTGTATTGTGTACATACAAAACTTACTGAAACTAACTAGAATTAGAGCAAAAACCTTCTTCGTTTTTGTATTTTTAAATGCATTTCATAAATAATCTTACTGTTAGCATTTTAGAAGTAAATATAATCCGCGCTGCGGGTGTTTGTGTTTGACCCTTTCGCACCTCAGAGTCTCCTTCTGCCATTGGGCAGATCGAGCCGGTTGTCCTCGAGTCATCTTCTCTGTTGCTCCCGCAACAAAAACAAGTAGACATGACAGCAGGACGGTGACAGCATTAAATACAGAGACTTTAAACTGTTACTTCAACACGTTTGTGCCCAATAATGGGTTTTATTTCTGTATCGCGATCGCAAACGAATCTTTGTAACCGGATTTTCTTAGTGAACCAGTTGAACAAGTTCACCAAATCGAACTGAATCATTTGAAATGATTCGCGTCTCCAGTAAGCACTTATTCACCCACTTCTTGCGTAATAACAAGCCTAATACCACCCACCCCCCACCCACCCCTGTAAGACATTTTTCAGATCATGATGATGTTTTTTAACTGCTGACTACATAATGTTGAGTCCAAACATCCGCGTTAGAAATCTGAATTTCCCATCACCAGGCCCGGATTAATAATTCAGAGGCCCCTGGGCACAATGTCTTGTAGGCCCCCTATAGCCGCACCCCATAGTTTAATCAAAAATAATATTAATATAATATTTGTTAAATAAAATTAATCTATAATGTATTGCCCACATTTTTTAAATAGATGATATACAGTACATATATTTTTAGTCTACAGAGATTTAACTTATTTCTAAAGCATTTAAGCACACTTTGAAAAAAATACTAATACAACTAAGGGAAGTTAATGGATATTAATATACTTGTTCAAGTTCACTGAAGCAGCACTAAAATTTATATTTAAGGGTATTTTTAATGTATAACTCTACATTCTTATGCACATGATTTGGATAACACCTCTCCAATCCAGTTCTAGGAATCTGAGTCCTCCATAATACACACACTTATTAATGATTCCTACTTCTCTTGCTCGTGATGGAGAGTGTGCATAATGTGCCCATAATGCCCATTGGTTAATCCGGCCCTGCCCATCACTACGTCTAAACTCACCTTGCACACATATTGTATTTAGGGCTGCTGTCTTGTGGGCTGTTGTATGTGGAGTTGAGGATGGGTAGATGGTTGTGGTAGATGATGGTGTTCATGTGTCCTCTGAATGCATGTTTCAAAAAATGTATGACTGCGTTTTTATTATACAATATTAATCCTGTTAATTTTGAATCTTGTACCTAACAAATATCCTCATTTAGAAACTGAAAACTGAAACTAAAACTAATGAAAACTAAACTAAAACTAAGACATTTTAAAATATAGAAACTAATAAACACTAGGAAATCTGCCTGTAAAACTAATGAAAACTAACTGAATTTGAAAACAAAAAGTCAAAACGAAATAGAAACTAAAACTAATGAAAAATCCAAAACTATTATAACCTTGGTATGAGCATTAATAAAGGTCATGTGATGTTGTCTGTGTGAAGATGAATGTGTGTGAATGGGTAAAGCAGCAGGCTGAGCACACTGGAGGACATCTGACATGTTGTTCTGCTCATTCTGAAATGCCTGAACCATCGCACTATTATATTATTAATGACCTCCAGAACTGTCAAGAGCGTCTGTGCTCCGCGTCTCACACCTTCACCAGGCGTTCATTGTGTGTCAGCATTGTCCTCCGAGGCGCAAGTCATTTATTTAATTAAGGAAAGATTGACACAGCTTCTTCTACCACAGTAAATGCAGTTTTCACTGTTGATATTTGGCCCCAGTTCATCAGGAAGTGTTGGTTTTGGTCTCTTTGACTCTTTGGATGGAAACTCTGCTTTATTCTTTTATGTGATAATCCAGTTTTGTGCAGAAATTTAATTTGCATGTTTGGATAGATTTTGCACACAGCCAGTGACACACACACACTCACACACACACACAACCTCACTCACTGCTGGCCATTTAATATGTGCTATATGATTTTACTTTATGCGTGTGTGTGTGTGTGTGCGCGTGTGCTTGTGTGTGTGTGTGTGTGTGTGTGTGTGTGTGTGTGTGTGTGTGTGTGTGCGCGTGTGTGTGCGCGTGTGTGTGCGCGTGTGTGTGCGCGTGTGTGTGCGCGTGTGTGTGTGTGTGTCTATGCATGTGTGTATGTGTGTGCATTTATGTGTGTTTGTGTGCGTGCATGCATGTTTGTGTGTGTGCACGTGAGCATGTTTGCATGTTGTGTGCATGTGTGCGTGCATGCATGTTTGTGCGTGCATGTTTACATGTTGTGTGCATATGTGCGTGCATGCATGTTTGTGCGTTGTGTGTTTGTTGTGCGTTTTGCGCTTTGTGTTTGTGTTGTGCTTGTGTGTTGTGCTTGTGTGTGTGTGTGTGTTGTCCTTGTGTTTGTGTTGTGCTTGTGTGTGTGTGTGTGTGTGTGTGTGTGTGTGTGTGTGTGTGTGTGTGTGTGTGTGTGTGTGTGTGTGTGTCTATGCATGTGTGTGCATTTATGTGTGTTTGTGTGCGTGCATGCATGTTTGTGTGTGTGCACGTGAGCATGTTTGCATGTTATGTGTGCATGTGTGCGTGCATGCATGTTTGTGCGTTGTGTGTTTGTTGTGCGTTTTGCGCTTTGTGTTGTGCTTGTGTGTTGTGCTTGTGTGTGTGTGTGTGTTGTCCTTGTGTTTGTGTTGTGCTTGTGTGTGTGTGTGTGCGTGTGTCTGTGTGCGTGTGTCTGTGTGTGTGTGTGTGTTTTTCATTCTCAGTTCTTCTGTAATATTGAGTGTTCATCATTGAGGCTTCATCATATGACAGGGTGTCTGAGGGGTCTTAAAAAGTGTTAAAAGTCGATAAATCAATTATGAGAAAATTAAGGCTCTTAAAATGTATTAAAAAGTCTTGATCCTGTTTTTACGAGGCCTTCAATTTTCTTTAAGCGCTGCCCAATGTTTCTGACTCCCAAAAGACCATAAATATACTTATTTTCCTCCTAATATTAACAACGGCGTGCTCTATCCACACGATTGGTTGTATCCGACCAAGCTCCTCGGTCTGGGTGATGTCACGTAATCTGAGACGAATGTGGGAAGTTGGTGTGTCGTTCTTCACATGTAGCGAAAGCATAGAGCGAAACAGAGGGCACAATGGGGAAATGTAAGGTTGCGTACTCCTGGTTTCAGCAAGACGAGTTTAAACTGTGGCTGAAGCCTGTCGCTGAAGACAACCGCGTAATTAACTCTTTCAAGCTTTGATTCTTCTGAGCGTATCCGAGTTCTGTTGCATGGTCATGCTCCATTCATTGATTTAACTACAGCTGTTCATTACGTTAAAGGTTTGACACTGATTAGAGCTCGAAGTGGCGGTGAGCTCTTCAAATATTCTGAGAAGGTCTTTAAAAAAGGTATTGAAATAGCCTTCAGGACTCCTGCATATTACCTTTATGAGTACATGTGAGTGTGTGATTCAGTGTTCATCCATACTGACAGCTCCAGTGTGTGTTATTACCTAATAACTCAACCACACATCGTCAACTATTCCTTACCTGTCGCTGGTGTGTGTGTATGTGCAGGTGAGCGAGGCGCTGGCGGACAGCAGGAAGCAGCTGGCGCGTGTGGTGGCGGTGCTACAGGAAGTGTCTGCGGCCGGCGCTCAGATGATGGCGCCACTGCAGGAGCAAGAGGGACTGAGCGCTGTGAAGATCGAGGATGTGGCCTTTAAAGCAGTGGAGCAGGTCACACACTACACACACTGCACACACACTCTGTCTGAGGATCGCAGCTGCTGACCGTATCTCTGTGTGTGTGTGTGTGTGTGTGTGTGTGTGATGCAGGTGTACGGCACACAGGGACTGAACCCGTACGAGTGTCTGCGTCAGTCCTGCAGCGCCGTCATCGCCACCATGAACAAGATGGCCACCGCCATGCAGGAGGGAGAGTACGACTCGGAGAGACCACAGCGCCCGGTACACTCACACACACACACTTACACTTATATATATATATATATATATATATATACACACACACACTCTCGCACACACAAATACGTGTATACACACTCACATACATCCACACACCAATACGTATACACTCTCTCAGATATACACACACACACACACACACCAATACGTATACACTCTCTCAGATACGCACACACACACACAAATACGTATACACTCTCTCAGATACGCACACACACCAATATGTATACACTCTCTCAGATACACACACACACACCAATACTTATACACTCTCAGATACGCACACACACCAATACATATACACTCTCAGATACGCACACAACAATATGTATACACTCTCTCAGATACACACACACACCAATACGTATACACTCTCAGATACGCACACACACCAATACATATACACTCTCAGATACGCACACAACAATACGTATACACTCTCTCAGATACACACACACACCAATACGTATACACTCTCTCAGATACACACACACACCAATACGTATACACTCTCTCAGATACACACACACACAACAATACGTATACACTCTCAGATACACACACAACAATACGTATACACTCTCTCAGATACGCACACACACCAATACATATACACTCTCAGATACACACACAACAATACGTATACACTCTCTCAGATACGCACACACACCAATACATATACACTCTCAGATACGCACACAACAATACGAATACACTCTCAGATACACACACACACCAATACGTATACACTCTCAGATACGCACACACACCAATACATATACACTCTCAGATACACACACAACAATACGTATACACTCTCTCAGATACACACACACCAATACGTATACACTCTCAGATACGCACACACACAATAATACGTATACACTCTCAGATACGCACACACACCAATACGTATACACTCTCAGATACACACACACACCAATACGTATACACTCTCAGATACACACACACACCAATACGTATACACTCTCAGATACACACACACAATAATACGTATACACTCTCTCAGATACACACACACACCAATACGTACACACTCTCTGGGATACACACACACAACAATACGTATACACTCGCACACAAGTACATACATAAACATTCACATAAACAGACATTCAATTATACACACTCTCTCACACACAAAAAACACACAAACACACACACATACAGATTCCCATACACACTCTCCCACATACAAACACGCGCCCATTCTTACATACATGCATTCTCTCTTACATGCGCACACACACACAAACACACACTTTCATACACACTCTCTTTCCCTCTCAAACTGGCTCTCAAACATGCGCAGATACACAAAAATTTGCTTATTAAACTTGCTCACACACACACACTCACTCTCACACACGCCCTCTAACACACTTACACAAACACTCGCTCCCTCACTCGACACACATACAGTACACAATCATATGACTGGGTGTGTGTGTGTGTTCAGCCTCCTCCAGTGGAGACGCGTGCGGCTGCGGTGCGAGCGGAGATGACGGACGCTGAGGGTCTGGGGAACAAACTGGAGGATCGAGAGACCGTCATCAAGGAGCTGAAGAAGTCCCTCAAGATAAAGGTCACAAAACACACACCAATACACACTATACACAACACTAAATACACAACGCAATGTACGTGCGTGTGCTTTTGTATAAACATAATAAACATACACAGCACACACACACACACACACACACACACACATATTATTTAAAGACTTATTTGTATGCCATTATTCATGTTTAATCATTAAACAGCTCTAGTGTTAACCATAAAAGTTGTGATGCACACATTTATAAAACACTCACTGGCCACTTTATTAGGTACACCTCACTAGTACCGGGTTGGACCTCTTTCACCTTCAGATCTGCCTTAATCCTCGGTGTCAGAGATTCAGCAAGCTGCTGGAAATATTCCTCAGAGATTTTGCTCCATATTGTCATGACAGCATCACACAGTTGCTGCAGATTTGTCGGCTGCACATCCATGATGCCAATCTCCCGTTCCACCACATCCCAAAGCTGCTCTATTGGATCGAGCTCTGGCGACTGTGGAGGCCATTTGAGTACAGTGAACTCATCGTCATGTTCAAGAAACCAGTCTGAGATGATTGAGCTTTATGACATGCTGCGTTATCCTGCTGGAAGTAGCCATCAGAAGATGGAGACACTGTGCTCATAAAGGGATGGACATGGTCAGCAGCAATACTCAGGTAGGCTGTGGCGTTGATGCTCAATTGGTACTAATGGACCCAAAGAAAATCTCCCCCACACCATTACACCACCACCACCAGCGTGAACCGTTGATGCAAGGCAGGATGATCCATGCTTTCATGTTGTTGAGGCCAAATTCTGCCCCGAGCATCTGAATGTGTCAGCAGAAATGGAGACTCATCAGAGCAGGCAACGTTTCTCCAATCTTCTGTAGTCCAGTGGAACCAGTCTGGCCATTCTCCTCTGACCTCTGGCCTCATCAACAAGGCATTTGCGCCCACAGAACTGCCGCTCACTGGATATTTCCTCTTTGTTGGAGCATTCTCTGTAAACCCAAGAGATGATTTTGCGTGAAAATCCCAGTAGATCAGCAGTTTCTGAAATACTCAGTGCAGCCGTCTGGCAGCAACAACCATGCCTTGTGTTCTCGTGTAACATCATCATCAGCTGCCAAAGTTCAGTTCTAATACTCAAGACCGCAAGAACAGAGGACACTTGTAACTATACGGATGTGATCTTGATATCGAGGATGCACCTATTCAGACTTGAGCACAAATCTCGTTCTAGAAGTCCCAGAAGTCATTGCAACTGGAGGTGGGAAGCGCAGCATTTTATTTAGATTTATTATTAAAGTTCAGAGATATCACTTATTTACCTCAGGAGTTTCCCTAAATGAAACTGTGAATATAAGCATTACCATGGACATCTTAATAGGGAAATTAACACACTTTAAGGGTGTTTGTTTGCTGAAATTAGTATAAAAATCTTTTTATTTGTATTGTGCAATGTATATTTGTAAAGGCTTTATGCAGAGTATATATTGTGAAAAGGGGAAAATCAATAACTCGCTGTATGAATGCTGTAAAGTTTAAATCATTTTACATTTAAAACGAGTGAAGGTCATGTGATGCATCTCATTTCTCACAGGACGCGTTCTCTGTTCTCGTGTTCTCCAGAGTTCGTTTTTCGGAGGACACCTGGCAAGACCGGTGTCCACAAGAACTCAAGGACCAGTGTCCACAAGAACTCAAGTCCGTTCTCTGCGTTCTTGGAATTGAGAAACAGCCCCGGACTGTTTTTAGGATCGTTTAATTGAATCATTTGACTCAAAGGATTCGTTTAGAAGCTGATTCATTCGGGAAGTGTTGCTCTGAAACACTCAAATGACAGAGTTATTTCCATTGGCTTTACTCAAAAATAACAAAATATTGTGTAAAATGACTTAACATTGATATAAACTAGACAGAACTGTTAAATAAATATGAATCGAATCTAAAATGAAAGTTAGTTTTGATATTATTGAAGTGTTTGTGTATTTATATATACATAAATACACACAGAACAATGTTTACTTATGTTTAGACTTAAAATGTATGTGAATATGAAACAAATTGTATATAATTTATATATCTATCTAGCAAAATCGTATCATTTTATTTCTATATATGTGTTCATTATATATACATAATAAATAAGGAAAACAAACACATATAATATGTCTAAACGATCTTTTATTTTAAATATGATTAGTTACTAATTATTATTATTTTAATGTTATTAATATTAAACTTTGCACAGCTGTAATATATTTATCATTGATTCATTCTAACGATTCATTTTGAAATGGAGCAAGAGACTGGAATGCTTAAATGAATCATTTGACTCATGACTCGTTCAGAAACTGATTCATTCATTCTTTGAGTTATTTTCAGTGGAGAAACTCAATAATAACACAGTATTGTGAGTAAAATGGACTTTTTCGGTCTGATCTGCAGGGCGAGGAGCTGAGCGAGGCGAACGTTCGTCTGAGTTTGTTGGAGAAAAAGCTGGACACGTCGACCAAAGATGCAGACGAGCGGGTGGAGAAGATCCAGACCAAACTAGATGAAGCTCTGAACACTCTAAAGAAGAAGGAGAAGTAGGAGATTCTGCTGATCACACTTTGAACCAGTTTGTGGAGCTGTGTGCTGAGTGTGTGTGTGTGTGTGTGTTTTTGCAGAGAGTTCGAGGAGACCATGGACGCGCTACAGGCTGACATCGACCAGCTGGAGTCCGAGAAGGCGGAGCTTAAGCAGAGGATCAGCAGCCAATCACGAGCCACTGAAGGTCTTCGGGGGCAACCAGCGTCTGGAATCGCATCTATTGTCACCGGGAATGTTGCAGGTATACACACACACATACACACACACACACACACACATTTTCACACACACATTTGCATACATATACAATCACACTGGCACACACACAAAACCAACACACATTTACACACAAACACATTTCCATTACACACACACACACTTGCATACACATGCGTTCACACACAGACACACACTCGCTCACAAACAAACACACACATTTACATATACACCCAGACAGACACGCACATACACAGGTATATACATACACACAAACACTCATAATCATGCACACAAAAACACACACATTTACATACATACACACACACACGCACGTGCAGACACACCCCACAGATAAATACATAGACACACCGACACTCAGACTCAAACAAAACAAACACACACACACACACTCAAACACATAATCATACAAAAATACAAACAGACACACATTTTACAAACACACACATACACACACACACAGTTGTTTATGAAGGAATGTATCTACTGTTTGGGCAGTGTGTGTTCATCGTGTGTTCATCATGTGTGTCTGTGTGTGTCTGTCTGTGTGTGCACGCAGGAGGGATGCTGTCAGCTCCAGCAGGTGTCTCAGGTGTGGTTCAGGTGGTTGATTCTCCACTCCTGAAGCAGCAGATCGATGTCCAGCGAATCGCCATCAAGCAGCTCAAGAGCGAAAACTACAGACTCAAGGTGTGTGTGTGTGTGTGTGTGTGTGTGTGTGTGTGTGTGTGTGTGTGTGTGTGTGTGTGTGTGTGTGTGTGTGTGTGTGAATAATATATATATATTATTAATAATATTAATAATATATGTTATATTAATAATAATAATTATATATATATATATATATATATATATATATATATATATATATATATATATATATATTATTTATTTTATTTTTTTTTCCTGGTCTGTTGAAATCCTTGACTCTGATTGGCTGGTGGGTGTGCGTTATTTTCATTGAATCGCGCAGGTAGTTCCAGTCAGTTTTGATCACAGTTCGAAATAAATGCGCTTCTCATGTGTAGTTACCATATCAACTCTCATGCGCTGCACAGGAAACAGGTGAGGACTGTTAATGGCAGATTGGAAATCCGCAAAATTAGAAAAATACTTATCAATTATGCCACCCTAAATCAAGTTTAGGAGTTTTTTAAAGGGCACCTATGGTGAAAAATCTCCTTTTCAAGCTGTTTGGACAGACGTGTATGTAAGTATAGTGTATAGACCGTCATAGTGGGCTGATATAAACACACACAGTGCTTTTTTTTCCAATTTAACAACATAAAAACAGTGGACCAATTGGAGCGGTTTTCAGACCGACCGCAACTTGATGTAGGAGTGCGGTCCCCCCGCCCACTGATATTGATTGACAGCTGCGCGCATCACCATATCCTAAGTTTGTTGTTTCACGTCCACCATTTTCAGCGTGTGAGTCAAAGCGATGTCACTAAAGGAACGCCCGTGCTCTATTTTTAGATGTAAGGCTCATTGGGCTCAACATGAGATCAGCATTCACCACATGATCACTCTAATCTGAATTATTGTTTGTAACTTTAGGTGTTTTCTTTGTTTGCGCATTATTACACCCATACGCAGCACCAAAGTCCAGCATCTTCAGATTAGCTTTAAGGCTGATTAATACTTCTGCGTCAAACACCGGCGTATGCTACGGCGCTGACGCATAGCCCTTCGCCGTGGCCATCGCCGTCACTGACGTGCACCTCTCAAAAAATGTAACTACACATCGCAGCGACGCGTAGCGTAAGCTCTGTGATTGGTCGGCTTGGTAGCGCTGACGAGTCTGGGCGGGACCGAGAGCCGCGTGAATGGCGCGAGCGATTGTTTACAAGTGTGGAGTACCGTGAAGGAGCTCCGGATGGAAAGTTTTGTTTTTTTTTTTACCTCATAGTTAAAGTTGTTGCACGTCCGCCGGTTCCTGCCTCAAAATCAGAGAGTTTAAGCCACTTGTACATCCCGGAAGTGTTCAGGAAATGCAAAAAAGTAGCGAAGAAACTCGACACAGAGGAACATTTACACCTCACTGCCAACTAGCGTTTCGGAAGTGTTAATGCAGACCGACAGAGACAGCGCGCAGAAGTATAAATGCACAGCCACGCGCGTTGCCTGCGCCGTGGGTTACGCCGGTCACCTGACGCAGAAGTATAAATCAGGCTTTAGTCTTGACTAGTGTGGTTGACTGACTTTGATCCTGGGAGCCCTGACCAATATGGCAACAGTACTGACGCGTGCTCAGGGTCTGTATGCGATTATTCTGCTTTGTCTGTATAGTCGTGAACACACTTGTTTGCAGAGCGACTAGTTTGACCGTTTTCTGTTGATTATTAGGCTGGCTTGTGTAGCAAGCCAGACTATTGTTATCCTATTTTTCTTCTGAGACTAAAAATTAAACTCTATCTCCTCCTAGAGCTATCGAGCTATGACCACCAAACTCACACCAGACCTCCAAACTGGTCTGACTTGGATTGCTATATCTTTTCGGACTGATCCGACTTTCGGTTTTCCGAAAATTGTCCCGGGACCGTCGGAAAAATCCCATTGACTTAACATTGCACCAAACTTTGTGAGCTCATAACTCTACATCAGACTGTCGCACAGACTTCTAACTGGGCTCATTTAACTCAGACTACCAAACTACCAATAACTGATGAACTTTTAACTTTCTAGCCACACCCCTAACAACCAGATACAGCACCCTAGCAACGGTCCCATAGACTGCCATATTAGAGGTTCAGATTGATATCGTCATGCTGCAGTGTGATAGAGACATGGGTGTTGCTTTTAACTGTTCATACTGGCAAGAAGCTTTGATACATCATCAGTCTAAGATGTCAATCAACTCCATAGCAGCAAAACAGACTAACCTAGCAACGATATAACAGCAGCTATATCTCAGTTTCAGAATATTGTAGAGAAGCGGGGGTTGACTTGTTTGACTCATGCTAGCCCACCATCTATCTATCTATCTATCTATCTATCTATCTATCTATCTATCTATCTATCTATCTATCTATCTATCTATCTATCTATCTATCTATCTATCTATCTATCTATCTATCTATCTATCTATCTATCTATCTATCATGCTAATTCATGCTAGAATCATGCTAGTAACATGCTAATTCATACAAGAATCATGCTAGTAACATGTTAATTTATGCTAGAATCATGCTAATTCATGCTAGAATCATGCTAGTACCATGTTAATTTATGCTAGAATCATGCTAATTCATACTAGAATCATGCTAGTAACATGGTAATCTATCTATCTATTATCTATCTGTCTATCTATCTATCTTTTTATACATTTTAAAACTGTTTAAACTAAATAAACTATTAACATCAGGCGTTCACAAGCCAGCCTCAAAGTTTGTCCTCAAACTTTAAGAATCTAGTTATTCCGAGTAATTTCTCCCATAGGAAACTAAGTCAGAAGTGCTAAAACAATCGCAAAAATGAGCTTTAACCTCCACAGGGCAGAATAAGCTCAATAGTGTTTGTTATTATGACTCAGAAGAGTGTTTTATTAAGAAGCTTATTTGAGTCCAACACCCTTCATCCCTTCTAACCTGTCCCTCTGGAGAGAAAACCCTTTGAATGGACTAGGGCATGGGGATGAGTTCTTCTGAATGTAACTTAGCGTGCTTGTGTGTGTGTGTGTGTGTGTGTGTGACCCCTGCAGGCGGAGCGGATGCGTGCGCAGCTGTCATCGCTGCCGCCACTGCAGGTGCCGAACATGAAGAGTGTGATGATGAAGGAGAACACAGCCGCTGGGGCCCTACAGAGGAAGACCGACGTACTGCTGCACAACCTGATGAAGATGAGCGCAGGACTCAAAGTGGTGGACATCACCGGCAAAACCACAGGTGTGTACGTGTGTGTGTGGACATAATTCTGATGATGATTAATGTTGAAAACTCTTGTGTTGCTGCACTTCTTCTCTGGAAACTGACAGATTGGCAGAACCTTTAACAGAGCATCAATTATTTCTAAGAGAAATCCCGTTTAATGTTGCAAATAAATGTGTGTGTGTGTGTGTGTGTGTGTGTGTGTGTGTGTGTGTGTGTGTGTGTGTAGCGAGTGCAAGTGCTCAGCTGCTGGAGCAGACGGCGAAGATGAAGTCTCTCAGTGACGCTCTGGATAAACTGCAGGTTAGTGCCATTAGTAAACACACACACACACACACATTTCTATACACACAGACTGACAGACACTCATTTCTTACCCGTGTATCTATGTAAGTGTGTTAAACGCTGATTTGATGCTGAAGTGGAAACACATCATGAGGCTTATTTGTCAAGCACACTCGCTCCTGCTTGGCCCCGTTCACACTGTCAGGTCTTGATGGCCTATTTCGATTTGTTGCCTATATCTGATTTTGTAGTCTGTCTGTTTACACGCTGTTTTAATCGTCACCCATATAAAGGTAGGTATTAGCACCTGCGCCACATCAGCCACGATGGAAGAAATTGTCTTGTTTTTAGCTCAGCGAAATATGCGAAGTGTAGTATAAGCAGTGAATCGTTTAGTCTAGATTTACCCCCATGCAGTTTAAGTAATGGTATAGCCCTGATGTCTGTGTGTGTGTGTGTGTGAAGTTGAAGATGTAGCCCTGTGTGTGCACTAGAGAGAATAGAGTTGTTCTATGTGTAGCCCGCAGTGCGTGTATTAATAGCGACAAAAAGAAAAAGTTAAAACACAAAGTTTCCCAACTTTAAGATGATTTAGAGGCGGAGGTGGGAAAGGGCCTATGGTTTAAATATGGTGTCCTCCACCATTCAGAGGAATTTGTGGGTACTGTTACGCACTCGAGGCGAAACAAGTAAAAAACAGAGGGGGAAGCCAAAAGTCACGTTACAAAAGTTTTATTTTTAAGCCCACTGTGATCAAACATTAGGCAAAAACGCCCCGCCAACTCGCACGCCACTGGTCTCCGTCCAACCCTTAGCCGGAAGAATCTCTGTCTGTCAAACAGTGGCAGGACGCTGATAAAAGAGCGCTCACTTAGACTCAGGTGTTCCCCCATCCACCTGATTATGCCTCGCAATGTTACAGCGCATCTGTAGAGGGAGCAAAACAGACACACAGACAGACACGGCAGACAAATGACAGCGCAGCAGGCGTCACAGTACGAGAAAACTCTCAGGTCTGGTGGGAGCAAATTATGGAGACTGACCACTTTCCTCGATCCGATCTGTGTCACTTATAAGCAAAAAATCAGAACTGGCTCACATTTAACTGGCAGTGTAAATGGAGCCTTTGTGTCGTCAGTCTGGCAATTTGTGGGGGGCCGGGTGGGAAAAAAAAGTTTTAAATTAGGACTGCAGTACCTATTCAGACCACTAGGTGTCAGTCATACACACTGCACCTTCGGCAATATGAGTACGACCTGACATTGCATTAAAATCAGGCTGAATGTGACATGATGTTTGATAGCAAGCGAGTCCGCATGGGTGTATTCTGGTGTTGATCCTGTGTTTGTGTGTCAGGCTGAAGTGTCGCAGCATGTGGTTTCCCAGCAGCCCGGAGCGTCGGTGCCGTCCGACTTTGCCACCTTCCCCACGGCCACTTTCGTTAAGGTTAGTGCTCAAAAATACACACACACATTCATTAAACACTGTGTGTGTGTGTGTGTGTGTGTGTGTGTGTGTGTGTGTGTGTGTGTGTGTTATTAAGTTTATTATAGTTTAGCATTTGTAATTTTGATACTATTTTGACTTTTGCTGTACATTTCAGTTTAGATTATCGTTGTTTTATCAGTATTGTAGTTAGTTTTAGTTTAGTTTTTAATTTGTACACACATTTCTATTTAGTTTTTATATATTTAATTGTGCTTGGTGAAGATTAATCGCAATTTGTTCATATTTCACATTTCATATTTCAATTTCAACCTTTTCTCTTGGTACCTTTTCTCTGAACAGCATGAAATGCCATCTAAACAGACCATGTCATTCCTGCAAACTATTGTGAGAAGCTTGTGGAAGGAGACGCAAAACACTTGACCAAAGTTATACAGTTTAACAGCAAAGACAAAAAATACCAAGCAAATGTGTGTAAACTTTTGACTGTCGAGAAATTAATAAAATTCTCGGATTATTCTGGCATTTAGCGAATGTAAATCATGTAGGTAATCCTAACGGACCTAAAATAGTAAACGTTTAGTATCGTTTACCAGCAGACATTTATTAAACAATGGTTATGCTCCTTTATTTAGAGTGTCTGTAAACTTCTGCTTCCAACTGTATGTAGCAAAATAATGTTGTATAGTTTTGTTTCTATATGTTTGTGTGTGTGTGTGTGTGTGTGCGTGTGTATCTCACATACATAATAAATATGTATTATACACACACACACACACGCATTGTCAAAACAACTTTAGTTTGGTCTTTGCACAGCATTATTCTTTATTTTCAGTAACTGTAGATTATCAATTTAATTCGTGTGCATTTCTCCAGAGCTTCTACAGTGTAGACTGTGTCAAAGCAGCTTCACATAGAAGATCATGGTGAATGTAAACAGTGTCAGTCCAGTGTTCAGCGTTCAGTTCAGTGTGGTTTAATATGCACTGCTGAAGAGCAAATCCATCCATCGCAAGTGCCGAACCAAACAGGCCAGCGGCATCAGAGTGAAGCAGAGCTGTGTTCAGTGTTTACAGCTCACTCATTCACACTTGTGCTGAACTTACATGCATACATGTCTCTCTCTCTCTCTGTGCATGTGTGTGTGTGTGTGTGTGTGATTTACATGTAGTAAATTGTAAATAGTGATTTACATGTAGTAAAGTAGCAGTAAAATACTGTAGAAGAGCCTTAAAGTCTGAGCAGATTTACTGTGTATGTGATGTGTGTGTATAATGTGTGTGTAATGTGTGTGTGTGTGTATCAGGCGCAGCAGGAGCAACAGAGTGGCTGTGTGTTGGTGTCGAAGCTGATGATCCCGTGCGCTCGAGGAAAAGAGCAGAAGCACACACTCGTCCTGTCACAGCAGCAGCTCCAGCGCGTGCACCACCTGCTCATGACGTAAACACACACACACACACACACACACACTCTCACACACACTCCCTCAGGAACATCTGGCTGATCAGGCCAAAGACACACACACACACACACACTGCTAGTGTGTTGCTTCTCACACACTTTCTGTTTATGCATTTGTATTTTTTTGATGGATTTGATATTAAATACTGTTCAGTCAAGAGAATCTCCTGATGCAAACACACACACACACACACACGCACACACACACGGCTATCAGCTTTATTGTGGTGAAGCCATGAGCTGTAGAGATCGGTTTCTGGCTGCAGGATGAAGTAAATAATCAGGTAATCGTGGCTGATCATCTCAGCGTTTATTTTTTGACTCGGAATTAAAGTCAGAATTGTGAGATTTAAAGTTGCACAAATATACAACACACTGATTTATTTCTTCTTCTTGTAATCTCGGCTTTATTTCAGTGTGATTTACAGGTTTTCACTTAATCTGAGTTTTATCAAAGCCTGTAAACTCACTAATTCACAAATATTGAGCTGTGAGGGAAAGAACTGTGCTTTTACATTAAAATAAATCTATAATCACACAGCTCATATAGCAGTGCAATACTAAAAATGTCTTTATAAATGTGTGCAGCTTGTTTATATGTTGCATTATTGTTTGTTGGGATTGTGGCTGCTTCAGCTCTCAGTTTATAGGATTTCTCATAATTCTGACTTGATCACACAGTTTTTGATGACGAGAAAGTCTGAATTAAAAATAAATCGGATTAATTTTGTTAGGTTTGCAGCTGTTTTCAGATGGGATATTACAGGTTTTCTCATAGTTTAGACTTAACATTTATGCAGTGAAGTTGTGAGTTTATAATCTTGAGAAAATAATCAAATGAATAATTAATACCTCTAGTAATACTGTATTTCATCTAAGTTGTGAAGTATAAAATGACTAGAATCACACAACTGAAATAAAGTCACAATTTAACAACCACTAAATAGATTTATTATATGCTTGTGCAACTTTCTATCTTGCAGAAGGTCAGGATCGCACTAATTAATTTCTCTATATTGCATTATTTTACATTGTTACGTGATGCAACTTTATATCTTGCAATTATTATTTGGTTTTCTGGGTTTTCACCTTTAAGTAGTAAAGGACCATGGAGATTAGAGACAGGAAAGTATTGGGAGCAGAGAGAGGAGAAGTGCCGAGCTGATAATCAAACTCTAATTTAACCACTACACTATTGGCGCTGACTCAGTTTTGTTGTGGCTTTTAGGTGTAAGCTTGAAGCTTTTCGCACAATTTTTAAATCACATTTTTGCAACATTTTGGACCTTCAAACTACAAGATATAAAGATAGACACCAAGTAAAAATAAAAACCTTTTTTTTTTTTTGTAAAGATTGCGACTTTCGGTTGTACTATTTATCGGTTTCTTTTGCATAAACAAATTCTGACTTGCACAATTTTTGCATGTTTTTTTATTTTTTTATTTTTTATTTTTTTTTGCAAAGCACTATAAATTCACAATTATAGTGATGAATTAAACAGCAATTAAACAGCTGAGCAAGAATTTAAACTGTAGATCTGTAGTGTCTGCTTTCTGCTGGCTGTATGTGGGCGGAGTAATACACAAAGGGTAAAGAGGCTGTAGGGGTGCTGATATTACCTTAATATATCATGGCTATCAGCCAATCAGATTCGAGAACCATAAGGAACTGTTGTATAAATATATATATATATATATATATATATATATATATATATATATATATATATATATATACTATTAGGCTGTCTATACTAATTTCTCACAATTCTGACTTTTTAAACCACATTTTTTTTCATTATTTTTTTGCAAAACAATTTTTGAATGGCAGTTTTGCAATTTTGACTGTTGCATTTTTTTAAAAAGTCTGAATTAAAAATTCATCCAATTATTTCTGTTAAGATTGCAGCTTTATTTCAGCTAAGATTTTACAGGTTTTCTCACAATTTAGTTAATCGAACACTTTTTTCAGTGAACTTGTGCTTTCACAATCCTGAGAAAATCATCAGATGACTAGAAGGTCTAAGTTGTGAAATATAAAACAAATATAATCACACAACAGAAATAGTCACGATTTTAACAAACAAAATGTGTTCATTATACATTTGTGCAACTTTATATATTGTGTTTTTTTTTTTTTTTAGGCTTTTACAAAGATAAAATAGCTTTTTATTGTGGCTTTCAGGTGTAAGTTTAAAGCTTTTCTCACAGATTTTAACTTTTAAATCACATTTTTTTGCAATATTACCTTCAAACTACAAGATATAAAGTTGCACAATGTTAGAATAAATATATATATATATATACACACACACACAGACACATGTATATAGTTCGTTAGGATTGTGACTATTTCTGTTGTACTATTTATTGTTTGTTTTGTGCAGAATTCTGACTTTATCGCACAATTTTTTTATTTTTGTAAATTCACATTTTGAAAAATGCAACACAATTAAAATTGCAAAAAAAAAACTGAATTAAAAAAGATTTATTGTAAGAATAGAGAAAATAAGCTCTCACAATTCTGACTTTTTAATCACATTTTTTCATTATTTTTGCAAATGATCTTAAAATTGTAATTTGTAAAGTTGCACCAGTTTAGAATAAATACATCTTAATGTTATGACTGCAACTTATTTTATTATTATTGAGAGGTTACAGGTTTTCTCACTGTTTAATCTGACAGTTTTAGCAGTGAAGTTGTGAGTTTGGAGGTTTTCACAATCCTGAGAAAATCATTACTAGAAGGTCTAAGTTGTGAAATATAAAACAGCTGTAATCACACAACTGAAATAGTTGCAATTTTAACAAACCCAAAGTTTATCTATTATAAATTTGTGCATCTTTATATCTTGCTGTCTTTAAGGGGGTTTTACAGGCTTTGCTAACTTAAATACATTCTACACAATACAAAATTTTTGCACTATTTTTGGAAAACCTTGTAAACAGACAACTTCAAACTACAACATATAAAGTTGTACAAAGTTCGAATAAAAAAATATACATTTTGTTTGTGGCCTGGTGGTTAAGTGCGCCGACATACAAGCACCATGGTGCTCACGATTCCCTTTGCCGACCCTTATCTTCTCTCTGCTCCCAATATTTTTCTCTTTATAACCTCCACTGTCCTCTCCAACTAAAGTGACAACTGGCTAAAAAAATTATTGTTAAAAAAAGGATTGCGACTTTATTTCAGTTGTGAGATTTATTATGTTTTTTGCATAATTCTGACTTTCACACAATTTTCTCATTATTTTTAGCAAAAAAACTTGAAATTAGGCAGTCAAACAAGTCTGAATAAAGCTGTATATGTATTATTGTTAGGCTTGTGACTCTTTCAGCTGTGTGATTTCTCACAATTCTGACTTTTTAAACACAATTTTTGCATTATTTTTGCCAAAAATCTTTAAATTGCGAGATGTAAAGATGCATTAATTTAGAATAAATAATTTTATTTTAGTTTAGACAGAAACTTTGTTTCAGCTGAAAAAAATATATAGTTTCTTTTCTTCACAATTTTGGACTTTTCAACCAGAAAATGTTTGACATGTTGCTCATTTCTGACTTTTTTTTTAAATATAAAGCCTAAATTATGAGATCTAAAAGTCACGGTTACCTTTCTATATATTTTATCCTGTTCTGGAAATGAACTTCTGCATATGGTAAAGCTTCTGAAACTTTATACGGTTCACATTTGGTCTTACATTTGGCATAATAAGAGTCATCAAGGTGTATTAGTTATTTAGTGAATGACCTTGATCTGGTGGAGGAGCTGAAATGAGGAAATGTAGAAAGGCTGTAGGGAAATCCACATTAAATAGCACTAATTAAAACTCATTTTTCACTGATAAGTTAACTTTTGCATTGTAGTTTTGCACCAGTAATTGATTATTTCATCAGCGCTTCATTATAAAGGACCAACTCAATCTAGAGGTAACCACTATTTAATCCTACATTTACACACGGCTGCTTTGTGTAATTCATGTTTTATGCAAGACTGAAGCACAAGTGTGTGTGTTTTCAGTCACTGTTGTCTGTGTTTAACATCTCCGAGCTTCAGTTGATTTACTCTTCATCATGTTGGTTCAGTGTTTTAATAGTTTATGCATTTGACGCGTTTCTTATGGAGACGACTGCAATAAAGATGGAAAAACAAGACATTAAATGCATTTCTTTGGTTTATTGACAGAAATCTATAATACATGAATGAATGAACAAGAAAATGCAGAGTTTTTAAAAGCATAATTTCCTTTAAATTATTTGAAGTCCCTTTTATTTTTGTTATTTAGAAATTAAAGCATATTTTTACAGAAATTTTCCTCTTTAAATTCAGAATTCAGAGTGCCCTGCTCACATAATTTGGAGTAGATGAATAAAAAAAAGGATCCTATTTTCCAGAGGAACCCCTCTAAATGTTAAGATGCATGTGAAATATTGCACATATTCATGATCACTGGTTGATTTACTCGTCATCATCATGTTGGCTCAGTGTTTTAATAGTTTATGCCAGGGGTGCACAAACTTTTCCATATAAATGGCCAAAAGCCCAAAATCATTGAGAGCCGTGGGCCGACACTTGCCTTAGGTAATTTCCTTATTTATTTCATAGAGTTTAAAAGTCAATAAAAAACATTACTAATGCAGTATAATGATCAAGTATAGCTGATTACAATAAAAAACATAACATAACCCAGTGGAGTTGAATGCAGAGTGCACTAGTCTAGCAGAATCTGCCTTCATTTGCTCACTGATGTCTCTGCATTGTCCTCTATCCGTCCAGTGACAGTACGCACATTTCAAAACAAAATCTGATTTATTTAAGTGAAACAGCTCCCTTCAGTTTGTTGTAGCTTAGCAAAAAAGAAAACAAAAAAATGAACACAGGCTCTTTCTGAAAATGTACCCCTGCATACATTTCTGGAGAGCACCAAATTTGTCCCTGGAGCTGTTTTTTTTTTTTTTATTGCAGTTTTTGTGTATCCACCAGAGGCTGCTGTGTACACTTTTTCAGATCTTAGATTTCTCTCCTGAGTGCCATTCATGCCTGCTGTTCTCACGGTTATCCACCAGAGGCCGCTGTGTAAGCTTTTTCAGATCTTAAATTTCTCTCGATAGTGCCATTCGTGCCTGCTGTTCTCATATAAATCCACCAGAGGCCGTTGTCGACTGACTGACTGTTTGTCTGATACCCCCCCACCCCCCGTCAAAACCCAGACGATAGTGTTTTTAAAAGCAATCCCGACAAAGAAAAGCCATCACAGCTGCCTGATTTTTGCCACGTTTTCAGATCTTCCCACATTCTCACCCTGTTGTTTACTTGTTTATTTTATTTGTTGGCTTTTGTTTTTGTCTTACCTGCTTTCTGGAACCATTCTAGGCCAGAGTCGAGCTTTGTGTTCGTGGTCAACTCCTTATTGTGTCTCAAGTCCTGCGAGCCACTAGACAAACTGGTAACAGCGGGAAAGGAATGCCGTCATACTTCTGGCTGCATAATTTGTGATCTCCAGAAGTGTATATGGGGTACATATTCAGAATGAGCCTGTGTTGCAATGAAAGCTTACAGTAAATTAGAAATAAACCATCCTGATAATTCTCCCTCTCTTCTCAGATTTGCCAAACCAAAGCTTAACATGGGCCAATCTTGACCTGCGGGGACTAGTTTAAGCATCTCTGGTTTATGCATTTGACAAGCTTCTGGAGGAAAAAACAAAACACAAAATGCTCTTTTTGTTGTTGTTTATTGACAGAAATCTATAAAACTTGAATAAGAAATTGCAGATTTTTAAACGTATAATTCCCTTTGATTTAAAGTGCATTTATTTCTGTGATTCAGAGATTAAATCATCAAAACAAACGTAAAGCATTATTTAAAATGGCTTTGATTTGCAGAAAGCATTGATTAATTGACAGCTGTTTAAATCCTTCATTCATTAGAAACTCTATCTAGAGATGAATCACTATAATAGAGGATCTTTAATCCCACATTTACACTATAAAGATGAGGAGAAGGTGTAGAACATCAACACAGTTTTACTTCATTGTCAGAAATCTACAAAACATAAATGAACCTGAAATCACAGCATTCGTTAAAGTATAATTCCCTTTCGTTAATGATTTACAGCGCATTTGATTGTCATTATTAGGAGATTGAATCATAAAGAGCAAATGTAAACAGTTATTTAACCCTAAAGCCACCTTCTGGACACTTTCGGGCTTCAATATCTCAAGTGTGAACCCAATTTTCATGCATTTATTTTCTAAATAAGGTCATATAAATGTATTGGTCAAACTTCCAAATTACGTAATTAGAGATTTTATTTTGGCATTGTTTTTTTTTTGTGATTAATATGCCTCTAAAAGTACAGATTTTTAAACAAATGCTTTTATTTTGACTGTTCTCTATTCATTTCCTATAGGAAAAATGATGTTATGATAAAGTCCTCTTTACAGTTAGATTTGCTGAAACAACTCATGTTTTTTTTGTGTTTGCTCAAATAGCAGACTTATAAAACATAGCCAAGTCCTTAAATTACTGATTTAAAAGAAACTATTTAAACAAAACAGAAAAGAAAATGATCTTTCAACCACTTTAACCCTCTTTGTCTGTGTGTGCTCAAATAATAAACTTGTAAATGTCAATATACAGGTCACACTTTACAATCAGGGTTCATAACAGTGCTTGTACAGCATTTAACAATCATAGATCAACATTCACTGATGAAATTAATAACTTAGCAGATGCACTGTGAGTTAACATGAACTAACAATCAGCAGCTGTATTTACATTTACTAACATGAGCTAGCACTGGATTAAATGTGTTCATTGTTTGTTCATGTTACCAAATAGATTAACTTATACCACCTTATTGTAAAGTGTTACTAATATATAATAAACTGCTCAGATTATGGACAAGCCTAAATAAAGTGGCTCTAAATGGCCACAGATATCCTTGGGGAAGCTGGAGGGTTAAAATGACTGCGTTTGCCAGAAGCCTTCATCAGTTGACCGCTGTGTAGATCATATTAAACGTGCAGCACAGAGTGATCAGAAAAAGGCGCTGAAGAAATCCAGCGTGTCCTCTTCAGTTTCTGTTTCATTGCAGAATGGGGGAGGAATGAACTGCTCCGGGTCCGGGATTCCCGTCACTGCGTTAAAATAGCTGGAAAACACAAACAATACGAGTTCACGGCCAAGCAAACACTGCTGGATGAAGGAACACAGTTAAAGTCCACATCAAATCAATACTAGCCATGTCGATGCTGTTAGCTCACACTGCTAATTTCGTGGGGAATAATTCATCTCTGCGTTTCATTATGTTTGCTCTTGTAATCTAAACTGAAACTTGAACTGAAATCTTGGTTTTCAGTTCAATTCTCAGATTAAGGCTCTATTTTGATGATCCATGTGCAAAGTGCAGGGCGCAAACGCATTCAGGGCGTGTCAGAATCCACTTTTGCTATTTTAAGGACGGAAAAATCCGCTTTGCGCCGTGGCGCATGGTCTAACAGGGTTGAGCTTATTCTCTTAATGAGTTATAGGTGTGTTGCTTTTAATAAAACAAAATTATTAAAATAATAATAACATAATACAAAAGCAAATTGTCATGAAACCCCCGGTTTCTCAAAATAGCAATGCGCCTCAACATGCCTCCCTTTTTAGACCAGAACGCCTATGGGCGCACATATGAACGCAAATGCATTTGCTATTTAAACAGCGTGGCGGAAAACATCAAAACGACTCTTGCGCCAAGCTGAAAGTAGCAAACAACAATTGCGTCCAGCCTTGTGCTACATTGCACCGAGTGCATGATAGGGCCCTAGGTCTGTCTGGGGTAGTGGGTGGGGCTAACAATCTTAACCACGCCCCTCCAGCTGTCATCGCTTTGATCACAAACAGAAATGGTGAGGAGGAGGAGGAGTCTGTTAGGTTGTAATAACTCTCTCCAAACCTTTTTCCCCATCTCACTAAATGACTTTGCTACATCCAATCAGCTCGCAGTAAAAAAAAAGCCACGCCCACTGTTTACTCATTTAATATTCTGTTTCTCTAGGAACTGTCACAAAACAAACAGTCACATCTTCCGGATTATGCAGACTTTAAGGTTTTGTTTTCCATATTGTGATGCAGAAAAATCTTGTTGCGTTTTTTACGTAGCCATCATTTCATCTCAGTGTGTCATCGGTAGCCATGACTATTGATTTGGACTCGTTTCTAGCGCTCCATTCACACAGGGCTTCAGCGTCATTGCTTGACTGAAGGCGTGTCTAAAGTTGGGGCTGACGCGTTTGTCATAGCAGCATCAGCCAATGAAATTCAGTCAGCAAGAGGCCACTGTCTAGCTGGTGTATTTGCATACAGCGATCTGATTGGCTGACACTTTCATTGGCGCTTGAAAAGTTGAGCTGGTCCCAACTTCTGCAGCGAGCAACACCTCTGAAGCAGCGCCGACGAATCCACAATGCAGTTCGGCAACGCCTGACGTCACCCATTCAAAGTGAGGGGGAAGCGTTGATGCTGACGCCCCGTGTGAATAAAGCGTAAGTGTTTATTTTTACTTTATTAAACCTGTCACCCATTCACTGCCATTATATGAAGCTCAGAGAACTACAGATTCAGCTCCGAAATCTGCTTTAATGTTCGGCTGAAGAAGACCGAAGGTGATTAAATAAGTAGGGTGAACTATCCCCTTAAACACGAACAGAACTAATGTAAGATATGCTTGATCTGTACTGTATAAGCACTTTTAGAAAGGCTATTTCTCTCATTTTACTCATAGTATGACATTTCAGTAATATCTCCATTAGTAGACCTGGATTAAAGTCCTCGATTCAGATGGATGATTTCATTTCTTCATGAAGATTCTCTGAAGGGATTGGTGTTGTGAATATGAGGGTGAGTAAATGATGAGGGTTTATTTTGATTTTACGCTGATATCAATGGTTTTCGAGATGGATTTACTTATTCTGTTTGGATCAGGGATGTCAAACTCAATTCCTGGAGGGCTGCAGCCCTGCAAAGTTTAGTTCAAAGAGGGTTATCTTACGTGGTGGTGACCCAGCCGGTCTGTTCTGTGTAGTAGAGTGTGGACACCGGGATACAGCCGAACTCAGTCACTGTGGCCACATATTTACCTGTACACAGTACAACACAGTTATAAAGCATTGTGAAGACTCATTCAGCTCAATAAGAAGTCTCAAACTTGTGCAATTAGCAAATTAGCATTAGTTCACTCCCAGAAAGAACATTTCCTTATAGCTTTCTTCTGTATTTTTTTAATCAAAATTAAGTTTTTCAATGTAATACATGGTAAAATCTATTATGCCCAATGTCTTGTGTGAAAAACAAACTTTATGACATGCTGAATCATTATTAAGAGCTAAAATGTCAATATTATGACATATAAAGACAATTATGAGATAAAAGTCATAATTAGGAGGACCATATTTAATCAAGTCAAAAATACAGAATTAAAAATCTGAGTTCACTGACAGTTTAAGAGATGTCGTATGTGAGACAGGTTAAAATGAAGACAAATATGAGATAATAGATCAAAATAATGACATTTTGAGATGTTTTTATCCCTTTATAGTGGACTTTTAAAGACTCTTAAGACATGCTGAATCATAATTATGAGCTAAAGTGTCAATACTGTGACATATAAAGACAATTATGAGATAAAACTCATAATTAGGAAGACCATATTCAATCAAGTCTAGTCTAAAAAACTAAATATAAAGCATGCCATTTGTCTTGTGTGAAAAACAAAACCTCTGGCATGCTGAATCATAAGTATGAGCTAAAATGTCAATACAGTGACTGATAAAGACAATTATGAGATAAAAGCCATCATTAGCAGGACTATTTTACAAGCACAAGATTAAAACACTGAGTTTATTGATGAAGTTTAAGTTTTGAGATGTCGGACATGAGATTTAAGTCAAAATGATGACAACTATGAGATAATAGATCAAAATAATGACACCTGAGAGGGTTTTCCCTTCATTTAGTGGACTTTTAGTTCTTTATTTTTCAGTGTTATGCATATTATATCATACTATACCATTTGTCCTGCAAGCTAAATCATAAATATGAGCTAAAACGTTAATATTGGGACATATAAATACAATTATGAGATAAAAGTCATAAATTGCAGAACAATATTCAATCAAGTCTAAAATACAAGATTAAAAGACGGAGCTCATTGATAAAGTTTAAGCTTTGAGATGATATGAGAGTCTAAATGATGCCTGAAGACAAATATGAGATAAAAGACCAACATAATGAGGTTTTTGGGAGGGTTTTTTTTCTATTTAGTGGTTTAGTGGACTTCTAGTACTTTTATTTTTTTATGTAATGCAAGTTATAATCTGCTATGGCATTTGTCTTTTGTGATAAGCAAAACTTCTGGCATGCTAAATCATAACTATATGCTAAAATGTCAATACTTTGACATAAAGACAATTATGAGATAAAAGTCATAATTAGGAGGACAATATTCAATCAAATCAAAAAGTGATGTCCGATATGAGATCTAAGTTAAAATGATGACAAATATGAGATAATAGATCAAAATAATGACATTTTGAGATGGTTTTTCCTCCATATAGTGGACTTTTAATAGTTGAGCTTCTACAAGTAAACTAAACGTAAAAAGGAGTTTTGAGTCGTGAGTGAGACTCTAAATAATCTCAGCCTTAGTTTGTCATTATTTAGGAAAAAACATCTAATCTGTGCAATAAAAGACAATTATGAGATAATAATTCAAAAATTGTCAGTTTTTTTAACCAAAATGTTGACTTATTAATGTAATGCATGGTATAATCTATTATGCCATTTTTCTTGTGTGCAAAACAAACCGTATGACATGCTGAATCATAATTATGAGCTAAAACGTCAATATTGTGACCTATAAAGACAATTATGAGATAAAAGTCATAATCAGGAGGACAATATTCAATCAAGTCAAAAAAAGAAGATTAAAAGTCTGAGCTCGTTGATAAAGTTTAAGCTTTCAGATGTCAGACATAAGATTTCAGTTGTAAAGATGTGACAAGACAAATATGAGATAACAGATTAAAATATTGACATTTTCAGAGGGTTTTTTTCTCCATATAGTGGACTTTGAGCTTCCAAACTACAAGTTAAAAACAGTTTTAAAGACTCTAAATAATCCCAGTTTTGGCATGTCATTATTCTGACATTGTCATGATTATGAGGGAAACATCTAATCTGTGCAATAAAAGATGATTATGAGATAATAATCAGAAAATTGTCAGATTTTTTTTTTTGTAACCAAAATGTAGATATTTTTTTCAATGTAATGCATATTATAATCCACTGGTATTTGTCTTGTGTGAAAAACAAACCTTCTGGCATGCTGAATCATTATTATGAGCTAAAACGTCAATAATGTGCAACGAAATTATGAGATAATCCTATTATTATCAGATATTTTTACAGAGCTGTTGACTCCTAATGTAGAATGTTGAATATGAAAAGTAAAACTTATGCTAATGCTAAATAAAGCACATAAATGTAAATGAATGTGACACAATAAAACAACTATGAGATAAAAGTCATAATTAGGAGGGAAATCAAGTCTTCAAATCTGCAACTGATGATTATTTTGATATTGATTGTATGATTATTATTAAAATAGAAAAACTGACTGACTCATTATTTCTGAACACAACACAACATCTTGTGCTTGTCTAGAAAATGTTTCCTGATTTAAGGATTTTGAGATATTTGGACAAGAAGCAAGATGAAAACCCTCAGTAAATACAGCGTGTGTTTGCAGTGGCTTTCCTGATAAGAGTGCAGTGTTTCTGTAAGTGCTGTGTGTATGGTGTGTGTGTATGTGTGTTTACCTTGAGTCTCAGGTACGTCTCCTGTCCAGGTGTTGACCAGCAGACCTTCACCTGGAGCCGACGAGCCGCCCAGAATCACCTGCGCCAGGAGTGTTGCATTACGGGGGATCCGTGAGGGGTGGAAGGAGCTGTGCAGGGCATTCTTCTGACACGTCTCATTCTTGTAGTTCATGCTGTAAACAACACCCTACACACAAACACACACACACACACACACATATATACATACATGCATACATACACATGTTTGTTTTTGTGAATTGTGGGGACATTCCACTGGTTTTCATTTCAATCTGTTTGGTGTGTGTGTGTGTGTGTGTGTGTGTGTGTTTGTAAGAGGAGGAGATTGTGTGTTTACATGCTTGTTTGTATGCGTGTCTGTTTGTGTGTGCCTGTGTGTGTGTGTGTGTGTGAGATAGAGAAATTGTTTGCTTGTGTGTGTGTTTGACATGTTTGTGTGCTTGTTTTTGTTTGTTTGTTTGTTTGTGTGTGTGTTTGTGTGTTTGTAAGAGAAGGAGATTGTGTGTTTACATGCTTGTTTGTATGCGTGTCTGTCTGTTTGTTTGTTTGTTTGTTTGTTTGTTTGTGTGTGTGTGTGTGTGTGTGTGTGATAGAGAGATTGTTTGCTTGTGTGTGTGTGTGTGTGTGTATGTGTGTGTGTGTGTGTGTGTGTGTGTTCAGGGATCTCAGCACATGTTTCTCCAGATTGATTCTGCTGCCATGTGAGTGCAGGAGTTGTGCTGTATCTGCTGATCTCTCCACTATATAGACAGTAAGTGTGCAGGATCTGAGGATCTGCTGCTTTCTGTTCCTCTGACTCTCTGCTGCACGCTGAGGTTCACACGTACAGTATCTCTCAACTGTCCCCAGTTCCTCAGTGCGGTTTCTCACAGTGTGTGTGTGTGTGTGTGTGTGTGTGTGTGTGTGTGTGTGTGTGTGTGTGTGTGTGTGTGTGTGTGTGTGTGTTTTACCTCTCGAAACAGGAACAGCATGTTCAGGTGGAAGGATTTACTGTCCACTTCACCAAACTCCCACAGTCGGATCCGCTGCCCGAACGCATCATAGCGATATTTGGCAACCGCCCAGTCCTGACCATCTCGAGCGCTCTGGAAAACAACACGTGTGTGTGTGTGTTTATGTATATATAAGTCTGTTTACGTTGAGAAACCACTGCTAAACCTAATGATACAGACGCATTCAGGTACTAGCAATCATTTAGCCATTAGGGAATATATACAGTGTTAGTAACTCAATATTATAACAAATGCTATAATAATTGTAATAATAATAGGCTTTACACAATAGGGGGGAATCTCCTCATCCACCACCAGTGTGCAGCGCCAGACCGCACACCACACAGCAGCTGATAGGTGGAGAGGAGACAGATGAAGCCAATTATGATATTGGGATGTTTGGAGGCCAGTGGGCAGATTTGGCCAGGATGCCGGGGTTAAACCCCTACTCTTTTACCAAGGACATCCTGGGATTTTTAACGACCACAGAGAGTCAGCACCTCGGTTTAACGTCTCATCTGAAAGACGGCGCTCAAGGAGCAGTATAGAGTCTCCTTCACTATACTGGGGCATTAGGACCCACACACACCACAGGTTGGGCGTCCCCTGCTGGCCTCACTAATACCACTTACGGCAGCAACCTAAAGTTTCCATGTGGTCTCCCATCCAGGAACTGACCGGGCGCAGCCCTGCTTAGCTTCAGTGGGCGACCATGTGAGAGTTGCAGAGAGCTAGCTGCCGGCAATAAAAATGTTCTCTATTAAACATCACTTTTTTAAAAAGAATTTAAAATTTCACTAAGCTATAAATCAACTATAAATACTCATCTGTCACTCTACATTTCTCAACTCTTTGGCACCATCTTGCAATTGAATAATAATAATAATAATAGTAATAATAATAATATCCATGTAATGAGCAGGATATAGTACATCCAGGATGGTTATTATGGCCAATAAACCTTTCAGTCTTTACAACAGCAGCTGATGAGCCTGGTGCACTTTCTGTTGGGGATAAAGTAGATCCAGCAGGTTGTTCTCTCAGAATAAAGCCTGACAGGTTTATCAGCAACCCGGCATGGAGCACAGCACTGTTGTAGACTTTGTAGGCTTTATTTTGAGAAAATAAACTTCTGGATGTACTTTATCCTGATCATTACATAATACTGGACACTATACATTAATCTGAAACATACTAAACTGCTGATAAACCTGTCAAGATTTATTCTGAGATGACAGCCTCGTTAATCTACTTTAGCCCTAACATAACACAATTACACTCACCGGCCACTTTATTAGGTATACCTGTCCAACTGCTCAGCAAATCACATGGCAGCAACTCGATACAGCTTCAACGCTTCACATTCACTTTGAATGGGTGACATCAGGTGTTGTCGAACTGCATTGTGGATCCATCGGTGCCGGTTCAGTGGCGTTGCTTGCTACACAAGTTGGGACTTGCTCAAGTTTTCAAACGCCGACGGAAGCGTCAGCCAATCAGATCGCTGTATGCAAATACACTAGCTCAGACAGTGGCCTATTGCTGACTGAATTTCATTGGCTGACACTGCTATGACGATCACATCATCCCCAACTTAAAACATGCCCATTGTCAAACGTTGACGCTGAAGCACTGAATGGGGCGTAAAGCATGTAGACATGGTCAAGACGATCTGCTGCAGTTCAAAGCGAGCATTGTGGTGGTGGTGTAATGGTGTGGGGGGGATTTTCTTTGGGTCCATTAGTACCAATTGAGCATCAACGCCACAGCCTACCTGAGTATTGCTGCTGACCATGTCCATCCCTTTATGAGCACAGTGTCTCCATCTTCTGATGGCTACTTCCAGCAGGATAACGCAGCATGTCATAAAGCTCAATCATCTCAGACTGGTTTCTTGAACATGACGATGAGTTCACTGTACTCAAATGGCCTCCACAGTCCCCAGAGCTCAATCCAATAGAGCAGCTTTGGGATGTGGTGGAACGGGAGATTGGCATCATGGATGTGCAGCCGACAAATCTGCAGCAACTGTGTGATGCTATCATGACAATATGGAGCAAAATCTCTGAGGAATATTTCCAGCAGCTTGCTGAATCTCTGACACCAAGGATTAAGGCAGATCTGAAGGCAAACGGGGGTAAAGTAAAGTGTACCTAATGGAGTGGCCAGTGAGTGTTATGTCATAACAGAATCAAGTATTTCAAATGTACATGTAATAATCACGATAAACACTGGCTGGATGTACATTATCCTGCTCATTATTACATGTATATTCTTATTCAGTCTCCAAAATGACCAAGCAGGACCGTCATGTAAACGTTCAGTGTTAGTACTGTAAATGATCTTAATGATGTAAACAGAGGCTCACCACACTCAGACTGCCGGACAGCAGCGGTGGACTGTCTGCAAAACACAAGATCACAGCATTCACACTTTAGGGACTCTTAAAAGACGTTATGAGAGGAGGGGGGGGGGTGCTGTATTGTTGTTCAGTTGATTTCACTTCACTGTTTACTCTGAAAGCAGAAGCACTGAAGGTCACCTGAAAAATACCTAAAATACCAAAACACTCTGGTGCACTCGTATGGCATACTCATTATTCTGCTGTATTTCTGCCTCAGATTAAGCTTTTATAGAGCACTCCTTCAAATACTCATCCCCGGAGTCTTACTGAGGGACTTTTATGAGTTTATAAATGTATTAAATTCACTATAGAGTGATATGATCAGTAAATCATGACGATTTGTTTATTATGGTGATCAAATGTATTCAAGGAAGTAAATCCTATTCAATTTTAAGCATTTTATAGATTCATGCAGAATGACTTTGAGAGCGTAGGAGCTGAAAAACTGACCACAACAACAACACATGTGACACATGCAAAAACATCATCAAAATCTAATTAAACCAATTTCTTGCTAAACAAAGCAACATCAGTTATGTCCTGCAATACATCTACTTGAGGACTGATAATATTACAAATGGTTTTGTACATATTGTACAGATTTATCTAAACATGTATATATTTTATAATATATATTTTATATTTATATATACACTACCGATCAAGTTTGGGGTCAGTTTTTTTTTTCTTCATGTTTTCATCAAGGCGACATTTATTGAATGTAAAAAAAAAAAAAAAAAAAAGTTTAATATTTATTCAAATTTTAAATACCTGCTTTCTTATTGTAAATGAAATTATTAGTCCAGAAATTATTGCTTTTATTACTAATTACTAGTATTACTATTATACTATTACTATTAATAGTAATAATAATATTCGTAATTATTAATATTAGAGTATTAGAGTTTCTGAGGGATCATGTGACTGAAGACTGGAGTAGTGAAGCTGAAAATTCATCTTTAATGTCACTAGAATAAACGATTAAATAAAATTATAATCTACTGTTGAACAGTTAGTTTATAGTGCAATAACATTTCACTATTTTACAGTGTTTACTGTGCATTTGATTAAATAAATGCAGCCTTGGTGAGCCGGAGAAGCTTATTTCAAAATATTTACATATCCTACTGACCCCCAACCTTTGACCAGTAGAGTGTGTGTATGTATGTATGTATGTATGTATGTATGTATGTATGTATGTATGTATGTATGTATGTATGTATATATATATATATATATATATATATATATATATATATATATATATATATATATATATATATATATATATATATAATGTATATATATAAATTATTATTATTATTATTTATTTATTTATTTATTTAATTACAGAAATATCTTTAAACTTATATTTCTGGTAAATTTCTGTAATTTACTTTTTCTTTTTTTACGGTAAATTTCTGTAATTTTATGGACGTTATTTAACTTTTTTTCTGGAAAAAAAAGAGTAATATTACAGATTTGTTGACAGTATATATATATATACTGTCCCCCCCCCACATTACTATAACTACAGTAGAAGCTCTAGTGTTTTTGAAGTATGTTTAAAGTATGTAAGTACTGCTGGCTTGCATTCTATAGTTGCTATGGTAACACAGATATATTAATACATATATATATATATATATATATATATATATATATATATATATATATATGACCCAATAATAAACAATAGTATAAGCTATAGGGTACATTATACTACATTTTACTTTAGTAAAAACTAAACTACACTGCAGCATTTATCACAGTTTATTAGTTTTACTATAGTTCATACTACAGTATGCTGTAGATTATAATATATGCAGTATAATACACTGTACTATAGTATAGCTCAACAACACAGTGTTTACTATAAAGGGGTGTAGTATTTCAGAGTATTTGCAGACTTACGGCATTGGTGTGGTCTCTGCGCAGAACAGCAGACGGTCAGAAAGAGCAGCGGAGCAACAAACAGCAGCAGCAGCTTCATCATCACACACACACACAATGTGGAGAGTTAAGCTGCTGTCTGACAGTAAACACACACACACACACTTCCTCATACACAGCTCTTGAGTTCAGTCCGGGATCCACTGCCGGGTCTTCAGTGTCACATTGTGAATTATAAACACTGACCTGGAGTCAGAAAGCTGCTTCATTTTTCATTCAATCCGTATTCTGTTTACATACTCAATCTGCTGAATCACTTCCTGCATTCATTCATTTATACTTATACACACATTGTACAGTGTCTTATTTTCCCCCATTTATTTCTGCTTTTGCATTATGGGATATTGATCTGTCAACACACAAAAAAGATGGAAAAAACTATTTAATAGTGTGCAGTGCTATATTGTCTGGATTGATGTTTAATATTATGCTACAGAAACCTTGTAATAAACTGCAGCACATTTTTTTTGTTACAGACTTACTCACCGGCCACTTTATTAGGTACACCTCACTAGTACCGGGTTGGACCCCTTTTGCCTTCAGAACTGCTTTAATCCTTGGTGTCAGAGATTCAGCAAGCTGCTGGAAATATTCCTCAGAGATTTTGCTCCATATTGACATGATAGCATCACACAGTTGCTGCAGATTTGTCGGCTGCACATCCATGATGCCAATCTCCCGTTCCACCACATCCCAAAGCCGCTCTGTTGGATTGAGCTCTGGGGACTGTGGAGGCCATTTGAGTACAGTGAACTCATCGTCATGTTCAAGACACCAGTCTGAGATGATTGAGCTTTATGACATGCTGCGTTATCCTGCTGGAAGTAGCCATCAGAAGATGGAGACACTGTGCTCATAAAGGGATGGACATGGTCAGCAGCAATACTCAGGTAGGCTGTGGCGTTGATGCTCAATTGGTACTAATGGACCCAAAGAAAATCTCCCCCACATCATTGTAGCCTCAGTTTCCTGTTCTTAGCTGACAGGAGCTGCACCCGGTGTGCTCTTCTGCTGCTGTAGCCCATCCGCCTCAAGGTTGGACGTGTTGTGTGTTCAGAGATGCTCTTCTGCAGAGCTCGGTTGTAGCGAGTGCTTGTTTGAGTTACTGTTGCCTTTCTATCAGCTGGAACCAGTCTGGCCATTCTCCTCTGACCACTGACCTCATCAACAAGGCATTTGCGCCCACAGAACTGCCGCTCACTGGATATTTCCTCTTTGTCGGAGCATTCCCTGTAAACCCTAGAGATGATTGTGTGTGAAAATCCCAGTAGATCAGCAGTTTCTGAAATACTCAGCGCAGCCCGTCTGGCGGCAACAACCATGCCACGTTCAAAGTCTCTTAAATCCCTTTTCTTCCCCATTCTGATGCTCACTTTTACATGCATCAGATCCTCTTGACCATGTTCACATGCCGAAAAGCAGTGAGCTGCTGTCATGTGATTGGCCGATTAGAATATGCGTTAACGAGCAGTTGGACAGGTGTACCTAATAAAGTGGCCGGTGAGTGTATTTCTCTAGATATTATTTTTATTATTTCAAAATTCTAAAATGTCAATAAAACACACTTTGTTAAACCTTAGAGTTAAATTTTCAATATCCAACGCAGACAGAGCAGAGATCAACATCCCATAATCACAAATCACAACCGCAAATGAGAAATGATAGATGTTTTACAGTGTATACACAGTGCTCAGCATAAATGAGGACACCTGCTTTGTAAAATTAATATTTTTATCAGTTTCTCAGTGAAGATAGATATGTATTGGTGCATTTTTAAACAGATGCGTTGTATTAAACAGTTATATGCATTAATAAGAGTGTGGTCAATGAACATCTTTAGGAACACAGAGATAATACATCTGCATTCAAACCAGGTACTGCAGGAAAAATCATTACACACGACAAAATTGCGACTCAAGAAAATATTTTTTATGTTTCTCTGGATTTTTCCAGTTTATTAAAATGTATTTAATATTTTCCCAACATATTAATGTGTGTGTAGTGATTTTAGTTTATCAGTTCTGTATTTGCTTCTGAGTAATCTAATCTATCTGCACTAACATTCATATATTTTCTTTTCGGCTTAGTCTCTTTATTTTTTTGGGGTCGCCACAGTGGAATGAAGTGAACCACCAGCAACTTATCCAGCATATGTTTTACACAGCGCATGCCCTTCCAGCTGCAACCCATCACTGGGAAACACCCATACACACTCATTCAGACACACACTACAGCCAGTTTAGTTGATCAGTTCCCCTATAGCACATGTGTTTGGACTGTGGGGGAAACCGGAGCACCCAGAGGAAACCCACGCCAACACGGGGAGAACATGCAAACTCCACACAGAAATGTCAACTGACACAGCCGAGACTCAAACCAGTGACCTTCTTGCTGTGACCCTCTGCACTAATATATTACTTTAAAACATTACACAAAAACAAAGAGAGATCTGTGAGGGAGAACTCATTTATGAATGACACTGTGTGTATAAGCTTTTTATGCAAAGAGATAAACAAATTACATGACATGAAGTCAAATACACTGGGAAAAGAGAGACACAATTAAGAGCCAGGTGTGTGTGTCTGTGTGTGTGTGTGTGTGTGTGTGTCTGTGTGTGTTTCCACAGGAGTGTGTGTTTGTTTTGAAGCTCTGGAATGAAGCTGGTCTGGTTTCCGTCACATGACGCCTCTGCACATCAGTTATGTCACAGTCAGATGATGGAGTCTGAATGTCAGCCACATATTTCCCAATGCAGAACCGGCTTTACTGTGTGTAGAGTCATCATGTGTGATCATGTGAATCTCTCAGTAACTGGCAGCTGTTTATAGTCTGTACACTTCAGTAAGTGAAAAAAGCATGCAGTTGGTTAATTAAGGAGAAGTGCTGGGCTTTTGTAGGCACAACGTTGGGTCAGATTTGGGCATTGTTGGGTTAATCTTTGCTATTAAATTTAAAAGAGAAACTCTTAAAATAATGTTTGGGTTTGTCTTTGTTTGGCCAAGCGTTGGGTTATGACAGCCCAGCATGTTTTAGAGTGTTTTGTTAAAATGTTCAATATATTCATATGCATGTGCAACTCTGTCTGAGTTAATGTTTTTAGCAAATGAGTCGATCCATTCATGAAAACAATCACTTGCTTCAAAAGAGTTTGCATCATGACTCAATTAGCTTTTCCATTCCCACAGATGATTCCGTCATTACCCCCTTCCCTCAGGTTCAGAGTCTGGAGGTCATCTTCGACAGCACCCTTTCATTCACTGCACATGTTCATAATGTCACCCCGTCCGCCTATTTCCACCTTCCAAATATAAATGGTTTACGTCCTTCCCTCACACCTCACTCAGCTGCCATTCTTGTTCATAGTTTAGTCACATCCCGTTTAGATTACTGTACCTTCTGTTTGGCCTCCCTAAAAAAACCTCTTCATAAATTACAACTGGTACAAAACACTGCATTATCACAAAAGCTCGCTCTGTCACATCACACCCATTCTACGACAGCTTCACTGGCTTCCCATCTCTTTCAGAATGTATTATAAAATACTTCTTACTTTTAAAGTCATCCACAATCTCGCTCCTCCATACCTTGCTGATCTTGTTCATGTCCCCATACCTGGGCGAGGCAGTGGCGCAGTAGGTAGTGCTGTCCCCTCACAGCAAGAAGGTCGCTGGTTTGAGCCTCTGCTCAGTTGGCGTTTCTGTGTGGAGTTTGCATGTTCTGCCTGCATTCGGTTTCCTCCGGGTGCTCCGGTTTCCCCCCACAGTCCAAAGACATGCGGTACAGGTGAATTGGGTAGGCTAAATTGTCCATAGTGTACTAGTGTGGGTGTGAATGTGTGTGTGTGGATGTTTCCCAGAGATGGGTTGCAGCTCGAAGGGCATCCGCTGCATAAAAATGTGCTGGATAAGTTGGCGGTTCATTCCGCTGTGGCGACCTTGGATTAATAAAGGGACTAAGCCGACAAGAAAATGAATGAATGGATCACCACACCTTCTCCAACACTCAGGTCTCCTTCCTCCATTCACCTCACTGTTCCCTCTGTCCGCCTTGTCACCATGGGGAGCAGATCCTTCAGCCACTCTGCTCCTCAGCTTTGGAACTTACTCCCTCCTGATCTCCATTATTTAGACTCTCTTTCTCAATTTAAATCCGAACTCAAAACACATCTGTTTAGAAAAGCCCATTCTCTTCAGCATTTTGAAAGTTTGTATTGTTTTCTATTGCTTTTATTGTGATTTATTTGAATTGATTGTTCTAGCTGTCCTGTACGGTGACCTCGAGTGTCATGAAAGGCACCTTTAAATAAAATGCATTATTAGTATAATTATACAGTATTTAAAGGGTATTTAAAGGGTGTTATGCTAGCTTAGTGGGAAGCATGTTTGCCTCACAGCAAGAAGGTCGCTGGTTTGAGCTTCGGTTGGATCAGTTTACTTAAAGAGAAATGCTGGGCTTTTATAACCACAACGCTGGGTCAGATACGGGCAATGTTGCGTTAATCAAATGGAATTTAAAATTCTTCTTTCTGTCTATAAAGCCTTACATGGCATGGGCTCCCATTATTTATCTCAACTGATTGCGACCTGCGCTCCATCCAGACACTTGCGCACCGGGGGTCAGCTGTGGTTTCACCTTTTAACTAGGCAGAGTTATTTAAAGGGACTATTACATTCTTTAGGCTTTGAAACCAAACCTTTTTTGTTCTGTATAATCTATTTTAAACGGTGTATGCTCTTTTTTTTACATGATGTGTCTATTGCTGTTTTGTTTATTATGCCCATATTGATTTTGTATTTTCTCTGTAAAGCACTTTGTTTGGCCTTGTGGCAGCTGGAAACGTGCTATATAAATAAATTAAACTTGAACTTGAACATGCGCTAGGAGAATTGATGAACTAAATTGACTGTAGTGTGTGTGTGTGTGTGTGTGGATGTTTCCCAGTGATAGGTTGCAGCTAGAAGGGCATCCGCGGTGTAAAATGTGCTGGATAAGTTGGCGGTTCATTCTGCTGTGGTGACCCCAGATTAATGGGGTATATGCCGAAGCATGCTAATGGGACTTTTATATGGCAGTAACCTGGG